TATACTTGCCAAGAACGTACTTCTCAAGAACACCAGAATATAGTAGCATACTTGGGTATTGGGAAACAGACCATGTTTGATGTTATCCGTAGTTTTGGTAATCTCTGCATTATAAACAATAAGGCAATTATACTTTCAAAACAGTATTTTGCAAATAAAATTTCAAAATGTAAATTGACCCAAAAGAAATCAATCTAAAGATATCATTACAACCAAACAGCAACATCAATCCTCAAAGGTAGACCTATCCAAAGACATTTTTGTTGGATTGTATTTAAGTGTTTAAGATTAACTGCTTTAACTTAACAGACTCTAAGGACCAATGGGTGTACTTTAAGACAAAAAAAAAACTTACAAAAACAGATGTGTATAGGGCTTAAAGATGCGTGAAGAACATCCAGTTCTGTGAAAACCGTTTTCATCAATAAGACACATGGTAATAAAACTATACCAGGACTGGCTTTTCCAATGGAAAATTTTCAAAGCAGACAGGGTTTTCACCAACTGAAGCTCTTCCAAAGAAGCACAAATAAGCAAGCGACGCAAAGCAATGTGGTCAGCCAAGGAATTGTAGCGGAGCAGGTCTCGTTGGGTCAACAGTGCCTTCAGCTCATGTCTCAGAAACCTTAATACCACAGATATGTCTACACTCTGGAGCAATCTGGCCAAAGGTGGTCTTTACCTAATTGCTGTGGCTAAAAATCCACTCCTCTGACTTGGAAACGAGGCCAAGCCTTTCAACTCTAAAGGAAAACACCAGTTGGTGCGCACAAAAATGGCAGCATGTGCTCTGGACTGAAGGGGGGAAAAATCCAAAATATTTCCCTGTTTCAGGAGGCATTTCATCCACCAAAAAGCTGGAGAGTCTTACAATAATGTGCCTGCAGAAAACAACAGAAGCATTGTGGAGGTTATTTTGCAAGATTCCAACTGTTTCTGTAAACTGAGTCAAAAATGTTTACAGGATTAATGCTGAGGAAAAACCAACATTTAACCATCGTGCCAAACCATCTGGGAGGAGTCTGATTCACACCAGATTTATTCTTCAGCAGCAGAAGAATCCAAAACATACTGCCAGTATCATCAGGAACACTTTATCTTAAAAAAGAATGAGGAATCCTGGAAGTGAGGGAGGCCCAAATGGAATCCTGATCTCAACATCACTGGTCTGTGAAGAGACAGACAAAGCTGGATCTGTCTAAATCTGCAGAGGATCTGTGGTTGGTTCTCCACGTTGTTTTGTAAAACCTACCTGCTGGTTTCCTTCACAAAGCTGTGTTGAAGTGTTTGTTGTTGCAGTTTTCAAAGCTGATTTGATTGGGATTTTAAAAAAATATGTCAGATATATGAATTAAAACAATTTTTTTTTCACTGATATTTTCATTTTCTTGATACTGAACATCAACCAGAACCACACAATTCTAAGAATAAATGAATAAATGCGTGTCAGTAATTTTTCTGATAACCATGATGCATCCTCTGGGTCTAAACACAGCATTATACTGTCTTCACATGAAAAGCTTTTGGACCACAATTTTAATGAAAAACAAACAGACTTCAATTCATTATTTTTTAAATATAGCTAAGGAAAAGTAAAGAAGAAAAGTTATAAAGTCAATCAGTTTTGAGCAACACCCAGGCTAATAAAATTAGAGAAATGGCGTTAATAATACTTTTTAAAAAACTCACGGTTGAACTGGTTCCGGCTAAACTTCTACTTCCACATTGCTGCAGTTGTTCATCTCAAGTTAAAGTTTGATTTCTGCTGTTGATGTTATTCCTGCTCTGTGGGTTTGGGTACTCTAACCCAGATACACTAATGGTCAATAAAATTTGTCAGAAACATATTACATTTTTTAATTTATAGATCATGTTTGTGACTGGTAAGTCGCAGATGATAAATGTTGCATAATACAAAAGGGCTACGCATATTACAAAAAGATACAATATGCAAATTTCTGTGTTATGTCAACTGTATCTGAAATGTCCACATCAAACCAATAGCATGGCTGCATGCATTTCCTTATGAAATACATTTTTTACTTTGGTACACTTGAGTCCATCATTTCATGAACTATTCAGAATTAAAGAAATCAAAATAAGGAACATTAAAAAAAAGTGTCAATAGTCCTTGGACATGACAGTTTTTTTAAATAATAAAACAAAGTCTAAATTATTTTATGGGGATTTTTATTCATCCAACGTGCACATTAGAAACATGCGGACATGAAGATATTTAAAAGTCTGTCCACATCAGCAACCTGCTGGAAAGAAATAAAAAGCCCTCATCATTCTAAAAATGCAAGTGGAGGCTCACAAAAATCACTCCAAGGGCTGCAAATGGCCCCGTAGTCTCATTGAGGGCATGTCTGTATTAAAGTGTATACATTTAGATAATAGCTCCCTTTAAAATAATAAATACATTTTCAGTTGCAAAGTGCAACAAAATATATGTTCAATGCAAAATAAAATATAAAAAAAAATTTACTTTCTTTGCTTCACAAAGAGTCTGTGAACACTTTCTGCACAAAAATCCCTGCTACTAAAATTTTACGTAATCAAGTTGCCAGTTTAGTATTAATCATGTTGGCAGTTCACGTGTTTGAAGATGATTGACCGATATTGAAAGGGCACTTCCTTGTTTATTTCACTTTAGTTACTTTAAATTATATTTGAGTATTTATGATTCTGTGCAATTTACATAATACTGTGCAATTTTAACCTAAATTAAAAATAATCCACTCAAACGGTGTAAAGCAGCAAAATGCTTAAGAAAACAAACAAACAAATTATGCAAAATTGTTAGAAATGCTATAAACATGACTGGGATGTTATGAGGCTAAAGCGTGCATCTCGTACGGAGTCTTGAGTCCCATTCTGTCCCGCTCTGAACTTGAGACAGTTATCGACACCTTCATCTCCTCACGCTTAGACTACTGTAACTCTCTTTTCACGTGTCTGAGCAGAACCTCCCTGAACCGTCTACAGGTGGTTCAGAATGCCTGTGCTCGGCTTCTGACCAAGTCCTCCAAACACACCCACATCACCCCGCTTCTCCTCCAGCTTCACTGGCTGCCAGTCACCTTCAGGGTTCATTTCAAGATCATGGTTCTGGTCTATAGGGCCTGTTACACCCCTCTAGGCCTAGGATTACCAAGAGGGGCAACACAAGTGTGGTGGGAGCAAACACGAGGACGTTTAAAAGGGTCAGAAGGAGTTTATTCAACTAAAATTGTCTCTGGCAGGTAAAAAAAAAACTGGTCATTGAAATAATAAAGCCAGAGGTCTGGTTAATCTAGTCTCTAAAATATAACTGAAGATCTGGGCAAGGCCCCACACTTGTATAATACCCTCCTTTTTGGGTATCTGTCCTCCTTTCGGTCCTGTGCTGCTCCTAACGTGGCCGGCGTCTCACGCTCGCCGTTTTCTCTCTCTCGAAGCGGATGGTTCTCCTCTAGGAAAAGATCCCTGTGTTGTCTCTCGTCTGTCATCTCTTGCCTTTATAATCCACTTATCGTGTCTCTGTAACTCATCTCCACGATCTCCGGCTGCAACTCTCTTCCGGAACACCGCTTCTTTACACTGCTTGCTTCTCTTCTCGAACACTCTTTTGCTGAACTCCGTGCTTCTTTTTCTGCCTCCAACTCCGCGCTCTGGATCCTTCACGCTGAACTCCCGAACTCTGTGACTTGACTCCTCTTTCCGCTCTGCGCCCTCTGCCCCTTTTGTAAGGCGTCCCTGATGAGTCCTGATTGTCCCCAGCTGATGTCAGCGGGCCGGTGGGAGGGTGCGTCTCGGCGTGCCTCTCTCCAAGGTGCTGATCAGCTGTCTGAGCGGGTCGGAGAGAGGAGCTGTCCATGGTGCAGTGATGTAAAACGGAGCCCAAGAATGCAGGGGTCATAACAGGCCTTACATGGACAAGCACCATCATACGTTGGTGATCTTCTCAGTCCCTACACCCCCAGCAGGTCCCTGAGGTCCAGTGACCAAAGCCTGCAGGTTGTGCAGCACCAGGCTAAAGACCAAAGGTGACAGATCATTTGCTGATGTGGCCCCCAGACTCTGGAACTCTCTCCCCCTGAGCCTGAGATCACTGGACTCAGTGGTCTCCTTTACAAAGGAGCTGAAAACTCACCTGTTCAAGCTGGCTTTAGCGTGATCTTCATCACCCTCCTTATTCTGCTCTCCACACCTGTTCCTCCATCCGCAGGATCCACTGATTTCCCTTTTTCCTATTTACTCTCTCTCTTTGCATTTTTTAAATCACAGTTGTCTATTTTTGTTTATTTTAAACATTTTTAATAATTTTCTAAAATATTTTTTATGCTTTAAATAGTTTGTTTTGTGAAGTGCCTCGTGATTTTTATCTTGAGAAGCGCTATAGAAAAGATCGATTTCTTTCTTTCTGTATGGAAACAAATTTTAAATGCAGACAAAAATAATATTTCATGTTGTGACATTAGAAAGAATGACTAGATGTAATCATCAGTTAATAAAATCAATATAATATATTAACAATAGAAATTAATAATAGTAATGTTGACTAGAATGAAACCCATTAGAGTGTTCAGATTTTGTATTACATAAACAGACTTGTTCAGATCCCTTGAATGGATTAGAAAGCCTTTAAGGATCTGTCTGTCAACGAAAGTCTAGGTTCTGCTGTGAAAAGAGACAAGATCCAGAAGTTCTGCTGGATTTTATTGGGCAGAATATTTTATATACATTTTGCAGAGCTGGACTGAGGCCAAGTCAGCTGCTGACGGTCCATAATTTAATAAACTGTTAAAACACAATTCTGTCAAAAAGATGCTTTTAAAAATAAAGTTTTCTGTGATCCAGGATTAGTTTCAAACATGCAAATAAATGTGTCATTTTTACATATTAAATTTAAATACTTGAGAAATAAATATCTACGTCTTATATGCAACTAATTTGCATATCTGGTGCGTTGATATTCCTGAAATGATCACACTTTTCTTTCTCTTTTTTTTAAACAGCTGATGAGACTGTTGAAAAGATGGAGACAGAAAGTATGGCCTTGCCTCCTCCAAAACCGTCTACGGAGGACACCTCAGCAGATTGTGCTGTCCTTTCCCAACCTATCACAGAGGAAGCGTCCTTACAGAGTCTTCCCGAAGAAAAGGTCAAAGAACCTGTTAGTACTGGGGTCTCCAAGGAGCAGTGTGTGGAGTCGGATACATCTGCACCACAAATGTCTAATCCTCTAGCTGATCAGAGTCCTACCACTTCAGCTCTCAGGCTTCATGGGTCTGGTGCCCTAATGGTCACAAAGACCGCCTACGTTATTCCAAAGAAGCAACCTGTGTCTCAGCCTCCATCCAGCAATGCATCTGCTTCAGCGACAGGCCAGAAGTTGTCCTCAGCCCCAACATTGCTGAATGAAACCCGTAATCTGCTTGTACCACCAGCGCCCAGCGCTCCCGCCTCCAGACCGTCTCAGCCCAATAACCAGATCCGACAGAGCATCCAGCGCACCCTCTCAACCATTCTGCTTAAGAGGTGAGAATGAATTAATCATTAGTTTGTTGTTAACATTGCATGTTGTCATGATATTAACAGTAGGTGCCTATTACAATTTGTGGAGCAGTTTAAAATGTTCGGTCCTTTTGAGATGTTTTTGAAACTCCCCTTATACTGATCACCAGCAACCACAGCCCAGTCAAATACTGGCCTAACACTGTGGAAATTATTAACAAAAATAAGCTTTATATAGAAAATGTGAAAAAATTATGTAAAAATCGATTTCTGTATTCTGACGTATAAAACCTTAAGATTGTAAAAGGTGTACATACATTTACTCCCTGACTGAGAAGGGTCATAAGTCAAAATGTTTTTCCTTAACAGGAAGAAGAGACTTTAATTTGATGCCTAATGTGTTTATTTTTAAGGGTCTGTGATTGTGAGGATTTGCAGATGTCCGAGAGTGAAGTTGCAAAGCTTGTTGCCAACATTGAGAAGGAGATGTTCGATATATTTCGCAACACAGACAGCAAATACATGAACAAGTACAGAACAATAATGTTTAACCTGAAAGACTCGAGGAATAAGGTTTGTTAAAATTATCATTGTGGTCAGATTTATTGATTTTTTTCCTTTTCTCATTGGGTCTGAATGTGAACACTGGGGCAGCGGTGGCTGAGGAGTAAGGGCCTGCCCCATAACCAGAGGGATGCAGGCGCGAGCCTCGTCTGTCAGAGACGTTTCCTTCGGCAAGACACTTAACCCTCCCTGCCTGCTGGTGTTGGTGGGAGGGACTGGTGGTGTCTGTGCTCTTTAGCCTTACCTCAGCCAGTGAGCCCCAGAGCAGTGAATGACTGGATGTGTTGTAAACTGCCTTGGGGGGTTATAGTACCCTTGAAAGTGCTACATCAAACACAGGCCATTAACCATTTAATTACCCTAGATTGTTTTATTTTGAAAGGGCACATAAAATATTTATATACATGCTTTAGAAAGTAAATGAACACTTTCTGATTTATTGTAGGGTCTGTTGTACCGGGTTGTAAATGGAGACATTGGTCCCTTCAGACTGGTGAGGATGAGTCAAAAGGACATGCAAGCTACGAAAGCACCCGAGCCAACGCCTACAGATGCAACAAAGGTAAAGAGAAACCAGAAGGCAACGAAATCTAAATCTGGTTTCATTATATCTCAGCAGATATTTCAACACTTTTACCAAGGAGTTCATGTTCTTTGATGATTGTGTTTACAAAGGTTAAAGATGAAGTGGCTAAAATGACGAATGTGCAGAAGCCTGAAGCAGTGAAACTTGATTTGCCAAAGCTAAATCCTGCTAGGCCTGAGAGAAAACCAGAGACCATGGTTCGTACCAGCATGAGTAATATATTAATAGTGTTGTAAATCCTTTTATTGTCTAACTGTTTCATATAAGCCTCCTTTTTAAGCGATTAAGAGATATTAGGTCATCCATGAATGTTTAATCCTGTAAATTGTGCTTTTTGTGGCTACGTCTGATTTCTGGGGACAGAAGAGAGGCCTTCCTGCTCCACCGTCAAAACTGAGAGCTAACCAACAAAGCAAGGACACCACTAGGGCAGATGTGCTCTCCTGTATGCTCAAGGACACAACATCAGAGCACAAAGCTCACCTCTTTGACCTGAAGTGTAAGATATGCACAGGTAAGTCACAGTGAGGTTGACCCACAGAAGACTTTATTTCAATCTGATGAGCAATTTGTGGGTGTTTTTGTTTTTTTAATAGGGTCATTTTACCATCTTATGTAGTAGTGCATTGATTAATTTGAAAATAGAGTAGAAAAATCATCTTTAAACTATTTTGAATACATATCACATAAAATTGATGATCCAGTCAGATGTAGCTGTGCTCTTGGCCAAGAGTGTTCCAAAACCTTTTACTTTTAATTGTTTAAAACATTTTCTTATTTATTCCTAAAGGTCAGATGCAACCTGCAGACATGGACGAGCCTGTTAAGAAAAAACCCATGGTATCTGTGTCACAAGATAAGACTGAACCCTCTTGGAAGAAGCTTGCAGTGGATGACTCCCCTCTGCGCGCTCCCCTAGAATCACCTTTCATGGATTCTCCTGCATCTTCAACAATGGAGTCTTCACCCAATTTAAACATTGACTCTCCAAAATTAACCATTGTAGAATCACCGGGCTCCCCGATAATGGATTCCCCTGCCTCCCCTATATTAGAATCTCCTGCTTCCCCTGTCATAGTGTCCCCTGCATCTCCAACTCCACAGGCATCTTCCGCATCAGCACCAAAGAAATCGTATACTCCAGTAGCGATACCATCCATCTCCACTGTAACCATAACAAGACGTGACCCTCGCACTGCAGCCACCAGGATCACTGCTTCATCTGGTGTCAACTCTAGCTACAATAACATTAACTATAATCAAGCAGCTCCCTATGCACTTGTTAAAGACACCCAACCCCCCCAATCAGCTCCACCATCCTTAACACAACCACCCAAAGTGTTACCTAAGTCTATTCTAATGAAGCCATCTTCTACTGCTGATCCCAGGCTTTATGGCGCATCTTCAAGGTACTTGATAGAACACGACTGTATTTGTCTTGTGTTGTAGTGTGCACATTTGTAAATTCAGTGTTTGTGTTGTTTTTGTGTTTAGGGCAACAATTTCTCATTCTGCTGCAGAGGGCGACACTTCACCGTTTCTAGCTAAGCAAGAGATACTCTGGAAAGGATTTTTAAACATGCTCACAGTTGCAAAGTTTATGACTAAAGCGTATCTAGTATCTGGATCTGCTGAAAACCTTAAAACGGTACGGTAACATACAACAATTATTGAAGTCCACTAAGCCACATCAAAACAGTCCATCACTGTTGTAGAAATAAAATGAGAAATGTTTGTGTTTTTTGTGCGTTCTGTAGGATCTACCTGATACCATACAAATCAGAGGACGAATCTTGCCTGAAACGGTTTGGGACTATGTTGAAAAACTTAAGACTTCAGTTACAAAGGCAAGCAAGATGCCTTTTATGTTTGTTTCTGTAGTAATATTGATGATGTTTCTGTGTTTTGACACATCCCCTTTCTTGTTTATTTTTAATTAGGAGTTATGTGTGATCCGTTTTCATCCAGCGACAGAGGAGGAAGAGGTGGCCTATGTGTCCCTCTTTTCCTATTTTAGTAGCAGAGGTCGTTTTGGTGTGGTTGCCAACATCAGTCAGTCCATCAAAGATGTTTACCTCGTCCCGCTCAGTTCAAAGGAGTCGATTCCATCCATGCTGCAGCCTCTTGAAGGGCCAGGTATAAATGCTTTAATTACTATTCAGCCCTCACATAAAAATGTACCTACTGAAAGTAGGTGTGATGTAAAACATCAGTGTTGCAAAGCAAATTGACTCAGTGGTAGAGTTTCGTTTTTGTTAGCCATTCAAAGGCGAGATGTCCAAATCAATCACAAGGTGTTCAATTATACTAGAGAGACCACTGAAAATGTATTGAACAAACGAGTGAGCTTTGTCTTTAAGAACAATATTTCAAGCAAGGTCTTAGTATTTAAGAAGAGAGACATCTGTTTTTGTGTATTTTCTGTTAATTTTTTAATTCTGTTCATTTATTTAATTTTAGGTCTTGAAAAAAATCGACCCAATCTTCTTTTGGGTCTTGCGATTGTCCAAAAGACAAAACGTCCTGGAGGCTTGCATCCAGAAACTGAAGAGAAGCGACCCAAAGTTAACATGCCTAAAGACCCAACGTGGATTCCCAAACCGCCGGTACTTTATGGTTCTGACAAGCTGGAGATATTCCAGCCATATGATCCGGAGACTCCGGCGAGTTCCTCCCCTCCTGGTTCACCATCTTGTCCTGGATCAACATCAGACTCTTCCTCTTCTAGTTCAGTTACCATGCCATCTTCCTTGATGTCCAATAAAGCTGCTTCTTCTGCCTTGTCCACTGTAACAACAGAATCCACATGTAGCAGCAAGCAAGGCAAAAACTCTACACCTGCATCTAATAACAAAACTCCTTTGCAGACTATTTTGAAGACTTTGTTTGGCAGTAAAACATCTGACTCCACTGTATCCACTGATAAAAGTGCCCCCAAAGCCCCAGCAAATACAAAGAAGACCCCAGGGTTTTCTCAAATATCTGGATCCATGGTAGATCCAATTGTCCAGCAATATGGACAGAAATCCAAAGTCAAGGAGTTTGAAGTAAAGGAGGAGGGAGGGGAAAAAGAAAATGACTTTGACAGACCATATGATCCTGAAGAGGAGTATGATCCTGCAATGACCTATAAAATGTTCCCCCCACAAGCCACTGAACAAATCAAGGCTGATGGCTCGGCAGTATCGGGAATTTTTGAAGATGATGTGGCCTATGATCCTGAAGATGAGACCATTTTTGAAGAATTTCAGAGTGGTGCTGCTTCAGCAAAGCCTGTTGTTTCAACTGAAGTTATCGATTCTTCATCATGTCTGACCCCAGTTTCTAATTCTACTCCAGCACAGAGTTCAAATCCAGTTTCGGCAATACAGAAACTTCCTACCGGCACTATAGTTGTCTCAGCGGCAACATTGAGTGAACAGCAGAGGATGCTTGAAGAACTTAACAAACAAATTGAAGAGCAAAAGCGGCAGTTAAAAGAGCAAGAAGAAGTATTGCGACAGCAAAGGGAAGCTGTGGGTATGTTCATGGCTCGTTTTTCTGTTTCTGATACCTTAATGTCCACCCCCACAAACGCATCGACATTGTCATCTATGCAGTGTGATAAAATGCAAATAGAATCAAAGTCTTCTAACAAAACGGACAAATCCGACATACCTACAGAGACTGACAATAACTCAAATGTGGATTCAAAAACTGTTAAAGTAGAGGACACAAGTGCCTGCTCTAATGTAAAAGATAGTTTAAATACTGCTGCAGAGCAAGATGAAACTCAGGAAAATGTTATGGAATGTGACAAGATTTTCTCTGCTGGGGAGATTGAGGACTCAGATGTAGCTTATGATCCTGAGGATGAATCGCTTTTTGATGAAATCCAAGATGATGTTTTTAAAGGAGTCATTTCATCGACGAGTAATTCATCTGCTAAAGCAGGTGATAATGTCTATCACAAGAGTGCATCACCAAATTTGCACCACTCCAAAAAGCGAAGGTCATCACCAAAAAGGCATAGCCGTCATGAAAGGGACCATCACAAAAGTCTTTCAAGAAGGTCACAGCGGCGTTCTCGATCCCATTCTAGAAGACGTAGAGACAGGGATAGACATAGCAGAAGTGAAAGAGACAGGTCAAGGCACAGACCCAGAGAGTCACCTGAATGTTCTGGCCAGTATCGCAAAGACTACACAACACGCCAACATTCTCGTGGGCATAGAAGATCCCCGTCATCCCCACGAAAAAAACATTCAGCATCCCTTTCACCAAAACGTCACGCAGAACATTTTTCTCAGCAGAAAACAAAACAGTCAAGTATTCCATGCCGTTCTTCAGAATCTCTTTTGGAAAAAAATGCAAAGAGTAGTAGATTGACATTGTCCAGTATTAAAAGGGATCCAGATGGAGACAATTTAGTTGCTGTTGTTGCGAACACTGATAAGCATTCACATGAACTAATTCACAATGTAAAAACAGAAGTTATAAAACCACCAGTTTGTCAGAAAATTGAAACAGAAAACAAATCAGATGGACATTGTGATGACTCAATTAGTGTTTTTACTACACAGGAAAAGAAACCTTCACAGCAGACATTATTTCATGACAAATACGAAAACACAATTCCTCTCAGGGAAATTGATCCACCCACTCGAGATTCTCCTGAAAGCCCTGATCCAGATCCACAGTTTGTTAAACCTCCAATCTTTGAAGAGAATGACTCTGCTGTGACTGAGGAAATCAGAGGTCCTAACGAGGATAATGTTGCTTCATTGCAGTCAGATAAAAATGCAAACAAGGTTGTTCAACTTGCATGCCTTGCCAAGGAAACTCCAGAATCTGAAGTAGATACTGTTGCAAAGCTTTCTGCATCAGAGGCTAGAATCCAAAGCAGTAGTCATTCAAGACCAGACATGAAAAAAAATGAAAACAAGGAAATGCACTTAAAACAAGGAGGACCAAGTTTTAGACTTTTAGGTCCTGAGTCAGGATTTCAAGATAAGTTTATAGATTGTATAGGGACACCTGTAATGCAACAAGAAACATGTGCGCCGGGGGCATCGGCAATCAAAAAAGAACCTGGTATTTATTGTCAAAACTTTAACAAAACTGATTCATTGACAGCTGAGACAGGTTCGGTGCTGGATACAAAAGATATGTCTTTGCAGGACATACATCAAAACATAAGATATCCATACACAGATAGACCACACAATACTGGATTAGCTGTTTCAAATTCAACAATAGCAGAATCATTCATACAGAATGAGAGGGGAAATCAATTAACGTCAGGCCAATTATCAGATAAACATGTTTCAGATCATGGGAGGTTGGTCTCAAAGGATTCTGTACCAGTTATGCATCATAACACAGATATCAGGGGGCATATGAATGAGGCAGCTCAAAATGTTAGTTGTCTGCAAGATTTACTCTGTTTTAAAATTAAGGAATTTAGATCACAGTCAGAGAACCTTGATAGTAGGTCAGGCCTGATGACATTGGGGACACAATCATTTAAGAAAAATGTTTTTGAACCACAAGGAGGACCTGCAGACTTAAGTGTCACAGGTGGTGGTATAAAGTGTGAAATCATGACAAACATTACAAAATCAGACTGGAAAGATGCAGGACCCCATCAAAATGATCAGAGTAAAAGGCTTGCTACTCCTGAGAGAAATCTAGACCAGGATGTCTCAAGATCAATCACAGATGATGCATGGAAAGGTTCAGGTTGGAGACAAATGGATCCAGTCCGAACAGGGCAATATGCGCAAGATGATAGAAGATTAAACATGAAGAGAGAGGGAATTGACAGGGAAGATGTTGGAAGCTTCCAATATAAGGCTCCAGAAAGGGGGATTGGTCCTAACACACAGATTTTGAAACATGACCACAAAGGGTCAGTAGGACCAGACTTTTTGGGATCTAGACTAGAAAAAAGAGGTCCTGAGATGCAGTTTCCAAGGTGTGACAGAAGACCGATTATGGCCCCCAGGTTTTTGGGACATGCTCATGACAGAAGTACGTTAACTATAAACACTGGGGAGCCTGGCATGAAATTACCAAGTGGTCCAGACTTTATGGGAAATGATGGAGGAGGACTAGCTTTAGATGCTACTGGACCTGGGTCAAGGCCAAAGAGAAATGATTCTTTTCTGGATAGTGGATTTGACAGAAGAGAATCAGCAGGCCCAGATTTTATGGATCCTTGGCCTGAAAGGGGAGGACAAAATATGGTATGCCCAAAACCTGATAGGAGTCCCAACATGGAGGGTCTTAGAAATTATTGTAAAGTACCAGGAAGTTCAGATTTCAGAAGAGCAGGGCCTGAAAGCACAGGCTTGTTTTTGGAGGGGCATGTGCACAATCTGAAAAAAACAGATACATCAAACAGGGGAATAAGGCCTGAAATGGAAGGTACGAGCATGGAGGGCCCTGAAACTGAAAGAAGGAGACTCAAAGATCCAAGTTTAAGAGAAATTAGCCCTGACATTAGACGTTTCAGAACAGTACCTGAAGATGTAGAATTTAAAAGATCAAGGCTTCAGAAAGGAAGTATCTCTATGGAAGATTCTGGTCATCAGAATAGAGGAGGTCCATTTTTCAGAGCACCAGGACCTGAAAGCAGATGTTCATCTATGGAAAATCTTGGATCAGAAAATAAAACACCTGGAGGTCCAGATTTTTGTGAGCCAGGTCTTTACAAGAGAAGTCACGTGATAGATGATACAAGATTTAACAGAAAATCTGGTGGTCCAGATATTAGACCAGTAAATGAAACAGGAGGTCTCATTATGGATAACCAGGAGTTTGGCAAAAGAGAACCACGAGCAGATATCTGGGGACTAGGGTCTGAAAGAAGAGGACCCATTGATCACAGTCAGGGACGCCCATACTCTAAAGGAGAAGGAACAGATGGTAGAAAACCACATTCAGATGATTCTGTTCGTAACTGGAAAGGTTCAGACTTCAGAGCACCAGGTTCTAATATGGCAGGTCCAGCACTCAATCAAAGAGGTATAGGGGGTCAAAGAATAGGGAGACCAGGGCTTTCAACTGAAGTTTTTAACACATTAAGCCCAAGGCATGATGGCAGATGTCAAGAAGATTCAAATATTTCAGAATCTTGGCCAGAAGAATTTCCTTTAAATAAGAATGAAAGAGCAGACAGGAATATTCTAAGAGGTTCACCGTTCAGGTGTCCTGAATCAGAAAAAGGACCTTCAGATATGGAAAGTTTGGATAGAGTTTCACACTTTAGGCCTAATAGAGCAATTATGAGGGGTCGGAGACCCATGAGAAAAGAGTCAGGAGTTTTTGGAGGACCATTTCTCGTAAATAGAGGTCGAGGACTTGAAAGGCCAACTATTAACAGACAAAATACAGATGGTCGAGGCTTCACAGAGTTTGTGCCTGATAGACCAAGTTCAGATAGAGTGGATTCAGAATCCATCTGTAGTGAAAGTGGTAAAGGAATCAGACAACATGAAACAAGCACAGAAGGTCATAGTTATAAAAGAAAGTTTGACTGGGAAACACCAGAACCTATTTCAGAAAGTCCGTATTTAGATATTGCAGGGCCTGATGAGAGTAGAGTTTTTAGACCTTCAGGTCCTATAAGAGGAAGGATTAGAGGACACGGACAGAATTTCCATGGCTCTGCACCTGGTAGGGGAAGAGAAAACTTTGAGGGGCAGTGGTCAGACAGAAGAGGGTCGACTATGGAAACTTCTGGAGATGAGAGAGGATTTCCTGAAGATAATTGGGACAGCAGTGACAATATGAGCTCAGGGCCTGTCGAAGATGGTTCAGATGAGCAAGACCAGAGAGATGGTAAACAGTATCGTACTAGTGAATGGAGAGACACAACGAATAGGCAATTTCCAAAACCCATACATGGTTCTGGAGATGAATGGAGTGGTCCTAGTTGTAGGGGTCCACAGCCAACCCAGGAGAGTTCAGATGACAGTATTTCAGGACCCAGCAGGGACGGCCTAGGGAGATTAGCAGGGAAAGGGTCGAGGCCATTTTTCAGGGGGAGAGGTGGCACAGGCTACAGAGGACACTTCTGTGACCGAGGCCGAGGGGGCGGTCGAGGATCAGGTTTGCATAGCTCCTTGTATTTGGAGGAAGAAGGCATGCAGCAGGACTTTAAAAGCAATGTGAAAGGCCCTGGAGTTTATAGGAGAGGTCGCAGTTTAATGAATCCATGTCCAAACAGGAGATCATTTGAGCAAGGGGATCAAGATTCACAATACCCTGAATCAGGCTGTGAGTATTCAGAAAATGAAGGTCCAGGAACAGATGGGAGATATTCTGAATTTGTGGAGCCAGAATCTCCAAGATATGATGAAGACATAAAAGATGCTGATTTTAGAAGAGGAAGAGAAGGTTTAAAGATGACACGACAAGGACCAGCAGATAAGAGGAGATGGGACACAAACACAGAGTTTGCTGAGTTGGATAGAGAACAAGCAGATGTGGGGGATTGGGAACAAGAAAAGGGAGGCTATGTAACCAATAGTGAAAGAAGAGGTCCTTGTCTGGTTGCACAAAATCATGAGTCTTTTGAAAGACCTTTAGCACCATTCAAAAGGCCTCGTGGTCCAGCTCCAAACAGAGGAGAAAAATCATTCACTGTTTTTGATGGCCCACATCAATCTGTACCACCCCACAAAAACAGAGGTGCTTTACTTCCTACTCCACATGGCTTAAAACGAGTAATTAGAAAACATGAACCCTTCAGCTTGAAAACAAAAGCGTTCGGTCACCCAGTAAATAGGGAGCCGATTAGAGGGAGAGCCGTGGATTTTCAGTTCAGGGGCCGTGCAAGAGGGCCAAGAGGTGGAATATCTGGCTGATTTAGAGTCGTGGAGGGTGAAAATGAAATGGAGGCAGGCATATAAAATGCTAAAAAGTTGGACAGTCAAGACAAAATAGTGTTTACGAATGTTTAGAACACAGACTGGAAGCCACACACTTTCCAAAATTGTATTTTTAAGCCTGTCCTGTAAGTCCTGTAACAATTTCTATGGTCTACATGCAAGCCCATGTATGGTAAAGGTAAACAAAGGAGTAATATTTTGTTTTTATGTTTTTGTTTGTTTTACTGTACAAAAATAAAGTGGCTATGACTAATACTCTTTAAAGCAAACTGATCTGCTGTATGTACAACTTGATGTGAAATTTTATGTCAATAGTTTGGAAACCTGTACAGGAAATGTAAAAATAGTCTGTTTTTAGCATGGCCATATTAATGCTATAGTCTTCATCTAGTTTGTTTATTCTCATTGTCGAAAACACAACCTGTTTTAGTGTTTGATTTGAAAGCAGCATCTCAATAAAAAGGTGTTCAAATGGAAACTTGTGTTACATCTAATTGTGTCAGCTTCACTGGATTGAATTAATGCTACCTAAATGATACCCACAAATTTTTCCTCATTAAGTGATATAAGCTATATTTCTGGGTTGACACCAGAGGTGTGGACTTGTCCTGATTCCCATGACTTGAACCCTTTTCACAAGACACCGTGCTTTCAAATCAATGTAATATTACTGCAATGGTGTGTCCTGTAAACGTGCCATGCTGGCATGGCAATACGTGAATTTTGTGGTATGCGTTTCGCCTTGCTTGGTAGTAACATTGCTGTAATTTTCTGTCCTTGAAACGGCGATTGGCGCAACAGAGTGAAGTGTCATGCTGACTTGGGGAGATAATGCCGAGCTCTGGCCGGCAGCTATATTGAAAATGAAAGTAAAAACAAGTTGTAAGTTTTTCTTTTTTAACAAAATCAGCAGAACTGGCAAACTGGAGCGCTAAAGAGCTCCTGGAGCTTCTATCCGTTAGAGCTGGAGCTCAGATCAGCAGAGACTGTAGAGGACAGGCACCTTTAAGCGCAGCTTGTTAAAAATACTTAACGAGCACGGCTTTAATCACAATAACAGCAAGTTATGCTCAAGTTAATTGGAAGTCTGTGGCAGTGCAGAGACAACCATCATACCCCCTTTCTGTCGCCATCGCCTAATTTTTTGTAAAGGACACGATTGCACCACTTTATTGCCACAGTCTGACCACTTAAAAACGACCTAAGGCTCCCTCATGCAGCCACAGCGTTGCGGCAAATTGATTGCATTGTTTTGTAAAAATGGCTTTGGACTCAGGTCAGACTTGAGTAATATATTTTATGGCTTTACACTTGTTGTGGTTTGAGTTGGTATTGTTGGCTTTGAAGTGGTGGCTAAGTTACCTTTGGACTGAGTAGATTACATCAAGATTATAGTCAGTTATTGATCATCTCAAATAAAGTCAGTGGAATGAGCAAAAAAAATAAAGCCAAACTGACTCATAGCAAAGCAAATAATGCAACAAATGACTAATTTAAAGGCATTTCTGAATGTTTTCACAGCTAAACCGTTAATTTGTTTAAAAGAAACTTTGGAGTTTGTAATTTCATGGAAATATCAGGAGATAATTGTGACACGGTACTGTAAAGATCTCATCACGCACCGTCTCGCTGGTCCAGGAGAAGATGGTACAGCAAAGGTTTCTCATCTTATTTTAACAGCTGTAATAAAAGTAACCGATGTTTGACTCTTTCATGAAGCTCAGAAAAATCACATGTGCTTTACCATTTCTGCCTCAATCCTCCATCTGATTACACGACTGGAATGCATTTTATACTTGTGATTTGTTGCGATGTGTCATATTGCACTCTTACTCCCCAGGTCATCTAGGAAACCTGGGGCAACAAAATAATTATTCTCTGTCGTTCAGAATGTAACTCAAAGGTTTTATTTAACAGAACAGAGCCCAAAACACCAAGAACACTGACAACAAAATTGATCAGCAGCAACTAAACATGGTAGCAACTACTTAGCCTCTAATTAGCCAAAGTAATATACATGTAAAAGATCATCCCAGCGGGGGCTTCTCCCCCCAGTGATGAGTCTTATTTACAATGGAATCGAGTGCAGGGTTGTCCCTGCACAGAAAGGCAAAGTGGCTAACCAGAGATGTACAAGTGCTAAGCATCCTCAGCACAGAATTACACAAAGTTGCTATTTCTAAGGTGACTTTAAGTGACCAAATCAAAGCATGCCGAGGAGACAACAGATCAGAGACAACATCTCTGGTCTGCTGCTCCCTGAAGATGTGAGCCAAGAGGTTTTTATGCCTCCAGTCCTCAATAAGTAGGTGATCATCATCTCCAACAGCTTGGTGCTTCGGGTGGAGCAGGGCAGAGTGGAGGGAGCCAGGTGCTACAAATCAGCTCCTCAGGTACAATACAAGGAGGAGAACTATTAAACACAAAAGCCAAGCATCGGCGAACATAACAGACTTAAGGATTCTGGAGTCTGTTAGGCAATAGATGATGTGTCTGGGTTTTATTTGGTGGTTCTGGGACAGGTTCTTTTCTCTGCTCCACTACATAACACAGTGGGAAGTTATAGCCTAATCCATCATTTACAGTGTATGTGGATATGTAGTCTGGCCACGACCCATAGACAGATCTCAGTAGTAGGGCGGAAACAATGATTGCCTTTCAAACTTGCTATTGAACAAGAAACAACGATTATCAGTCAACGGGGCAGACTGCCATATACTGTCAAAGAAGATTCAAATACATGCTTATTCTATGATCATGTAAACGGCTGGTGGAAGAAGAAACAGACTTATTCAAATATCCACTCCATGTAATTTGAAGATTTGGCCGAGGTTTTCAGCTCCTCGTCCTCACTGGGACTTCACCGGACGTCGAGACCACGATCCTCAGAGATTAGTAGCTTCCTCTGAGTTCAACTTCCCCGGCCATGAGATGCAACCCGGGGTCTGCAGATTAGGCATCCGAGAGGATGTCTGATAGTTGCAGTAGCTCTGGAACGCTCTTTTGTGTCTGTAATCACTTGCAGCTTTGTGGCAAGGTTTTGACTTAAGGTCAGAGGAGGTTGTTTCAAAAAGGCTTCTTTCCCCATTTGGCCAAATCGAGGTGTCAGCTGGAAACTGAATAACTCGGGAAGTCCTCCTAGTTTTATTAACCTAGAGTTTATCATTTCTGCGAGTCAGAATTTGACATGTTGTAGTCTCTTACCAAACATCCCTCAGAAACCACACCTTCATCAGATACAAAATGTTCTTTTTCTGTGGATAAAGAATCTTTAAACTTTATGTGATGTGACGTTAACCATAATTTATATCTTATGAAACATTGTGTATGTGTACAGATAGTGAATAACTTGCTAATTCAAACAGTACTGATCAGATTATGTAAGTGGATCATTGTGATAATAATATTCATATCAACTTCACAGATTGTCCAAACATTAATATTGTTACTCATATAACATCCGGTTCATTCAACCGTATGATTATTTAAACATATGAGCTGTAAAAGTTCACTTTTTATGTGAAGAGTGCGGAATCCTTTAGAAGCGATAAGGCTCTTGTGTGCCAAGCACTGTAGAGGCCTGGACTTTAGGAGACAGGAGAGAAAATCCACCCAGTTAGTGGGCTTATATGTGCAGATGATGTCGGTCAATATATAGGTGTCACGTTGAGAGGATGGTTTGGACCCAAAATGCAGTACCCAGGATGTTACGAGGCAGGAGTGGTTTTAAAAGTGAAATCCTTTTATTAGGTGATGAACCAAAAATCCAAAAAGGGGAGGAAGCCAAAAACCAAGTCCTGAACAACAGGAGTACGAAAGCTCACTTAGAGCAACAAAACCTAGAGACATAAGCTCACTAGAGCACGAAACAACGCTGACAAACAATAATGGACCGACAACAACACAGAGACAAGACAGGGCTTAAATAGACTGGGAGGAACAATTAGGGAAATAGGAAGCAGGTGTGTGGAGTGAGGGCTGGAGGGAAGACAGGTGACAACAATCATCTAAATGGGGAAGCAGAACCAAAGGAGGGCAGATAAACATAAAACTGAACTAAAAGACTGAGGGAAGGACTCACACACACAATCACACCCAAATACACTCACACACACTGAATTGGGGAATGGACACGCACACACGCGTGCACACACACACACACACACACACACACACACACACACACACACACACGCGCACACACACACACACACACACACACACACACACAAACACATACATACACTCACACACCCACACAGACACAGAGCTGGTGACAAAGAGGCTGGAGCTACAGCTGGAGGGGATGGGGATGACCGAATGCCTACAAACAGAAAACACATAATTGAGACGCAGACAAAGGACACATGAGGGCGCTATGAGACACAAAAATGAATCTAGAGAGGATGGAGACACATCAGGAGACACATAAAGGAGGGGGCAGACGCAGACCATGACAATAGGTGAAAAATGACCCTTTCTGGACGTTACCTTCTTGTTGAAAATGATACGTGACGTGTTTCCAGGATACCGGACGGGAAATAGACAAACTCTGCTCCTTTCTGGGTATTTCTCCTTCAGCTGATGTTAAGGACAAGGTTGTGAGTGGGGTCCAGTTTGATAACATGAAAAAGAACAAGATGGCCAATTACTCCACCATCCCGGTTATGGATTTTAAGATTTCTCCCTTCATGAGAAAAGGTTTGTACGACTTTATTATGCAGGAGGAGAAACAATCAGCAGCAGAAGTGTTGAACTGGTGGTTTGTGTTTCTGCAGGGAAGGTTGGTGACTGGAAGAACCACTTCACCGTGGCTCAGAACCAGGTGTTTGATGAAGACTACAGGAAGAAGATGAAGGATCCCACGCTGCAGTTCCGAAATGAAATTTGAACACACAGAAATAATTGTGTTTGACTGACTGAACCTTAGAAATCTAAGAAAGAGTTTTGTTGCCTGTGAAGTGGAAGCAGAGCTGTGGAGGTGGTTGTGTCTCATTTAACCCAGCGCAAATCTAAACATGCAACTGAGAGGGGATTTATCAGAAGAAAACGTTTGAGTTTAAAATCAAAATCCAAGAATGGAACTGAACAAAAATCATCACTTCTTCTGTTTGATTATAAAGTTTTTATTTGATATTTTCTATCTGCAATAAAACTAAGAAGAACTGTGTTGAAATGTTTCAGACATTGACTATGAAACTAAAAATGGCAGGCTAATAATTAAAATTCAATTTTGACATGAATGAGTAAAATAATAAATGAGACATTTTGCCATATAGCTAGAAATGCTCTACCGATACATTTTTTGTCATAAAATGTAAAATTTGAATTACTTGTGAATTGTACAATCCTAGAAAAACCCAATCCAAGGTCCCATTTTTAATCATTTTGGATTATAATCTATCCATCAAACTGCCCTCTCCCTTCTCTTGCTCATTTCTCATATTTGCCTTTATCATGTGTTCTCAGCTCAAAGGGACTGAATAGGAAGGGAAGCAAGAGCTAGGCTGCCTAGTGTAATGGACGACATGTTCTGCTCTGTTTGTGTGCAGAACATGTTCTGTTAAAAGTCTGGTTCTGGTCTGGTTGGAAAATGTTTCAGGGCCGGACCTGTTGTCCATGAACTCTGCACAATCTGACAAAACAGTTGGGGTTGGGCTGGCCTAAGTCTGCCCAGCTGTGTAACACGATCAGCACATCTGGAATGTGTCTGGATTCTGGTCCTGTTGGGGGAAAATCGTCTGAAAGGAGGAAGTATAACCTTTATGCAAATAAAGAAGTGTGTCTTTGATCTTTATGCAATGTGTGTGTGTGTGTGTGTGTGTGTGTGTGTGTGTGTGTGTGTGCGTGTGTGTGTGTGTGTGTGTGTGTGTGTGTGTGTGTGTGTGTGTGTGTGTGTTCGTGTGTGCGTCAATACAAGCAGGACAGGACAAGTTTGAGGAGGGTGGAGTCGAGCTCTGCAAGTAACTTATCAGTGGCGGTGAGCTTTCCCCTCTGTTGTTGGTGCTGAGCTGCTGGGTAGATTGTAGTTACTCGAGTGAACCCATTGGAGTGTTACGTAATCTGAAAAGAGGAGGAAACATCTCCATTAACGGGAGTAAAACTGGAAGAACAGCTGAAACAGACGCCTACAGCAAAATGTCACTGGAAACAGAGAAGGTATGTGAATGCTTTTGTTTGTTTGTATATATTTAATTATTTTCAAAGTACACTACGGGTTCTTTCCTCTTCTCACAAGTTTAGGGAGCTGTTTAAAATGCACAGCAGAGATAGATGCAAATGCTTTCAACAGCTCCAGCCTCCTTTATCCCCGTCTGGGTCAGACTCTCGTTCAAGCTGCAGAAGCTTCTTTATTTACTTGTATGAAACTTCTTCTTGCCTTCTTTCAAACCCAATCCGACACAAATCTCCACACATCACAACCCCACGTCTCTCCTTTCTCTCCACTGAAAATGCTGCTCTTGTAGATTTTGAGTTTTTTCCATGCTTTCATTACACCCCCCCCCCCCCCCCCCCCCAAAATAGATGAAAGAATCTCGGCCAGAACTGTTTGATTTCCATGGAGTCCCAATGATTCACTATTTTACGGACAACTGGGAAAACATCCAAAACTTTGAGGCCAGACCAGACGACATTCTTATTGCAACATACCCCAAAGCAGGTCGGTCTCCACACACGCTTCACCATAATTTATGAAAAATAAAAATGTAAAGAGTTAAAAGCTTTTGTATCTGGCTCCTTTTAGGAACCACATGGGTCTCCTACATCCTTGATCTGCTGTACTTCAGTCAGACGTTTGCCGACCGCCAGGCGTCCATCCCCATCTATAACAGAGTGCCGTTTTTAGAATTCGAAGTCCCGGGAATAGGCTCAGGTTTGGATGTTAATTTAATCTTCACCTTCTGTGAGTTCTCTTTGACGTACAGTGCAGGTGAAATGTCTACACACTGGTGGATAAATGGGCGGGTTCTGTGATGTCTGTAGAAATGTTGGAAAACAACTTAAATCAAATAGGAATTCTGTCGTTTTGTGGATCTAAATCTGTTCACATTTTTTCTCGTAAAACTGGATTCATGTTTGAACCCGATGACTCCCGTGATGATGTTCCGTTTTTTTTTAGCTCGGATGAATGCTTTTGGTTTTTCTGCCAAGAAGTTTGTTTGCTTCATCTTTCTAAGAAGAGCCCAAAGATTTAGTGTTAAAGTAGAAATGTGATTTGAGCTTTAATCTCCTCCAACCCCTAGCTTAAAGCTGCTCCAACTTTTCACACATTTATTAATCCTTTACACGTATGACACGTCTCACCTTTATGTTAATATTGTTTTATTTGATGCACTCCACTTTGATCAGCACCAATCCAGCAACTGCTGCATTTTAATAACTAGTATTAAAGGTGAATACACCAATATTTGCACAAAAATAATTTTGGTTTTAAACTCTCAGTGACACAATTTGCAGGGGGGATTCAGCATTTAATTTTTCTTGAAAAACGTTTCCTTCTGCCCCCTTTATTTTGGTCCAAGATCGTTGCTGGGCTGGCCCTATTAAACACGTTCTACACCCCTGCTTAGTAGACTTAATGAAGTATTTTTAAGCCAGTATAAAAACGACTGAAATACAAATTTACATATTTGGCATTATTGACCAATATCTTTGATTTAATTAAGAACATCAAGATGCATTACGGTGAACATTATAATAAAGTAAAATTTTCTAGTGCAGAGAGGAGACAACCCATAGAAGCACTGATTTGATCTCATTTCTGAGAAAAATGGAACAGATCAGATGCATCTAATGAATAAAATTACTAACATAAACTCAGGAATCTGTTTCTTTGCTTCATTGTTCTGGTGCTGAAAATATCACTAATGCGGATCAAAGGACATACACAGATGAATGCACCTTATTATTTATTAGTTGGGAATTAGTGGGTCTGGTTTACATCAATGCATTATTTTAAATCTGAAATCGATATGGATTGATCAGAAGTTGCTGTGTGTATTGTTTATTTGAAAACTATTTACAGAGCAGCCTCAGAATTGAGATTAAATATTTTTGATCACAATAGTAAAGGAGCTATTACAGAACGAGTTTTTCAATACAATCAGAACATTAATATTTAAGTGCATGAATTATGGCATCTGAACTCATGCAGTAGGAACTAGGAAATATGAAATACTAGAACCATTTTATTTAAATTTGATTAAACTGATTTTTTTCCAAACGTTGTTGGCATTTTTCCCACACACAGTTAAACAAAACAATGTTGATTGAGGAGTGTGTGTGTGAGAGAGAGTTAAAATAATAATAATAAAAAAATAAAAAAAACGAACCCGACCGGAGTGGAGGCAGTGACCGACGCATGCACTAGCCGTTTTCAGCTCTGTCTTGTCAAATGCACCACGTACGTTACGAGAAAAGTAACTTTAAATATTCAACCGAAAAAGAGGCGAGCTGAAGAAAACCTAGGGAATACTGAAGAAACGTGAGCAACAGTGAAGCAAGCACAGAGAGATCCATTACTGTGATTGTGTGTGTGTGTGTGTGTGTGTGTGTGTGTGTGTGTGTGTGTGTATGGGCCAGACTGAGCTCCTGGCTACAGAGCTTTGTGTGTAGGGAGGGGCGGGCGCTCTATGTGACTGGCCAGTCACAGAGCGTGAAGACAGTCAATTACCCAATGAGGATTTTCCTTCAGCACGATTACAGATATTTACGAGTTTTACTCGTTTCATGCTCGTATTCGTCAAAAATGCTTTATCCGTACCGGATACTAGTCTGAAATGAGTATCCGGCTCATCCCTAGCTGTAACCACCCTGCCTTGCCTCCTCCTCCTCCTTGCTGCCTGCCGGCTGTGATCACAAGCAACAACAGAGTAGTTCTCGCTGCTTCTTTGGGAAACGGCGCAAAAAAAAAATCAATAAAACTTGGGATCTTGTAGGCGTGGCGCTGGGATTTCAGCCGTGCTACGCCTATGTAAGGGAAACACTGAGGCCCTTTGATATGGGCTGTTAGGTCCCCGTATGACCGGTGTCAGAGCTTGGGCAGCATTGCCGGCAGTAAGTCTGCCTCGTTTTCTGTGAGAGTTGGACTCGGCCAAGGCTGCCCCTTGTCACCGATTCAGGCACCTAAAAATCCAGACAGGATTTCTAGGCGCAGCCAAGTTGTTGATGGGATCTGTTTTGGTGGCCTACGGACTGAGTTTCTGCTTTATGCAGATGATGTGGCCCTGGATTGGTGCTGCATCTGCAGTGATGCCTGGTGAGGTTTTCCAGGCACATCCCCAGGACACGCTGGAGGGACCATGTCACTCAGCTGGCCAGGGAACGCTTTGGGATTTCCCTGTAGTGTTTGGCCCAAGTAGCTGGGGAGAGAGATGTCTGGGCCTCTAGGCTGCTGCCCCCTTGACCCAACTCCGGATAAGCTGTTGAAAATGGAAGAATGGATTATTCTTTAGATTTTCTGGCATTTCATTTCAAAGTGGTCATTTTGTGTGGTTCCTATGTGAACTGCTGACTTTTAAACCAACTCTACTGAGTGCATTTTGTCTTAAACCTATTTTGGACGTGATGTTTTAAGGGTTTTCTTTATTCAATCGTGTTATTATCCACAGGAAAGGACCTGGCCGACCACCTTCCCACCACTCCTCGACTCATCAAAACTCATTATCCTGTTCAGTTTGTGCCAAAGTCCTTTTGGGAGCAGAACTGCAGGGTAAATACGTTTTGCTGCTGTTTGCATTCATACACAAAGAAGCTGCAACATCTGACTATTAAGATATTTTCTATATCTGCTCAGTTAAAGATCATTTATGCTGCACACTGCTCTTCAGGATATATACGGCTTTTTAATGCATGTTTGTCTCTGGTTCTCCTCTGCAGGTGGTCTATGTAGCCCGCAATGCAAAGGACAACATGGTATCCTATTATCACTTTGACAAAATGAACATGATCCAACCAGAGGCTGGAGAATGGAGCAGCTTCTTCCAGAGGTTCATGGATGGGAAAAGTAGGTTCAAATGAGATCACTTACATTAATGTGAATAAGACAAAACGATAATCAGGACAAAAATAAATAATCTGCAGTTAGAACATGATTCTCTATTTGTTGTTTAAATGTTTCTGTGTCTCAGTGGGTTTTGGCTCCTGGTACGATCATGTAAACGGCTGGTGGAAGAAGAAACAGACTTATTCAAATATCCACTACATGTACTTTGAAGATTTGGCCGAGGTAACTGGTTGTTTTCAGCTCCTCGTCCTCACTGGGACTTCCCTCTGGTTGAAAATGATGCGTGACGTGTTTCCAGGATACCGGACGGGAAATAGACAAACTCTGCTCCTTTCTGGGTATTTCTCCTTCAGCTGATGTGAAGGACAAGGTTGTGAGTGGGGTCCAGTTTGATAACATGAAAAAGAACAAGATGGCCAACTACTCCACAATCCCGGTTATGGATTTTAAGATTTCTCCCTTCATGAGAAAAGGTTTGTAAGACTTTATTATGCAGGAGGAGAAACAATCAGCAGCAGAAGGGTTGAACTGGTGGTTTGTGTTTCTGCAGGGAAGGTTGGTGACTGGAAGAACCACTTCACCGTGGCTCAGAACCAGGTGTTTGATGAAGACTACAGGAAGAAGATGAAGGATCCCACACTGCAGTTCCGAAATGAAATTTGAACACACAAAAGTAACGGTTTGGGATTGACTGAACCTTGAATATAAACAAATAAAGGAAATCATTTTGACTACTAGACTGCAAAGTGGAAGCAGACCTGTGGAGTTTGTTTTGTCTCATTTCAGATGTCTGAGTGGTGATTTATAGAATTAATGTTCTATGTGACATTTTATATCTGCAATAAAAGATAAAATCTTTTTTTGTCATTAAACATTTCCTCTGATAAAAAAATCAACACTAAATTAACTCTAAAAAGGAAAAGCAAACCGATTTAACGTTAATGTCCTTTGAGCACAAAAGTGCACTAGGGTCGTACAAGGGTTAAACTACTGAGAGACCCATTTCCGGTCTCTCTTCCTGCTGCGGTTCAGTGCACCACGATGCTTTTGTCGGTCAGGAGGTTACGCAACAAACTGCTTGCTTTGGTTTGGAAAATCCCCGCGTGACCACATTCAACACAGTAAGCCAACTTTTGACCCTTTACTGAATGTTTATAGATTAATCAGGGAGTGGATTAAGTGATTTGTCAGTTCTAATTTTTAAAGAGTTAAAATTAGATTTAGAAAACAGATTTCTAAATCCCAGTTTTGTTCATTTAAATGAGCTGTAGCAGATCAGATTGTGGTAGCAATAATTTTTATTTAAAATATCCAGTTTGAGGTCTCTTTTAATAAGAAAGTAAACAATATAATTCAGGTTTCTCCATCTGTAAGAAAAAAATCCCTCTGAGGAGGATTTGTGCTTCTCCTTTTTACCAGATTCACACTTTTAATGACAGAAGTGTTAAACCCTGGTTTAGCTTTATTTGATACCTGCACCTAGAAGTTAAATCCCCACTATTCCCACAGGCTCGTCACAGATGGATCTGCCACCTCGACCGACGCTGTACGACCTTCAGGGTGTCTCCATGGTCAGATGCTTCACTAATAACTGGGAGAACACACAGCACTTTGAGGCGAGACCTGAGGACATCCTTGTAGCTGCTTACTCCAAAGCTGCAGGTCATGTTTACAAAAATGCATTTTCAGTGTCACAATGTGTTCTTCCCTTCTTTAATCTAAATCTATTCATCTTAGGAACCGTGTGGGTTTCCTACATCCTGGATCTCCTGTTCTTTGGGGGCACGCACCCGGACCGTCAGAATTCCATTCCTCTTCATGAGAGAGTTCCCTTCCTAGAGATCAGCAGACCATCTCCACCCACAGGTTTATAAAACTGTCCACACCATAAGAAAAATAATGAAAAAAGGGTCAATAATTTCATTTACAATTAATTATATGAATGAATACAAAGGTAATAATGTCAGATAATTTTGTGAAAACAGGCCCAAATAATTGAGAATTGACTCAAGTTTAGCATTTTTATTACATTTTCATAATATGCTTAAGATGGATGAATTTTTTCATGTCTCTTAACAACATAACAGAATACAGCTATATGTTTTTCTCACATTAGTCTTAAAACTTCAGCCAATGACACGGCTTGGTCTGAAACCAACAACTGGACCATCTGGTTGTCTCACAGGACCACAGCACTTCAACGTTTACCTGAGTCCTCCATTCATTACCCATGTGTGTGTTCAGCACCAGAACTCTGCTAGTGTGAGAGGCTCTCGGCCCAATAACAGAGGAGCAGCCGGCTGCTACCACTTCAGCTTTAGGACAAACTACCAGAGTCCCAAAAAACTTAAAATTAAAACTCACCTCCCAGTCCAGTTAGTACCAAAGTCTGTCTGGGAGCAGCGCAGCTGAATAAAACCTCTCTGGCCTCTCACACATGAACACAAACAACAAACCCAACCTATGAATGTCATGCTGGGTGGCAATTTCTTGACCTACAACATGCAGAATCACTTCACAGAAACAGGCAAGTGTGTAAAAAGGCTTATTTTTAAATGAGGAGCTAAAGGAGGGACGGGAACCAAAGATGCTCAGTACTGAGAAGAAGCAGGATTCTAGGGAGGAGGTTCTGAGGAGGGAGACAGAAGAGTGAATACCCGGTGGAATAATGGAGATTTTATCTTGAGGCTGAGCTTACAGTTTCTTGGTAGCGGTGGAATGTACAGGGAGGGTTTTGGTCAGGTCCGGATGAGCAGAGGAAATCCAGAAGGTGAGAGAACTGATTTATCCAGAGATGTAGGAGCGGAGGTTGATGAGGGCAGGTGAGCGGCTGAGAGCAGGCGGCCAGGGAAGGAGGCAGTGTGGTCTGGAATGCAGGAGTCCGGGTTGGTTCTGGAGATGGTGGAATGTGGAGAGAAACCTGAAGGAGAGCAGGGAAGGACATTCAGGGATTTCAGGTGGCAGGTTAACTGGAACGAGATACAGATACAGATACAGATACAGATACAGGTACAGGTACAGGTACAGATACAGGTACAGGTACAGATACAGATACAGATACAGGTACAGGTACAGATACAGATACAGGTACAGGTACAGGTACAGATACAGGTACAGGTACAGATACAGATACAGATACAGGTACAGGTACAGGTACAGGTACAGATACAGATACAGGTACAGGTACAGGTACAGATACAGGTACAGGTACAGATACAGGTACAGATACAGGTACAGGTACAGGTACAGGTACAGATACAGGTACAGGTACAGATACAGATACAGATACAGATACAGGTACAGATACAGATACAGATACAGATACAGATACAGGTACAGATACAGATACAGATACAGATACAGACACAGGTACGGATACGGATACGGATACGAGACAGGTTAGAGGCTAGAGCTACCCAAACAGAGTAATCATTCGGCGTGGTGAAGTATCACACTGCTCCTTAAATCCCCTGGGCCTTGATGATGGGATCAGCTGCAGCTGGTAGCTCTCAGACACGCCCACCTGTGAACAATGCTCAGAGGGAAAACAGGGATACAGGCAGGGAGCTCACCCCGGACCGTGACAATGAATCACTGATTTAATTTTTGTATTTGTGAAGATTGTTTATGTGGCTCGGAACGCTAAAGACAGCGTCGTGTCCTATTATCACTTTGGTTCACATGAACCAACTCCAACCAGAACAGAAGGACTGGAGCATGCTCCTGCATGGAGGGAAGATGTGAACAGTTCCACTGTAAAATAAACACAGCAACGTCCAGTTTTAAGAACCCGTGTTCTGTTCTAGTGGTGTTTGGATCCTGGTACAAGCACGTAAACGACTGGTGGGAGAAGAAGTAGACGCATCCAGAACTTCGCTACATGTTCTATGAGGATTTGATTGAGGTGCAGAGCTCATCCACCCCCTGACAGATTGTGGCGTGATGATTCTAGATTAAAAACATATGAATGAATAAAAATACTTTTATCTGGATTAAATTTAGGATGAACGTCAGAAAGGAAGGAGCTAATTTTAAAGAAGATTTGTAAATCCAAACACCACCATTTCAAACACCAGAAATCTATTCAAACTTAAAGGTTTTAAGAGGTTTCAAGCAGAATGAGGCTCAGCTGTTGATGCACACCAGTTATCATACATGTTTAACTCAATTAGTCCTTCAGTTAATCATTGTCTTTAATGTTGGTAGGACTGTGGACGAGAAATAGACCGGCTTTGCTCCTTCCTCAACTTGTGTGCTTCAGCTAAGCAAAAGGATAAAATAAGAACTGATGTGAAGTTTGACAACATGAAACAAAACAAAATGGCCAACCAGTCCGCCATCAGAACAATGAACCACGAGATTTCTCCCTTTCTGAGAAAAGGTCAGTATCTTTTTTTAAAAGAAAACTATTCTCATGTACCAAAGTCTACATAATAACTATTAACTCAATGCCATCATTTCAGCCAAAGTAGGAGATTGGAAGAACCACTTCACAGTTTCTCAGAATGAACAGTTTGATGAAGATTACAAGAATAAAATGAAGAATCTTGCACTGAGATTTTGTGCTGAAATTTAGAGATGATTGCAGTCGATGGCATGAATAAATAGTGTTGCTTCAAATCTGCACTTAAACACTTTACAGCAGGCTGGTCAATGTGTATGCACAGGGTAGCTTTCAGCAGCAGGATCTCAACCTATACTGACACGACCAAAGGATTCAACCAGGCAGCAGAAGTGAGAATTTAACCCTAGAAATAATCAAGGTGATAGTAAAGTACTGTCTAAAGTCCACCTGATTGAATCACCAGAGCACAAGCTGTCAATAAATCACAGTTGGGAGAGCTGTGAAAAAGCACAAGTGTTTAACAGATGAGGTTAAAGTGTGTCAGATAAAGAAATGACTGTCGCTGATGAGCGCCGCACGCACAAAGGGCAACCGAGCACACTTCCAGGTGAGCTAATGAAACACGCTATAGAAATACACATGGATGTAACATAATGTGTTTAAAATGTTTGTAATTATTACAATCAGCAAGATTCCTGCTAAATGATTTTTTGTTACTGACTGCAGGACGTATGAGTAAATGATGCAACTTAGTTCTTTCTCCACTAAAGCCACTTTGAGCCCACTGCTGACAGCAGCAGTACATGTTTCAAGACAGGAAGTGACCTATCTTATGTCAAAATGATGGGTTTAATAGATGAAATCGGAGACCATGGTTTTGAGTCAGAAAAGGGTAGAATGTCTTCTCCGGGTCAGGGATGAGGTCCTGCCTCAAGTGGAGGCGTTTAAGTATCTCGAGGTCTTGTTTACAGTGAGGGAAAGATGGAGCGCAAGATCGACAGGTGGTAGGGAGCTGCGCCTGCGGTGATGCGGGCGTTGTACCGATCTGTCGTGGTGAAGAGAGAGCTGAGTCAGAAGGCAAAGCTCTCAGTTTAGCTGTTGATCTACGTTCCTACCCTCACATATGGTCACGAGCGTCGGGTAGTGACCGAAAGAACAAGATCTTGGATACAAGCGGCTGAAATGAGCTTTTTCCACAAGGAGTCTGGGCTCTTCATAGGATGAGAAGCTGTCATCCAGAAGGGGCTCAGAGTAGATCAGCTGCTCCTCCGAGAGGAGCCAGTTGAGGTGGCTCAGGCATCTAGTTAGGAGGCCTCCTGGACACCTCCCTGGTAAGGTTTACTGGGCACGTGAAGAAGACCTAAAGGAAGACCCAGGACACGCTGGAGGGTCTATGTCTCTCGACTGGCCAGGGAACGTCTTAGGATTCCCGCAGACGAGCTGGCCCAAGTAGCTGGAGAGAGGGAAGGCTGGCCCTCCCTGCTTGGGCTGCTGCCCCCACGACCTGACCCCTGAGCCGAAAATGGATGGATGGATGTGTTGCACAAGAGACTTTTCACTTTAATAAAAAATAAATAAATTTGACATATTTCTCACCATTTGATAGGGAGACAGCAGTAAAATCTCCATAACCTTTGACCAAGCAGCAATAGTTATTTTTTCTTACAGTAATGACTCAGCTAGACCTGGTAAATGCATCAAGCACCAAATGAGTGATTAGTAAAGGTTCACATTTACTGTTGTCAAACATCAGGCAGTAGTTGTCCAAATGTCCTGCAGAACCTGGAGAAGCGTCCTACAATCTTTAATCAAATCAATACAAGTTCCAAAAAAAGCAGTGGAACACCCAAATCCAAAACTCTTAGAGGTAAGTCAAGTGAGGATTCACCTTGATGCGTGGGAAGGGGAGGCAAGAAGAAGTGTCATAACAAGCAAACACTAGATATCCGAAAAGATGTAAGCAGAAAAACCCGATTGGTCAAAGGCAAGAAAGCATCTGCTACTAGTAGATGTTTTCTAATCTCTGCATGAAAGATTCAAATTCAAATTCAAAAATGCTTTATTAATCCCAGAGGGAAATTGATTGCTGTAGTAGCTCAGAATAATAATAATAATCAAGTCATCAAAGAGTTGTTGTATATTACAATGGCTGTTGGCAGGAAGGATCTCCAGTAGCGGTCAGTGTTGCAGCCAAACTGAAGAAGCCTCTGACTGAAGACACTCTTCCGTTGTCGGACAGTCTTGTGAAGAGAATGCTCAGGGTTGTCCGTCATTTTCTTGATTCTCTGGAGAATCCTTCTTTGCATTATCTCCTCCAGTGGTTCCACAGTCGTCCCCAGAACAGAACCAGCCTTTTTTTATTAGGCTGTTGAGCCTTTTCAGGTCCCTGCTTCTGATGCTGCCACCCCAACAGACGAAGGCGGAAGAGATTACACTCTCAACAACAGACTTGTAGAAGATGTGCAGCATCTTTTATGAAACATTCACTCTTCTCCCAGTCGCCTGTGGTCCACAGTAGACGTCTTTTTAAGAGTGATTTAGGAAAATCTGGATCTTTAAAGTTTACTTCAATTATGATTTTCTTAGAAGAAAACAATATATTATCAAACGTTGTTCATCAAATGATTTGTAATAAGTTCTTAGGCTTGGTAGTTATGGTTGTAATTTTGTTCTTCATTTATAAATGATCCCGTGGCGGTCCACCAGGAGGCTCCAATCACACTACAGAGTACAGGATGTTGTGGTATTTGAGAGACATGTCCTGTGAGGGTGTGTTCTCTGGTATTCGGTTCTGAGTACTGATGGAAACTCCAGATCTTTAAAAGAACCGGTTCTTAAGGCTCGGCTCACTAAAATGAACCGGCTCTTTCAGCTCTCAAACAGCTCCTCACATTTTTCGTTTCTTAAAGGAATTTATCACCAGAAATGATACAAAACTGTGCATAAATTGAATTAATAATCTACAATATACAGCATCAAAGCTTTATTATTTAAAAAATGTATTTTTAACATGAAACAAAGTGCTATGAAAACAATTTTTAAATGACAAGAGCAAATTCTGCAAGTAAAAAATGTATTACCTTTGAACTATTAGAGCCTGTTGGATATGCACACACTCTGCCTTTTAATTGTTATCAAAATGTGTCCAGATCCTGGTGCCTGTCCTGTTTTTACTCATTTCCTCCTTTTTTACTGGGTTTTTCCAACCAAAATGTACAGGTTCCATCGGTTAATGTAATAACTGCCCCAGGCATTTGGCGCAGCTCCTGGGGCCTGAGGGTAAAGTATCTGTCACTCCGCTAGTGACTGGGAAGATCACCAACGTATGATGGTGCCCAGAACCAGTATCTTGAAATGAACCCTGAAGTTGACTGGCAGCCAGTGAAGCTGGAGGAGAAGTGGGGTGATGATTTGGTCAGAAGCTGAGCACAGGCATTCTGGACCACCTGTAGTTGCATCAGGGAGGTTTTACTCAGACACGTGAAAAAAGAGTTTCTGTAGTTTAAGTGTGAGGAGATGAAGGTGTGTGGGTAACAAGTAACAAGTAATTGCACGCAATGTTTATTTATACAATAACCAAACCGTGTGTGTTCTATTACTGATCATTTGTGTTGTATTTGGTTTTATTTTATTTATTTGTTTAGTTTATACATTCACTGTGAAAGCCAAACATTTTATTTTGTTTCCTGTATAAAACAAAAATGTCTACTTTAAAAAAAGTGTCTGTGTGAAGGGTTGTGTGTGTGCTGCTGCTGGTCTTGAATATATATATATATATATATATATATATATATATATATATATATATATATATATATATATATATATATATATATATATATATATATATATATATATATATATACATATATATATATATATATAAGCCTTCTCCAAATCCTCAAAACACATGTGGATTGGTTGGGCAAACTCCCATGCCCCCTCCATCACCCTTGCAAGGGTATAGAGCTGGTCCACAGTTCCACGGCCAGGACGAAAACCACATTGCTCCTCCTCTATCTGAGATTCAACTATCGATCGGACCCTCCTCTCCAGTACTTTGGAGTAGACCTTTCCAGGGAGGCTGAGGAGTGTGATCCCCTATAGTTGGAACACACCCTCAGGTCACCCTTCTTAAAGATGGGGACCACCACCCCGGTCTGCCACTCCCTAGGAACTGCCCCCGATGACCACGCAATGTTGTAGAGACGTGTCAACCATGACAGCCCTACAACATCCATAGCCTTGAGATACCCAGGACGAACCTCATCCGCCCCCGGGGCTCCGCCGCTGTGTAGTTGTTTGACTACCTCAGCAACTTCTGCCCCCGAGATTGGACAGTCCATCCCCAGGTCCCCCGGCTCTGGTTCCTCCTCGGAATGCGCATAGGTGGGATTGAGGAGCTCCTCAAAGTATTCCTGCCACCGGCCGACTATAGCCTCAGTTGACGTCAGCAGCTCCCCATCCCCACTGTAAACAGTGTGAGTAAGTCGCTGCCTCCCTCTGCTGAGGTGCCGGACAGTTTGCCAGAACCTCTTTGGCGCCGATCGATAGTCTTTCTCCATGGCCTCACCAAACTCCTCCCACACCCGAGATTTAGCCTCGGCAACTGCCACTGCTGCACCCCGCTTGGCTATCCGGTACCTGTCTGCTGCCTCCGGAGACCCACAGACCAGCCACGCCCTGTAGACCTCCTTCTTCACCCTGACGGCTCCCCGAACCTCTGGTGTCCACCAGTGGGTATGGGGGTTGCCACCACAACTGGCACCGGCCACCTTGCGACCACAGCTAGCAACAGCCGCCTCAACAATCGCAAAGTGGAACAAGGCCCACTCGGAGTCAATGTCCCCCACTGCTCTCGGGACGTGGTCAAAGCTCTGCCAGAGGTGGGAGTTGAAGACCGTCTTAACGGGTTCTTCTGCCAGGCGTTCCCAGCAGACCCTCACTATGCGTTTGGGTCTGCCAGGTCTATGCGGCATCTTCCCCTGCCATCTGATCCAACTCACCACCAGGTGATGATCAGTTGACAGCTCCGCTCCTCTCTTCACTCGGGTGTCCAAAACATACGGCCGCAGGCATGGACGTAATTTTTTGGGGGGGGGACAGGGGGGACATGCCCCCCCCCCCCCCCCCACTTTTTCCAAAGTCAAGTTTTGACCCCTTCACTTTTTACCATCCAAAATCAATATTACACTATATTAAATTGACACTGGTTGAGCTCTAGGACCAAGCAGAAAACAACCATTTGTGTTGAAGCCTGCTTCCCATGAGAACATACTGTAAAGATACCCCCCAGCCCCCGTGTCCCCCCCACTTCTAAAGTGAAAATTACGTCCATGGCCGCAGGTCAGATGATACGACTACAAAGTCTATCATCGACCTGCAACCTAGGCTGCCCTGGTACCAAGTGTACCGATGGGCATCCTTATGTTCGAACATGGTGTTCATTATGGCCAAACTGCGGCTTGCACAGAAGTCCAATAACAAAACACCACTCGAGTTCAGATCAGGTGGGCCGTTCCTCCCAATCACACCCCTCCAGGTCAAGCTGTCATTGCCCACGTGAGCATTGAAGTCCCCCAGCAGGACAATGGAGTCCCCTGATGGAGCACTATCTAGCACTCGTCCCAGGGACTCCAAAAAGGGTGGGTACTCTGAACTGATATTTGTCCCATAAGCACAAACAACAGTCAGGACCGGTTCCCCGACCCGAAGACGCAGGGAAGCTACCCTCTCGTCCCCCGGGGTAAACCCCAACACACAGGCAGAGAGTCTTGGGGCTAACAAAAACCCAACCCCAGCCCTCTGCCTCTCACCCGAGCAACTCCAGCAAATGAGAGTGTCCAACCCCTCTTATGGTCATGGGTTCCAGATCCAATGCTATGTGTTGAGGTGAGTCCGACTATATAAGCCAATTCGAGTTATTAATCATCTCCACACCGTCCGGTGACCCTCTCCGAGATGACATCCATTTTGCGCACTAACACCGGTAACGCAGCTAAGACATTGTCCAGCTTACGATTCACCTCGAGTAACGTCCCAGTCTGTGAGGTTTCCGCCCGGACGGTGCTGTCCATGGGTGCGGGTCACCCTCCAATCGCTCCCGTCTTCCCAATTTTTCGGAAAACCAGATATCCTCCCACTCCAATCGGAAGAAATCCAGTGATCATCAGGCCAAATATCCACATATCTTCGACATCCTCAATGGACAGCTGAGAGAGACAGACGACCTTCCACTCCTTCCAGGAATTGAGCATAAATCCTGCTGCGTGTGTCCCATGAGGGCAAGTGGGAGCCCCCTCCTCCGTTCTCATCGTAGAAAAAATCTTATCAATCGCGTTGAATGACCAATTAATTAAATCCATTTCTGAAAAATAGGGATTTCCAGAGGAAATGCAGAGAAGCGCTCTGTAGGCATACAGGACAAAAGAGCCTTGGGAAAAAAGATAAGGGAGCAAAGCAGAAGCGTCTGTGCTCTGTGAGTGCCAGGAGAAGAAAAAAAATATCTATCTATCTATCTATCTATCTCTATATATATATATATTTATATATATATATATATATATATATATATATATATATATATATACATATATTTATATATATATATAAATATATATATATATATATATATATATATATATATATACATATATATATACATATATATATATATATATATATATATATATATATATATATATATATATATATATATATATATATATATATATATATATATATAAATCTTTTACTAAAGATTTCTGTGGAGAGGAACAAGAGTTTACCCCAGTTTTTGATGCCCTGCGATAGATAGAAGGGCATTCTGAACTGTCTGCAGAATGGAACCCATGACTCAATTGAGTGTTTACCGGTTTGAGGACAGTTGCAGTTGTATCAAGGCTGTTGAACAAACCTGATGTGTCATCATTATATTATTCCACAATCCCAAATTAATTTAGTTCAATTTCTTTATTTTGTTCAAAGATGGATCTGCCACCTAGACCTGCTCTGCTTGATTTCCATGGTGTTTCCATGACCAATTACTTCATTGACAACTGGAAGAACATCCAGGAATTTGAAGCGAGACCAGATGATGTTGTGATAGCGAGTTATCCTAAAGCAGGTGGCCTTTATTTTTTATTCCACACCCTGACTCTGCTCCTATGAAATAGCTTGTTGTTTCAATGCATCGACTTAAGCTACGGCATTTTGTTTATTTTGAAGGAAACACGTGGGTTTCATACATCCTGGATCTGCTGTATTTTAGTCAGACTTCACCTGGTCGTCAATACTCAGTCCCACTCTTCGAAAGGGTGCCGTTTCTGGAAATCCACATGCCGGGGTATCCCTCTGGTTGGTTGGTTGGTTCGGCTTCAGATCCAGTGATGTTCTTGACTTCCTTGTAATATGGAGCTTTACTTTTCCAGGAGTCGATGAGCTAAACCGGTTCGCCAGCAGTCCACGCATCATCAAGACACACCTGCCAGTCCAGTTTCTTCCTCCTTCCTTCTGGAAACAAAACACCAAGGTCTGCTGGATGTAGAGTATGGAATGTTTGTAGGAGGTCCCACACTCCTCATGGACTTGAATGTCACACTAACTGCATGCTTTTACAAATATAAACCCACTAATATTTGATGAAATATTTATCAGCAGGATTTATAGCCAACACACTTCTTACCAAGTTCAATTTCGCTCTGTTTGATTAATTTTGGAACTTTGGACATTGAAGGGTTTTCTGTGTTTTTCTTTGCATTTTCAATCCGGCTGCAGATAATCTACGTGGCTCGCAATCCTAAGGACACAGCGGTATCCTACTTTCACTTTGACCGTATGAATCAGGCCCAGCCGGAGCCTGGAGACTGGAACAGTTACTTCCAGAGGTTCATGGAAGGAAAAAGTGAGCAGCAAAATGAAAGCAGGAATATCTGCTAACACCACAGCTAATTTTATTACAAATGACGTGATCTTCTGAACGTCTCTCAGTGGTGTTTGGTTCCTGGTACGAGCATGTGAAAGGCTGGTGGGAGGAGAAAAAGGCCAGATCCAATATCTTGTATTTGTTCTACGAGGATCTGATTGAGGTAGGGGCTGAAGTCTGCCAGTGTGGGGTCGTAAATACAAAACCAACTTCATGATGACTTGCTTTGGCAGGATTTTGATCGGGAACTCAGTCGGCTCTGCTCCTTCCTGGAACAGTCTCCCTCTGCTGAGCTGAAGAAACAAATCACAGAGAAAGTTCTTTTTGACAACATGAAACACAATGAGCTGGTTAACGCCTCGTCAGATGAGTACTTGGACTTCACCATATCCCCTTTCATTCGCAAAGGTCAGACACATCAAGTAAATGTTTATATAGCAACATTTGCGTAAGGTACAAAAATCATAATTCTGTGTTTTTTTAGGAAAAGTTGGAGACTGGAGGAATATGTTCTCTGCCAAACAGGATGAAGAGTTTAATGAACACTACAAGAGCAAAATGCAAACCACCGATCTTCACTTTCGCACAGCTCTGTAGTTCTCTAACCCATACCAGTAACACCTAAAAATAACCACAGCAGAGATGAGGGTACAACAGATTTATTTTAATCCAAACATCAAAAGCAGCAGAAAACACAAACAAAACTTCCATAAGTAAAATGAACAGATGAAACGAACACATGGGATTTTCTATGGCACGTGCTGCATTGTGGAACGACCCTGAGGGCGCTGGAGGAACCTCGGCGGTAAACGTAGGAAAACATGAGCTGATGAATATGCAGTAACTCAAACAGGCTCTTTGGAATGTAACCAGCGACAGAAGGCCAAGCTCTACCTTTAAAGCTAAAGAGATCAAGCGTCTCATACCGCTGAAGTCCTGCAGGGTCTCCAACAATAACTGTAATCCAAACAAAGCAACTGACAACAGACTTTAACGGCTTCTTAATGAACCAACATAAGTATTTTGTTATATTATTCAATGATTTTGTCATGATTTAAAAATAACACTTAAAGCAGAAACAGAAAACATCTAGATATGTAACAATACATTTAACAAAACCCTGCTTTATCTTTATTACCATCACAATCTGGATCACTAAAAGTTCCCGACGTAACATGTTGGTCAGGTTTCAACTCACAGCTCTTTCAGCGGTAAACAGTCGACCATCTGACATCAAATTATCTAAACTGCACAGCTCAAAGCAACATTCAGACTCAAGTCTGAGTTTGTAAATACTGAAAAAAAGTTTGAAGTTGTGAATCAAGCCTTGGTAACTGCATACATTTAAAGAGACAACGTGTAGTCTGAAAATGAACAAAATGATGTCCAGCTGTTAAAAAATAATGGTGGCTTTGTACATTAAATCCATAAAAATTGGGTCTAAAGTACATGGGGCGTGGCTCTAGCATCTTTGGGGGGACGCTATGTTTCCATCTGGTTGACTCAAGGTCCTGCACCTGTCGACGCTAGATGATTGGCTGGACGTATGCTTTACCAACACATTCTCACACCAGAAGCAGCTAAAACTGAGAAAGCGCGACCGAGCGTTTGTTTCCTACGCGTTGTGGCTCCCAACGTGTCGGGAGGTGACAATGGTGTACGACGCTTGTGGGAAAATGGACATTTCACTGACATTCAACCTCTAACCTCTTGATATTTAACCTTCCCCTCACCCCCATCCTAACCTTAACCCAGATTCTCGTTCTAAACTTCTCGTTAACAGTGTTTGAGACAGACGATACAACTAGAAACAAAGTTTTGCATGTGCAAGTGGGTTAAGGTTAGGATGTGGGTGAGGGGAAGGTTACATTGCAAGAGGGTAAAGGTCACAATTTGGTGAAATCTCCATTTTATTGTGGGCGTCGGAAACAAACGCTTGGTCACGCTTAGTCAGTTTTAGCCGCTTCGGTTGTGAGAACGCGTTGGACGTACAGAAGTTACGTAACCACGTTCAAAAAATATTTAGGAAGCAAAAAACACAAATTTAACAACAAAACAGCTAAACTCTTCCCAAAAACACATGAAAGAAGAGAATGGTAAAAGAGATGCAACATATTTTGGCAGGCGCAGGACTCTGAGCAGATCCAAAAAGCACAACGCCAAAAAACTACAATTGGCATTGCACTCTCTCGATGGCCCGCACTTGTATAGCTCCTTACAGAGTCCGAGGACTCCAAAGCGCTTTACTCTACAGTGTATCATTCATCCACTCACACACACATTCACACACTGATGGGGCCCTGGGGCACACTGACAGAGGTGATTAACTGAAGGACCATCAAAGTCTGAGGAGTTACGCTGGGGTCGCACGCTTTCTCCTCCACAGGTAACAATGTTTACCGTAATGCAACTAGCGACAGTCACAGCGATATGGTGTAAAACTACCCTGAAATGTATGTGCTGCCCCCTAGAGCCAGGAAACTACACGCTTGAATACAAATCCAACAAATGTTTTTGAGACTGTTTAAATTTCAGGTTCCAGACCATCTAAAATTAAAAATGATTGGAAACAAATTCATTTCCCAACATGCACTAACATTTTTCAGGCAGTTACTTTTCAGAGTGATTTTCAGCTTCAAACTGAGTAAACAAGAATTTACATCCTCATAGTCTTAGCGAAGCTAGCTTGTGCCTTCAGCAATACTGCTTCAGATTGTCCTTCACAGTAACTACGACTAAGGTCCAAATACAGCTTTATTCATCAACATTAAAAATAATATTTACATTGCTTTTCTTTTTAAGCAGACATTGTAAGTTTAAAATACAGTAAAATACTTGAGTCTGGATTATAGGGAAGTGCTGTTACTGAGTTGATGTCAAGCAGCCATGTTTTTTGCAGCCCTACTAATCCGTGTAGCACTTAAATACCGAACTCTTCAACTAGACACTATTCTGATTCAGATTCTGCAAAAAAATGCAACCAGAGACATCGTTTTTGGATTCCAGAAGCCATGTTTGCATCATGTTTACCTAACAAAATGCATTAAGCTAACAGCTCATGATTGAGCCTAATAATTTTACCAACTGATAAGATCCTCTGTAGCATTTTCACACGCGAGCATGCGCCTGGATAGCACGAGCTGTTCTGTGTTTACTGTCTGCATCTCTGTGTAACCGGCTTTCACGCACAAAGCAAACCAAACAAGCAGGACGCGAGTTTAGACGTACTGTAATCTGCAGATTAGTCACTATGGTAACAATGCTATGAAAACAACTGTGTTACATATGGCACATATTTACATCACCAATGCAAACAGAACAAACTAAGATGAATTCACAACCCATAAAATGCTGACAAATACTTTTAAACATGAGATATTGGACCAAACACACTTGGTCACATTACAGGGAGTTCATCATCGGAGGAAAAGATCTCATCACCATCACAGATCTGCTAACTAGCCTTTCTGAAGACATGGGAGTATGGGTTAGGGTTAACCTGATAACCTGATGTTATACCGATATGATGTGTGAAATAGATGATTTTAATAATAAGTAAGAGACGGAATGAATGTGCCCTGTTGCTTATTTGTGCTTAATTCCCAGTTTTGCTGCAAGAGTAAAGAGTCAAAACCAGTTTAAAGCTTCCTCTAACAAGATAAAATGCAACTAGATGATAAGTTTAAGACTAATTACCCAGATTATTTCCATGTTCCCATTACAGAAATATCGTTTCAGACAGCAGATTACGGTATCTCATTGCAGAAGTCTTTACATGAAAGTGTGTGAAGTGCAGTTGTCCGTCTTAAAAGGTCAGGGTTTGGTTTAGAGGTTGATTATTTCACTGCTCATGCTAGCAGAATCGTCATGACGACTGACCTCCAGGTAACTGCGCGACCCTGCCGGCCTGCCAGCTCTACCTCGCACCCTCTCCGAGTCTGGGGTGAAAAACGGTCGTGTGTCATCCACTCCGTCCTCCCCCAGATTTCCTGTTGATGTTCTGGATGGACGAAGTGACACTGGGCAGGATACTGACGAGGGGACAGTTATTATGCCATTCCCAGCCCACCTGTGGCCCTGGTGGGAGGGTGTGGGGGGAGCAGTCACCTGTCTGCTGGGTACACTGCTGAGAATGCTGCCCCCCAGTGGCATGGAGGACTCTGTAGGGGCTTCGCTGCTATCAGACAGCAGCTGAGGGTCACTGTTCCTACGGATCCAGGAGGCCTGGCTGATCCCGGAGCCAGGAGAAGGAGAAGGCGAGGCTTGATTTAAAGGATGAAAGAGACTCCCACCTCCTAACAAATGTTCTCTGTGCAGAGCCTCGTCAATGCTGCGGGTCAAGTCAATGGGGGAGGGGGGACGCAGATCAAACTCATAGAGAGACAGAGATGTGTCCTTGTCCTGGTCCAGACTGCCACTAACGGAGCGCTGAGGGGGTTGACCCAAGGTCTGCAGCCTCAGCAGGGAGCTTGTGGAGTCATCAGACATGCCTCGCTCTGCAGAGTGGCCCCTGTGGTTCCTGGCATGGTTGCTGTCCTTGACGCAGCGAGGTTGGGCACTGTTCTGTTCATAGTCCTGGTTCCTGATCAGACTCTTGCTGATATCAGCTCCAGAACGCTCCTGACCGGCCCAGTTGTTCGGCATCTCGCCTGCTCCTCCTCCTACACCGTTACTGTCAGACTTTCTGCAGGGCTTCCCCCGCAGACTCTGGACTATCTTGGACCAGCATGTATGTCTTTGAGCGGAGCCACCAGATTGTCCTGGGGAGGAGAGTTCACCTGCTGCTCTGCCATCCTGTCCTCCTTCTTCGCTCCTTTTGCACCCACCAGACCTCCAGAGAAGACAGGAACCCAGAAAAAGGAGAGAGAGCCCCCAGGCCAGTTCCAGGAGCCGGGCCCAGAAGTGCACAAGCCACCATCCCCAGTTGAAGCGTGTCCAATCCCCCAACAGTCCATAGAGCCACAAGCAAGCGTGGACGTGTAACCCACAGCACAAAGCTCCAAGAACTGCACAAGCAGCCAGCACCCTTCCTAGAACCACTCTTTTCTGCTTTCCAATCCAAGCCTTCCTTGTAGTCTCTTCAGGGTCACCATGATGGGGGACAGGAGGGCAGCGTATACGTGGAAACACATAGCAGAGGAAGCCCAAACAGAGAGCCAAACCCCAGCATAAGGACAGGACCTGTAGGGTAATGGGCACCACAGGAGACAGAGCTGGGGACAGCAGATCAGCAGCCAGCAGCAGGGTACACTGTAACACAGTCAGCACTGCCACCAGAGGAGGCTGCTCCAGCGTGGACGGTAACACGCTGACTCCAGCAGCTCTCAGTGCAAGCAGAGCCAGGGCCGCCTGTGTCCACACCAGCAGGGGCAGAGGCAGGTTGTAGAGGGCTGTGACAGCAGGACGAGGGAGGATTCTCCGTGATCCATAAGGGTCGATAAAAAAGAGAGCAGATCTAAGGCCTCCGATTAGAAACAGAAGCGCATTGGCAAGGGCCAGAGCTCCTCGATGAGGACAGTCTGTGCCAGGAGACAGCACGAGGCCGAGAGCAGCTCCGGCAAACAGGAGGAGGAACAGGCTTGCTGAGCCATACACATGCAGTTCCCAGGCTAATGCTAGCGTGTGGCTCAAATCGCCCCAATAAATAAAAGTGCCATTGTTGGAGGGACTGGCACTGGGGGAGGCATGAGGAATAAAAGTGGAATAGGGAGCTTGACGAGGATGTCCCAGAGGAATAGAGTGGTTCTTATCAGCCTGGAACGTTGGGCTGAATCTGGATCGGATAACAGGAATGACGCCAGTAGGGGGCGCAGAAGAGGCTCCTGAAAAAGAAAACACCGACAGTTTAGTTTATGAATACTGGAATTAGTGTGAGAAAAACCAGCATATAGAAGAGTGTTTGATGCCAAGAACAGCCACTAGAGGGCAGAGTGCAACCATTAAAGTTTCCCTTCCTTCCTGTGATCTGAGCTTTTGTTTGGTTTAGGTTGAATGTTCTTTGTTTCCTCTTGCTAATTTAGATTAGTGAGACATAACAATTATTAAAAAAAACACTTTTTTAAAGCATTTAGGAATTACAAATTTAAATTAAAAACATTTTTTGACATTTTAAAATATTTAAATGAAGACTTCCCAAATAATAAAAACAGGCCTAAGCAGAACAAAACTAAATGTCCTCATAAAGGGTCTCAGGAGGACATGGATAATAAATCAGACATAATTAGAAATATCAAATCTGTATCAACTGTCTGTTCTAGGAAAGAGTAGTGATATCTCCGGAAACCAAGGAATTTGGGGGCTCAACGTCTGATGTTAAAATAAACCTAAATCATAAACGGTTTATTTTTGTAATTAATTAGCACTGCTCAAATGTACCAAACACACAATGTAAAAACTCAAAAATCACCATATCAAGGTGGTCGCAATTCTTGTTATATTAATAAAAACATCTGACTGAAGCGGTGATTCAGCTGAACAGCCACGGACTGACGCCATGACCTAATTGGATTATATAATTAATAAGAACATCTTTGCTACGCAACACAGTGCAGTGTCACGGTACATCCATGAACCAGGAAAGCTTATTAACCCACAGACTTGTACAATTTAAAACTAAATCATGGGACAAAACACCCTCAAACAGGACAAATCACAGTGAGCGCTTTATTAGTGATCATTCAAACTTTGGTTTGTTTTAAGGGGAATGCCTGATCTTCAGCACCAAAACCACATTCATCACTGATGGGGTTTGTAAGGCGAGGACGCAACAGCTCTGTAAAAAACCCTGTATGAGTTTAAGGTCAAGCTATTGAGTCTCAGCTGGATTGTGTTTTTGGGGCTGAACTGATGATTTTCTGGAAGAGAACAGTCCCAGACCATCACACTGCCACCACCGTGTTTGAATGTATAATGTCCTTTTTCTCAGGACACACACTTTGTCGCTGTGTTGCTTCTGTTGTTCTCCTTGAGAACAGGTCTTGGTGTTTTGCTTTTTGAGATCTTTTTGCCTACTTCATGTCAGAAGGGATTTCCAGTTTTGCAGGACTGGTGGAAACCAGATCTGGTGTCAACACAGCTTTTCAAACAATGCTGTAGTTTATCACAGATAATTCATGATTTAACAATGGGGCTGATAACTTTCTCTACACAGGGCCAGTTTGGTCTGGATGTCATTTTCATTTTAATAACGAAATCCTTGTTTGAAACTAGTTTGTATTTAACCGTTTTTTAAATTTTATTTTAAAATGTGTCAACCTGAAACATTTAATTCACAGAGGAAAAAATCTTACGAACACATAAGGCTCAAACATTTTTTAAATAACGGTCATCAATGTTTACTAAATGTTTTCAGCAGGGACAGCAGCAGCTCAGGAGGTGGAACCGTTGTCCAGTAATTGGAAAGTTGCAGGTTTGATCCCGTCTCTGACCAAAGAATGCTGCTGTTGTGTCCTTGGGCAAGACACTAAACCTGCATAGCCAGCTGGTGGTGGTCGGAGGGACCGGTGGCTCCAATGTTCAGCAGGCCTCGCCTCTGTGTGAATGTGTGTGTGTGAATGGGTGGATGAGTGACTGTGTTGTGAAGCGCCTTGGGGGGTTGTAGAACAAATTCAGGCCGTTTACCATTTTCAAACAGAAAATAAATCTGACCGTTAATACCAGAGAGGAAATAGTAAACAAACAAAGCAAATGCCTGCTGGTATGATAAGATCTAACAATCCCAGCAGAAGACACCCATAAAACTGACACACTGATTAATGCTTTGCTCCCACACACCTCACTCCCTGGTTCCCTCACACTGTTCCTACCACACACACACACACACACACACACACACACACACACACACACATTGCATAAAGATCACAGACACACTTCTTTATTTACATAAAGGTTTTACTTCCTCCTTTCAGACGATTTTCCCCCAGCAGGACCAGAATCCAGACACATTCCAGATGTGCTGATCATGTTACACAGCTGGGCAGACTTAGGCCAGCCCAACCCTTGTGTTTTCTTTTTTCTCTTTATGCCAAGACGAATGAAGCAGCATTAGCCCAAACCAGAAACAAACTATGCTAGATTTTAAAGGAGAGTTTAAGAAACTTTAGAGGTGATGAAAACACCAGATTACTGTTCTTTGGTTTGTCGTCGTGTGATGTTCTTGAGCCAGTGCGAGAATAGTTTCCACCGGCACGGCTAAGCAAACTCAAAAAATGTTTTCCGTTATCTTAATTACATCAGCTTAGTCAAATGACATTTGGGAAGTCTGAAAGATGAGTCCATGACCACGTTTAGAATAAACCCGAGACCTGGACGTTCGGAGACAGCATCCCTAGAGAACAGCAGAGCTTAAAAGATGGATTAACAGTTTCTGTGTGAGTTCAGCTCTCTGACGTGTTTATTAGCATCATGTTGTTAGTGGGAAATTACATCCCATGTAAGCATACGGTCAGGGAACACGGACATATGGGCCGAGCGGCTTAAAGTGGGTCTGACTGGTGTTCGACTGCTCCAGCTGCTCCAGTGTGTGAAGCAGACCCGTTTTAATGGAGCCACTGAATTCAGCTTTGATAAATCAAACTTTAAACCGAACGAAAGTCGCCTGTAAAAACCTGGTTATGGTGGAAGTCAGGCTTCTTTTAAACGAGCTATAAATAAGTCTGGTTTTTACGTTGATATGAAATAAAGATGGCCTCTGTGATCACTATATACCATACTCGGTCTCTCCTCACTTCATCTGGTTTTCGTTCCCATCCCACTCCCTCCTCATGTGCCTTTCTGCCACCTTTTACCACCCACTGTCTCATCGACACTCCCAGCTGTCTCCTTTTCTGACGGTTCCCCTCCTGTCCTCTTAGCCCTCCTGTAACTCGACTCGCTCCTTCTTTAACCTTTCCTCTCATCTCGTGCTAACACTGTTGTCGCGCTCGTCGGGTCTACGCTTCAGGAATTCAGCCCCATTTTCCATGGAAAAGCAACTCTACCTTTTCCCTCCTCTGAAGCCTTTTTCTTCCAAACCCTCCAGTGAAAAGCCCCAGCTGTATAAATAATTAGGTCCAAAATGCCTAAAAGTGGTGTTTCTTACCTCTCCTTGTCGACGGGATGGTCGTGCTAGCTGAACCTGTTCCTGTCTGTGTGGTTTTGCTGCTGAGCGTTGTTGTTTGATCAGCCGTGCGTGCTGTGCTTAGAACAACAGTCGTAGATGTGTGTGGTGAAGTGTTTAGAAGCAAACTGGTCTGGCTTCGGCCCGTAACAAGTTGTCCCGCCATCTGTGACTGTTTATCAGTAGAGGCGTCAGAGTTGGACGATGTCACGGCGGCGGAGTCCTGCTTTGGTGGAACTTTGTCATCAAGAGAGTTTTCTTCCTGATAACCTAAAGAAAACACGAGAAAGTTAATATTTGTGTTGCGACCTTCGGACCTAAACTCTTTATTACCGTGAAGCTTTCTCACCCAAAGTCTTTGAGGTTTGCTGCGTTATCACAGAGGGCAGAGTGGCTCTTTTCTCAGGCTGTGGTGTAGTGGAGGTTGCTCTGGTTGAACTGGTCGCTGTCGCCACAGTCTGGTCTTCATGTGATGGGCGTTTTACATCACTAACTTTGGATGTCATGGTCTGAGCCTGGGGCTGGTATTGTGCCATTTCACCACCAGCTTTTGGCATAAGGTCAGAGTCATCCCTCAGAAATGTCGCTGTTGGAGTTCCACCGGATCCAAACCCTTGTGAATCACTGTCCTCTGGACTCCCAGCTGTCACTGGTTCATCATCTACAGGGTCAGCAACAGAGGGAAAGGTAGGTAAAGGTGGAGTTTGACCTCTTTTAGCAGCTTGTCCCTTTGTTAAAGCCCTCCTGACAGCTAAACTAGCCATGTCAGTCCTGGGTCTGGAGGCAGACGGTTGGGTTACAATTTGCCCTCTGCTGGGATTCTGTGTCGACAGAACAGAAATAAGAGAGGGATTGAACTCTGTCATTGGGAGGTTCATCCTTTCCTCTTGTTCTACTGAATTCACATGTGATAGTCTCTCCAGAATTGTTACTCTGATGGGCACATCGCTGCGTCCTCTAGGAGGCAGAGAGGGCCAAAATCGAACCGTCTGCTTCGTGGGTGAAGAACCAGCAGGTAGGTCCAGAGCTGGAAAGGATGGGGAGGAGCCAATGATGGTCTGGGCATCAGAGACATGGAGGAGGGAGAAGGACGTGGCCAGAAAGATGAGGGACGTGGGAGCCATGTTCTGCCGAGCAGTGATGTGAGGCGAGTGGTCCCTCATGAAGTCTGAGTCTGTTCATCACACCATCGTCCCACTGGAAAACAAACAGGACAAAATCAGATCTGTGATGCACTGATTCAAAACCGAACTTGTGTAGAAGGGTTCTTTACAGAAGATGATCTACAGAATTATCTGTACAATCTGGGACACATTTAAAAAAGATCTCAATTGATCTTCTCAGTCCCTACACCCCCAGCAGGTCCCTGAGGTCCAGTGACCAAAGCCTACTGGTTGTGCAACACCAGAGGTGACAGATCATTTGCTGCTGTGGCCCCCAGACTCTGGACCTCCCTCCCCCTTAGCCTGATCAGTGGACTCAGTGGTCTCCTTTAAAAAGCAGCTGAAGACTCACTTGTTCAGGCTGGCTTAGCGTGACCTTCATCACCATCCTCTCCTTATTCTGTTCTTATTCTGCCTTTCCCAGGATCCATTGATTTTCCTCTTTCCCTTTCCTTACATTATTATTTTTTAATCACAATATTTAAATATTTTTCATTTAAAACATATTTTTAATTATAATTTTTTTTTATCTTTTTCATACTTAAAATAGTTTTTTTTGTTTGTGAAGCGCCTCGTGATTTTTGTCTTGAGGCGCTAAAAGATCGTTTTCTTTCTTTCTTCTTTTTTTCTTTCTTTCTTTCTTTCTTTTAGGCAGAAAACCTTTTTTTCCTTTTTCAGTAACTAACAACTCTAAACTATTTTAAGACATGTTTTTCTTGACCTGCACGACTCAGTTATGTTATTTTAGCTCAGTATTACTCTCATACACATCTTAAATGTTGCCTGTGGCTCGCTAGGTGTCCTGAAGTTGTGTAAATCATCAAATATTTCTGCTTATTTCTAATTCAAACAGTCCCGGTTAGCTTCTGCAGCCCGACACCAACACACTGACAGGGTGCGGTAAGGTATATGGTTTCACAATGCTACACACACCGTCACACAGACAAAGGCAAGACCCGGGTCTGTGAGAAAGAAAGGTGATTGCACAATAAAAACAAGCAGGTCAAATCAGAAAGGAGTTGAAGATGGTTTCACTGGTGGGAACGTAAACCATCTAAAACTCTATAAGAACTTTTCTATAAGGTTTTGTTTCCTGCAAAAGATGTGATGTCTTTATTCTTTGCTTCCTTTTTGAAGTCACGGATGCCAGAAGCCCAAATCGGATGTGTCAGAGAGCCAGATGACATGTAGAACCCCCCCCAGCCCCTTCCATAAGTCACCTAACCAAACAGCTGCTAGTCGTTTGTCCAAACTTCCTAAGTTGCATAAAACGCCCCTGTTCACGCTATCTCTACCTATGACTCACAGCAGGAGATAACCTCTGGGAACAAATCATGCAACAACAAACAAAAGCAGAGAAACCGGAGAAAAAGAAATCGGTGCTCATGGGAGAATTGTTTCTGCTGTGTGTGACTCACCTAAAGTCACGATGATGAGGTCTCAGAGAGGCTGCTGCAGTTTCACACCGGTCCGGATGTGCAGTTTGTGCTGCTGAACAGGAGCCATTTGTGTGAGTGTATGGAAAGTGTGTGTGAGCTAATGATCACACACACACACACACACACACACACACACACACACACACACACACACACACACACACACACACACACACACACAGAAATGCTATCTGAAAGCTGATTTGAATACTCACAAAATATAAATCTTTCGTTTGGAAGATGTTTTGGCACAGCTACACACAAGCGAAGAGAAAAGCTTGACTGTTTATCTCACTTTCCACCACTAGCACTAACCTCAGTGTTTATGTACTCTCCTCTCTCAGCTACCTCCCCTGGTTGAACAAGCCAATCCCCTCCCCTTTTCTTTCTGTTCTACTAACGTTATCCGTAATAGCCCCACAGCTGTGTGATAATAATGTCATCATTTAGAAATCGGAGATATGAGAAAGGCCTAGCAGAGATGGAAAAGAGCAAATGCTGAAGGAGGCATGAAGTGATGAAGCTGGCAGCGGGAGTGGGGGTGTGTGAGACGAGGGATGAGAGTGAAGAGTGAGAAAAGTAGTGAAGGCTGCAAAATTAGAACATGGTGGGGGGTATAAATCCTTACAACGTGACAGAAGAATATCTAAGAAAAAAAAAGCAAGGTCAGGAGTAGGGGTTGTATGAACTAGTCGACTAGTCGACCTCAGTGCTCTGTAGTGACTTTTTATGCCTGTCGTCGACTAGTCGCTGTCACGTGATAATGACAAGATGCAGTCCTCGGAAAAGACAGCAGGTGAGGAGCCCCTGCGCGTCTGGATCGAGGCGGAGGCGACGCGCTGTGCCAGAGCGTCGGTACTGACACCCGTCGTAAAACGGACATTTAACCAAATTGTGACCTTTTCCCTCTTGCAATTTAACCTTCCACTCACCCCCATCCTAATCTTAACCAGCTTGCTAATGCAAAGCTCTGATTGTTGACGCGCTCCAGACATCTGCGTCCTGAGCACGGCCACAATAACATTATCAAATCAGGTGTCGCCACTCAAAAACAAATGTAACGCGATCGTTCATGTCGGCTCATTTCCTTTTATGTTTTCTGTCTTTTATTTTTGCCTGATGCACCTCGCTGCTGTGGAGCGGGGCGCATCATCTGTTTTGTCCTCCGGTGACGCACTGCGGCCGGCGAGCAGCTCGCACTCCGCTGTTTTTGCGGTCGGTAGATCTTTTAGAACTGCAGTTCAAAGGTAACTCATAAGGTGAATATATATGAACGCAGGTAGCAGTTTTTCTTTAGGATTGAGAGGAGATGCAGGAAGATAATAAACAGGCAGGACAGAAAAATAGTCAAATAAAAACAAGTTCGTTTTTGTACCTGCTGGTTGCAACAAACAGACACCACTGAAGGTAATCAGAAGTGAGGAACAGAAAATGAAATTATTATTTTAATGTTTAGAGCAGCAGGAACTCAGAGAGGCTGCAGGCGCATCAGTGAGTTTGCGGCCGCTGCGCAGGCGGAGGGGGGAGAGGGCTGAAGCAGAAACTACCGTTGTTAAAAGAAATGTGTTTAACTTTGAAAATGTGGGCGCAGTTTTAATTGTCAAAAACTCCAGCGAACCAACCGACCCCCCCCCCCCCCCCCCCCGCTTCAGGTGTATGACGTCATCAACGACTAGTCGAAGTCGACTCGATTTTCATTACTTGACTGTCGACTTTAAAAAAAATTAAGTCATGCAACCCCTAGTCAGGAGACCACGTTGGTGGATGAACTGGTTTGAAAACATATGCTTTAATGTTCACCTGCCAGCTCTAAACAAGCTGACAGGATTTCTTCTGGCAGTTTGGAAGCACGTTTCTGTTTGAAGGTTCATCTTGGCTGCTCGTGCATCAGTCATTACCTCATCAGTCCAGAGAAAAAGACCTGAGACGGATTCCAAAATCAGAATCAGTCCAAAATTAGCAGTCCCTTGGCCTGCGATGCGCCTTTACTAACAATAACGGATTTGTAGGTGAATCAGAAATTTAAAAACAAAAATGTATTCTGTTTAATTACAGTTGTTGGAGATGAACTGTTAATGCCAGCAAGTCAGAGCGGTACCAGGATCACACATTATCATCAAACCTATCAGAAGGCAGCAGGCAAGACAGTGACTGTTACAATTTTTACACAAAAACACTAAAAAAGGGTTAAAAGAATTTAGTAAATTTTACTCTATGATAATCTATGGATTTCAGATGGATTCAGATGTTTGCACTTAGTAAAGATTACTGAGTTTTAAAAGGCATTTGACCAAATTAGTCTCAGTGACTTCCCTGCTTTTCAGAAATAATCTCATCTCATCACCCAGCAGCTAAAATAACAGCAAGGTTCATCAAAACGTCTTTTTTTTGTCAACTGAGAAAGATAAATGTACAAAACATGTAAAGCAATAAAATCTGAATAAATCAGCAGAGCACACGACATCAAAGACAAGATCAGATTTATCGGTTCATTTGATGTTTTAAACAGTCTCCCTTCTGTCAACCCTGGCACATCTGTGATCACTAAACAGAAACTAAAACACACACACACACACAAACACACACAATATGGCTCCCAGTGGAGGAAGGCAGATGGGCGCACGGTCAGACTATTTTTGTCATCGTCGGACCCTGGGGGGACCGGGGGACACATCACGCTGTTTTTCTCTTGCTCACGTTTAGATGTCGTCACTCGCTCTCTTACGCAATATGTGCTTGTTCAAAGCAGAACATACTCATGGGTAATAAATATCCTGCAGCAATCTGAAGATTACTATAAACTCCTGGCTCACCGTATGGACCTGCTCGTTATATAACCACATGACTAAGTACTATAGCAGCTGTTGCTAATCAGCTAATCGTTGCAGCAGTGAAGTCATGTCTGCTCTCATGTGTTCATATGATGAGTTAATCTTCAAACTTTCCATAGAAAGCTGGGGAGGGGGTGCAGCCCCTTTTGAGGAGAATCTCCCTCTTTCTTAGGAGGTTTGTGCTCTTTCCATACGATCCCAGACAGTCTGACAGCAACATCTCAGTTGAATATTTCTGTCTACACAGAGGATCATTTGTCTTTTTAACAAAGACACATCTAATGGACACATGTCCCTGCAGGCTTGCTTTTATTCTGAGAATTTCTGCAAAGACCAAAACGTTTCTGTCACACAGACATTCATCAAAAATATCACGACACAACTTCTAATTTATAGTTACTGTAATTAATTCTGTCTTTATTCTAAGGAATATTTATATTTTTTATTGTCAACAGTATATAACATATTTAGATATAAAATCAAATTTTTACAACACAGAAAAAAAAACTAGGGCTGCACAATACATCGCAATGTATCGTCATGGCGATATCGGCATGCGCAATACGCATATCGCAAAGAACAGAAATAACAGCAGTGAACGCTCAGCTCAGATGTTTCCTACATATAATGCATTTGGTCAATCAAACAGAAGCATGATGTTTTTGACAAATCAAATAGAGCTCTTCACCTATTTGGCCAATTGGGTGGGTTCTTGTAGGTTAGATGCCCGCCCCCTTGGCCTTATTTGGATGGCTAGCAAACACCTGAGTTAGCGTCGTTCTGCTCTTTACGACGATTCTGCTTTTCCAGGATCCACTGGATGCCTTTTCTTTTTCTTTTTCCCTTTCCTCACATCTTTTGATCACAATTTTTGCTTTTCCTATTTTTTATGATAATTTTTAGTAAATTTTTTTATTAGTTTGTTTTTGATTTTTTTGTTCTCGAGTTAATTTATTTTTTATTTACTGCAAGTCATATCGTCATCGCAACATTAATCACTGTAATCGCACATTGCAGGCTTTCCTAATATTGTGCAGCCCTAATTAAAAATTAGTGGATTTCTTATTGCCATTTATTAGAAGTGCAATAACAAGTAAATTGCACTTTCCTGCTCAATTTACACCTGGGAACAATGAAAATGGCTATAATACACATTTAAATAATAGTTACTGAGATTGCGCTGCTGTGACTGAGCAATCATTAATGAGGCAGAAAAATTAACTGGCACGGCTTTAATCTTCATCCATGTGAGGAATTGAGGATGGTGAGAGATCCAAGACCATGAGTGAGCACCAAATCCTGTCAGCATGCAGCTGGCTTTCCATAAACAGATGTTAACACTTATAACCAGAAAAGTTGTTATCTGAGGAGTTTATCGATGATGGGAAACAGAAAGACAAAAGAGCAGAGAAAACGCTGACTCATGAACAAGATTAGAACAAAGACGCAGTGAGAATGATTCTGCTGAAGCAGTAGAAACAAACCCAAGAAAAATTCAGAGCAGTTCCAAAGATTTAGCTGGAAAACATTTATCAGATTTACTGAGGCTCTCTGTGCTGTGAGACGTTTAAGTCCTCGCCCCTCAGCTGGCCGTGTAGATGTGTAACGTGTCTGTACGGTGTCTTGGGCCCAGAGAGGTGGGAGCATTAAGTGAGTGTGTGGGCACATGAGAAAGAGGGGAGGAACGGAAGAAAAGAGTAAGTGTGGTTGTGCTGGTATGTGAGGGATGCAGGAGGCTGCTGGTTTGACCGTTACAAAATTCCACACCTTGAAAAAAAGATCACGTGGATGCAAACACCATCATCACTGAGCTGGTTATTTACCACTCTGTTAAAACGACATTTCACATCCTTTCTGGAACATTTTTGCGGCCTTAACCTGCAAAATAGGTTCTCCAGAATGCTTTTCAGCTGAAGTCATCTAATATTTCAACTAGTCTCCGACTGCTGGTTTGGTTTAGGTTGTTAAAGGTGCCTTTCTGTGCTGCGTAGGAGGGATCGGGAGAGTCAAAACTCCTGCAACAGACCACACAGCGAGGTCATGCTGTCTGAGGAGGCTCCAGCATCTATCACTGTTGCCTCTGATCCGACTTAAAACCCCAAACCACATCGAAGCCAGAAGGTAACTGTAGCAGCAAGGCGATCTGACGTCACTGCGACCGTAGAAGCACAGACACAACAAAAACCAGACTGATAAAAATAAGAGCAAATAAGGAGAAAGTTCAGCAGAAGGTTTGCATGCCAGTGTGTGGGCTCTGATGTTTTAACCAACACACACACGTATCCAGAAAACACACCCTGAATGACAGTGAGCACTGTTGACTTATTAAAACTGCCAAATAAACACCGTCGGGCCACAAAACACGCTGAGGAAAGTGAATCACAGACATCACAAGTCATAAACAGAGCCGGCTGCGGCGATCTGACCACAACTCCACTTCAACCCAACACTCTCACGATGTTCCAGATGGAGGCAATAAAAGTGTGTTGAGGTTTGCAAGCAAGTTGTTTGTGAATTAAGTGTTATCTGTTAAAGGGACCTCAAGGCAAATGTGTAAGTACCCTAGCTTAGATTGTTAGCGGGGCTTTTGCAGCTGTGTGCATCACAAATAAATAGATGTTATGTTTTATGTCTAATGTGAGATTTACATTTTTTATTCTGCATCATCTGATGTCTCATTAAACGTATTTCCTGATGGTCCGGTCAGATTAAATGACTTTACCCAGAAGTAAAACTCTTTTTATGCAGAAAAGACAATACAAAGCATGCAGTCACGACTCATTTTTGGTCTCCCCTATTACTCTTTCTTAACGTCTTCATCAAAATGTCAAAAAACACTTGGAAAATCTTACTTTTACTGCTTTTAAGTCGAGCAGGAGACTTATCTTATCAGTGAACTGGAGTGTGTTGGCTTTCTTCAGGAATAAAAGTCATCTGCCAGGGTTTTTACTACATCACGAAGCATGTCTGAGCACTTAGAAAGGCACGTTGATGTGGCTTTTTACTTCCTCCTTTGCTTTATTAATTTAAATTCCCTAATAAAAGGGGTAATCTAAACGTTTCTTTCTTTAAAATGAGCCTTACTTCACACACACACACACACACACACACACACACACACACACACACACACACACACACACACACACACAGATCCACTTGTTGCTGAGCCATCAAATCACATGAACCCTTTGTCCGTGTTTTAGATGGTTGGAAACCAAATGTCTATAAAATGCGGTTATTAGCTCTTATTAAGCCTGAAGTCAGTTAATAAATGCCAAATGTCATCACTTCCCAGAAAAATAGGATCATATTATCAGCCTCCTAATAATTAGCTAAATGGGTCCCTAAACTTTGCTGCTGTTGTCTGTTGGGGTTAGGATTAATAATCTAACCCTGCAGTAACAAGCTGACTTTGCAGCAGGGCAACCGGGTGAATTATTTCTAAACTGCCCTTTGCCTCTGCATCCTTTTATGGTTTTTACGGTTATTTCCCTGTGACTTTGCTAACCGGACGGTTTGCTGTGCAGCAACCGGTCTAAAGGCGCGACAGCCGCGCGTAAACCTGAAGCGACGGTGCGGCAGCTCAGGTGGAGGCAGTGAGGATCACTGCGCAACGAGGCGCCGCATAGCAGCGGCCAGGCAGCGGTCAGCTACTAGAAACCTACCCGAGGGGCGCTTTTCCATCCGTAGCAGCAGGACACCAGGACCACGTTATTCCAAGAACCAGAGAGAGGCGGAAACGGGTCCGGGTTCGGCGGTGAGGTGAAACCAATCCTCAGCAGAAGCGTTCTGTCCCGCTGCCAGTCTCCAAACCCGGGCTGGTGAGGTGGTATCCGCCCCCTCCGTCCTCCTCATCACTCCCCTCCCTCTCGGCCTTTTCCTCAAGTGGATGAACACAAATGCCTACCTACCTACAGCCTGGCACGTTTGTTACGCAACAACATGCAGATACGCAGCCTATATGGCACACCGTTGTACCACACAATCAGTCCAGTCTCCACTGAGACTTACATCATTATCCCTCTTAGTCTAAACAACTTTCTTAATAAAATTGAAAATAAATAAAATGTATCAAGAATAGCACGATTACTAATAAAAGTTGTACTCCAAATATAATACTGTAATAGTGTTTACATGTATTTGCAGAGTTTATGGCACAGATATCCAGAATTACCCAACATTTCAGATAGTTAAACAAAATCTACCTCATCACCTGACTTTCTGGGTAAGAGAAACGTGTCTGATTTTTTAAGTTCGTATTTGTCAGATGTAAACGGTGACCCCTCCACTGAGATCTGCATCTCTCCCTGCTCCTATGGGACAAGCAGGAAAACCTCCACAGGGAGGCAATCTACAAGCAGGTCTGAAGTTACCGCCTCATTTGGCTAATTTTGATGTGGAGGAGCAGCAGCTCTGCTCCCAGCTCCCCTAGATGAAAGAGCTCCTGTAGCCTACTGAGCTCGGCTACGCTTATTTCAGAGGCATGTTCTTTTGGTCACAATCCAAAAGTCATGGCCATACATGAGGGTTGGAAAGTAGGTGGAGCAACAAATCTTTCTGTTGTGATAACAACCCCATTACTGAAAATTAAACCTGAATCCAATGGTCCAACTCTTGTGCCATTGTACCATCTCCATCAAATCTTTAATAGATCTAATAAATATCTTCTTGAAAATCTTTAATTACATTGTTATTACATGTCTGAAATTAACCCTTTGATGCATTAATTATGAAATCTTCAACCATGGTTTTTTAAACATTTTTTTCATTCATCTTTAGGTGTGAATGAAACAAATTTCAACAAATATTTTTTGTAACATTTAATAATTTACAAATAATTTATTACATGTCCACCTCGGTGGACAGCGTGCATTCTGAACATGAAATATGTTGGCTTGACTTACTGATGTCCAAATGGAGGAGGGACTCAAATGCAATTAAAGTCTTCAAAAGCTGTGCTTAATAGCAAAAAATTAAATAAATAACAATTTTGAGTACCTGTCCACAGTAGTGACCATTTTGCATCAACGGGTCAAATAGCTTATTGTTTAAATATAAATACTGGTTATTCCTAGTCCTTACTGCAGTTTTACTACAATGTTCCAGAGATTACGTAATTTAATCTGAAATAATTTATGTGAAATTGAAAGTATGAGTTGTGTTCTGGTGGACCAGCTGGTAGCACTGCTGCCTTGCAGTGAGAAGGTCACCAGTTTGAATCCCACCTGCAGCCTTTTTGAAGCCGGTAATGCTCTGATGAAGTTAGTATCTTCTCCCCATGCATGCACGGATCTTTACTTCAGTTTCCCCCCCATGGGCTAAAAGTATGTGTGACAGATTTATGGTGAATAACATGCCCACAGGTGTGAGTGTGTGACTGGTTTTTGCCCATTTGTGGATCTGTGATGGACTGGAGACCTGTCCAGAAGTGTCCCCCTGCCTCTTGCATGGTGACTGCTGGAGTTTGGCACCAGCTCTGCACGACCCCAAAAACAAGTGAAATGGCCTTCTAGAGCTCCACTACCCCCCAAGGCTGTTCACAACACAACAGTCATTCACACAAAGTCACACGCTGAGTGATCAGTGATGATGATGTGGTTTGAAGAGCATGCCTAGTTATTAAATGATAAATGGGCTTGCCATACTTTACCTGTTCAGGTAACTTCATGGAGATGGGGATTGAACTGAGAACACAACGCAGACTGCAGAATTAAAAACAGATCCTGAGGTGTTGGAATTATAACAGAAAATGACTTAAAACATTTTAGAAAGATGCTTCAACATTTCTACAAGAACAAAAACCAGACTGCTTGTGCATGAAACCATAAAACTTACTTTACTGCACTACACCCCAACTTGACGTTACCCTGCCTGATGGCGTTTCCTCACTCTGTAACTTGGTTGAGTGCCTCTCCCTGATGTCCCGCCTGATTGTCTGGCTGTTTTTACAGTAACACAACATTTACTTGTTTGGACACGCTGCTGAGGCTCCAGATCTGTCCTTATTCAGCCCAAACAAGGGGACAAAAAGTCGCAGGTGTAAACCGTGAGCTGCCTCCCAAGCAGGTCTGCTGCCTGGCCCTCAGCTCTCTGCGTGTTTGTCACTTTCGTGAAATTGTCTGGACGACAGGCCTGAGTCCTAAAATAACCCACGAGGCTCAGAGGATTGTCTTAAGGCCATTAAATTACTACTGAGGCAGCAGGAGACACTGGAGGCTTTGAACAGGTGGAGTAGGAACTCTTTTGGACGGTAATCACATAGATTATGACTAATGTTGGATAACACCCTACATATGTAGCAGATTCTCATGTAACAGGTGCCATGTATTTTAGAAAATTGTTGCAGCTGTTTGTTGGCCAGCTAATTTTGTCTCATTCACAAAAATATTTTAATTATCAGTCTTTCCGCTTAGTGAGACTGTGTATTTCCTGTTTTATCTTCCCAGCCCGTTTGAAGGCCACACAGCCAGCCTGCAGCACCCTGACCTTTACTGTCTGTTTGTTTGTTTTATTTTCTCCACGATCATGGAGGCGTATTTTAAACTTGCACTGATGTGTCGCTCCTCCTGCACAAGTGCGCTCTAATCTGAATTTCAAACAGGACTCTGGAGGGCAGTTAAGTGCTTCAGAAGTGGTTCATGGGGTACTTGGAGCATTGCTGGGCTCACATGTTATCACTGAAATAAATGAAAACATGTTAGAAACAAATCTGCTCCGTGCAGGAATGGTGTTGTTTTTACATTTTCAGGGTATGAACAAAGGGTTTTGCAGACAGAAAGGGACCACATCAGTCGTGGTGCTGCTGACTACCTTTTGGAGCTTGGATGAGTAGATTAGGAAACAACAGTCTTGTAGAAAACAACACTTTCCCTATCAAGAATTTAGGTCAATTAGTGTCTGATTTTCAATTTGATCTCACTCTGCAATTTCCCAAAAGCCATCTTTGTTACCATTTCATATCTGCTTGTGTTATTTTCTCTCTTTTTTTTATCATTTAGTCACATTTTACTGAATTATGGGGATAATCTGTCCATTTTACACCTCTATGCGGACCATGTGACTAATTTAGGGCTTATTTTGACTCATTTGCTGTATTTTTTTCTTCATTTTTGCACTTTATTCTTAAAATTATCTTATTTTGATCATTTTACACCTCTTTTGTGCTTATTTGTATTGCATCCTTCCACATTGTTTGTTTTAAATGATTTTATTGGAGTTTTGGTTACGTTTACAATTAGTTCATCATCAGATTTTGGTATTTCAGTATTTATTTAATGCCAGGTTATGTTTCTTCTTATGATGTTTTTTCTCATCTCTTCATTTACAACTAATAATCATTTTATTTTATTGTATTGTGTTTCAGAAACACCCATTGGCCCCTGATTTCTTGGTTTGAGAGCCTTGGAGGCCCCTAACAGTTCAACGCAGCAGCTCTGAAATCGGACCCTTGTTACAGATGGAGCTTTGTCTTCTTTGGTCTGAACCATAATCATTGGTTAAAAGGAGGGATACTCTGAGATGGTGGAAAGTATTATATTTCTTAACAAAATAAACCTTTTTCTATTAGGAACAGCTATGTAAATTTCTATCCACACACTCTTGAGCCAGAAAAGCTTGAGATCTATGATTCTTACCAGCTCTTTGCTCCAAGTCTCATTCTTTTGTGGCTTCCTTTCATCTAATGGAAGAACGCTTCCATCTCCGGAGCCCCAATGACAGACTTTTGAGAGTGTACTGCCTCCCCATCCATCAGACTCTATCTCAGCTGCCTCGTGAGTATTTAGTTTCACCACTTCTAAGGTGGACTGGCACCACTCTAAGTTTTGTCCATCTTAAAAATTCCATAAAATACTATTGAATCCCAGTTTCTGTCATTACTGAGGAATGTTAGCATTAATCAACGTAAAGATGGGAAAGAAAATAAAAAACTCTTTATAAATGCATCCATTCCTTTCTGTCAGCTTATCTGGGGTCAGGCCGCAGGGGCAGCAGCCTGAGCAGGGAGGCCCAGACTTCCACCTCCTCAGCCACTTGGGCCAGCTCTTCTGGGGAAGAAGGTGTTCCCTCGCCAGCTGATAAACATAGCCCCTCCAAGATGTCCAGGATCTTCCTTTAGGTTCTTCCTGGTTGGACGTGCCCATAAAACTTCACCAGGGAGGCATCCTAACTAGATACCCGAGCCAGGGGTGTGTCTAGGGAGTGGCCTGGGGTAGCACATGCCACCCTTGAAATCTGATTGGCCACCCCAGGTGCCAACACACTAATTTATCTTTAAATAGGCTTTTCATTGTCCAGAAAAGGCTTGGGGTTTAAAAAAAAAGCATAACAATTGGTGCCACACATGCATAAAGTTGTGCCTCACCTGGGCCACCCCATTTTAAAAGATCTGGACACGCCGCTGAACCGAGCCACCTCAACTGGCTCGTCTGAATGTGGAGGAGCAGCCAATCTACTCCGAGCCCCTCCCGGATGACCAAGCTTCTCACCCTATCTCTAAGGGAGAGCTCTTTTTAAATGTTAGCCAAAATTTAAGTACGGAATAATTATTTCCCCGTTTAATCAGAAAAACACTCTGAAAAATGTTTAACTCCAAAATGAAATTTCTTTGCAAATGTAATGTTTGTTTAGTTTGGCTTGTTGGTGTTGGATGTGAATTCAACATAATCACATTTGTAAGAAGTGTTTGCACTACTAAAATAAAACTTGCACTGACATTCTCCACACCAGCCCAACATTGACAAAGTTCAGTTGTCTTTGTGAGAAGGTTTTTTTTTTGTACCCACATTTAAATAAATCGGAGGTCTTTCCTACAGAACTACTTCATCCAAGCTACCATCAGCTTCTGGAAACGGGGGTTGTCCTTTACTTTTGCAGAAGCCCCAAACATGGCACCTCCCTGTTGGAAGCCATGGTGTTGTTCGAGTAGAGAAAACTGGCCAATTGAGATGTCCTTTCTGAACAACCCCCAGGGTTTGAAACAAGCTGAGACCCATCTCTTACATAACACGAAGGCTGGTTTTTCTACTCATCTTTGTTTGATAACAAATATTCCCATCCCTGCCTCCTATTGACCTATCCGCTGTCCTCTTTTGTTTCTTAATTTATTTTCTAATTCTCTATTTTTGGATCCTGCTTTTCTTCTCCACCATGACTCTGCCCTGAAGCTGGGTCCCTGCTTCCGTTCAGCTCAACTGGAATGGGAATGAAGCCTGACTCACATACTCATTAGCTCACATGGCTGCACTCTGTTCCACAAATAAAACACTCCTATGGATGTAACGTGCGCACGCACACACACACATACACACACACACACACACACACACACACACACACACACACACACACACACACACACACACACACACACACACACGCTTGAGCAAACATCAGGAAATATTCCTCACATTAGGGTTTGATGGCTTTGTGTGCTGCAGCCACGTTTGGGGACAACAGTCCTCTGAATGTATTCAAAACAAAGCAACATCTCGCTCGGTCATTCCTTAAAGGGACGGCAGTGTGTCAAACACCTCAGGAGACATGTGGTCATGTTGTCCAGAGACAGTCACAGCAGCCCAGAGCACTGACAGCAGATAGCTGCTATAAAAAGATCAGCTGACACAGTCGACCAGGGCCTATAGATAAACACACTTTGACGTTCAACATCAGTTAAACTGTTTTATGATCCAGCACACTGGACCTGTTCAGATGCAGGGCATCCTCTGGAGTCCACAGCTTTAGCACCTCATAACCACTACCACTGTACACTTGGATGCCACACACACACACACACACACACACACACACACACACACACACACACACACACACACACACACACACACACACACACACACACACACTCACTCACAGAGGCGCAAATGGCCCTCCGTTAGAAAGCGATTTTATACCTCTGCTGCCCCCTGGAGGCTACATTTTGCAAAACGTGCAAGATAGAACAAGTAGGCTTTTTGACCCTAAAGGGCATCCGTTGGTAAGGACTCACTCCAACAAAAATATAATGTAGATTTAGGTATCTACTTCCCCCTACCACCAGGAAAAAGACACTCTCACTTTAAACAGAATTGATTTTGACAGTTTTATTAACCATACAGTAAAGACGAAGTACTAAAGGCATAAATTAAAAATTGTGAATACAGTTGTGAACTCTTAATTTCGACAAAACAGACACATTTAATTCTGTAGAAACATCCTTGCAACAACAAACTGTTTTGTGTCCAGTTTTCTACAATAAACATTCATTCATTTCATTGGATTTTCAGTTAAAAGTTGAATCAGAGAAGTGTGTGATCTTGTGTGATCTGAAGCTTATTTGTCTCTTTCTTGACACACGCCTTGGCCCTTTTCTGACTCTCTGACTTAATTTTCGTGTCCTCTCCTTTTCCATCAAACTCTCTCTTTGTTTTAGTTGTCTTGCTCTTTTTACCACTTTCTTTCTCTGCCTTTGGCTGTTTCACACGTGCCGGTTCTTTCAGGTTTTGGAACTTCTTGAGGTCAGCACAGAATAAAACCTGAAACAAAGAGACAGTCAGCTGTAAAAGGGGACAAACTGAGTGGGAGAAACTCACAGAACCTTAACTTACGGAGTGAGCCCAGCCAGCGTACGGTCCCCATAGCTTACGAAAAAAATCTCCTGTGTAAAAAAGGAATTTAGTTGTTGGATTGGTGACCGAGAAAAGGCTCTTAGTAATACAAAAGTGTGTGAAGACTAACCGATATCTCTGTGAATCTTTTCGGTGAGGCTCTTCTGTCCACTATCAGTAGTGTACTTATAGTCCCGCTTAGCAATCTGCCACACGTGTGTGTCCACGGGTACAGCTTCCGACTTATTCAGGGACATCAAACACACACAATCTGCCACCTACAAGATGACACAAAACCTTGAGTGAATGTTGCTGCATTACTATTTATTTCCATACTGTGTTTAGTTTTTCCTTTTAATGCAAGGAGCCATTTTCCTGCTGCACCTTGGTGCCAACACCAGGAAGAGTTCGAAGAGCATCACGGGCTTCAACATATGGGAGTCTTCGTAAGCTTTCAAGCCACTGGAGCCCATGAGTGTCCAAAATCTGCTTTGCACTTTGCTGAAGGAACCGAGCCCTGTAGCCAAAGCCGAGATCCCTGAGGCATGCCTCTACACTGCTGTCTGCAGGTTACAGCAACAGACATTCAGTAAGAAATACTCTCTTTAAAATTCAGTCAACAATCCCTTTAAAAACAACATTTAGCTGCATCAAATAAAATCAAACTTTATTTATAGAGCACTCTTCATGCATATGATGCAACACAAAGTGCTTAACAGACACATATAACCCACATTCCCTCCCTTTCCCACACTTAAAACAATTGTGATAGTTTCACCTCAGCACACACACACACACACACACACACACACACACACACACACACACACACACACACACACACACACACACACACACACACAGGTAACACATTAAAAGACCACAGTAAACACAAGGCTGAGCTCAGATTGGACAGGTAAGGAAAGACACGCCATCAAGGGAGCCATCTGCCTCGACAGCAGCATATCGACGGTAGCAGCCAAGACACCAATCCAGGGCGCCCTGGGAGGGAGGGTAGCAACCCCCACCACTACCTGGGTACTACCCTAGGAGCGCCCCAGCTGCCGCCACCGACCACCGGTCCCGAGGCAGAAAGCTCCACAGAGGAAACACTGGAAGGATTAAAATACGCAAACATGAGGGTCAATGCATTCTATAATAAATAAGCACAGCAAATATGTGTGTAACAAAACACAACCCTTTCTTTTTTGTCTGCAGAAGGAATAAGATAAAATATGAAGTTGGTAAAGAGATAAAAAGTACATTTGCAGCTGTCAGAGGACCTCATAAATTGGAAGATGAACAGTAAAGTTGTTGGCGAGATTATAAAAAAAAAGTCTGGGAAAAGGTGTGTTGCACCTGCAAGTGCAGACAGGGTAGGGAAGTCATAGTAAGCGGTTTGGTCCAGCTGGCACAGCGGTGCACCCAGAGCCTGACACAATCTCTCCACCATGCCCTGGATACGAGAGATGTGGTTGTTGGAAGTGCAAATAAAGGAAAAAAGGCATTCTGTAGGGTCCTGGCGCAATATTCTCACACCTGGAAGAATAAATCAAAAAGATTTTATGTGTATGTATATGTTCATGTATTGTATTGTATTGTATTGTATACACTAACCTTTGAAGATGTCTGCAATCTCCTTGAAGTGGGGATCTGCTGCTCCCCACTTCCTGTACAGATCTCCCAGCTTCACGTGAAGCTGAAGGAAGTCTTTCAGCATCATCTCTGCTTCCACCTCACCCTCCTGCTGGTCAGTAACTACATGTGGCTCCTCTTCATTCTTCATCCGTGAATCTACAGATCTCTTCTCAGATCGCTTTTTGTCCAGGAGAGAGACACCACGTCCATTCTGTGTATCTGGGTTTGCGTAGACATAGTACCAAAGAGTGTCCTCTGTTTGGGTCAGAGTCCATACTCGACCTCCCATCACTCCTGTCCAGTGTCCTTCTGCAGATTCTTTCCAGCTAAGAAATGAGTTTAGTGTTAATACAAAACGGGAACACATTAGATGAGATGTTAAAAGGTTGTATTTATCTGATAACCCTACCGGAAAGTCTGCCCACAGGCAAGTGTAAGATCCAGGCGTAGCTCTGATTTTGCACAAGCCAAAGATCTCCACATTTTTGCTCCGGAAGACAAAACGGCATGTTTTGTCATTTTTGTTTTCATGCAAACTTCCAGGAAGTCTTTTTAGATGTTAAAGCAGACCTTGAACCATATGCCTTTACCTACTGACAACCAATTATTCGATTACTTTAAACGCATCCTCGTGAAATCCAGTAAAACTCAAGATAAATTGAGACGAAAATAACGAGTTATCTTTAAGTGTGGGACAACAAAGACCTTACACAGCGTTAAAAATATTAGTTTTAATAAAATAATTTATAAAAGAAAAATGATTGCGTCTAAAATGATTGTTATCATTTCTAAATAAAAAGTGATTTATCTAAATTTTAACAAACTAATAAAAAATACTGATTTATACCGATCTGATGCAACATTGAGCTGACTCCGGTAGGCCCTCCCTTGTTCTTGCTGATGTCAACAAACTCCTGATTGGTTCTCAGGTTTTAAGTAGGCGGTAATTTATAACCAACCTCTCTTTCTATTGGTCAAAACGTCCAAGCTTCTAGTTTCCTATTGGCTGATAGTCATGTCCCTCACATTTTCACTGTAATGTACAGGAAATCGCTCCTCGCTCTTTCTCTGGGAGGACAGCTCGTGTGCGGTTACTGTGCTGTTCTGACTGACTTATTGGCGGAGTAATGGCGGACACTTTGACACTTTTTACTTCAATTGGTCTCAGCGAGCAGAAGGCGAAAGAAACTCTAAAGAATGAAGCGTTGAGTTCTGCCCTGAAGGACGCAATTACCCAGGTGGGATTACCACCAGGACAGCTGTTCCTGTTAGCTGTTTCTACCTACTTTTTATAATTGAAGACTTTCACTTTCACTATTAACAAACACCTTTATTTTCCTTTCATTTAATTATTTTCTCTTTCAAATGTGTTTGCTGAACATTTCAGTTTTCTCTGTAATGAATCTTTATCACAGCCCGTTACACAGATTTAAACAGACAAAACAAATTCAGTCTCTTTGTGTGTTTTAATAGGCTCAACGTGCTAATGAAGCATCAGGAGTGGACAAAGCCATGGGGACAATGCTGTATAGTTTGGCATCTCGCCTTAAAGACTACAAACGCTTGGCATTTCTGTCAGACTGCATTGCCCAGCGAAAACTTTGCACAGAGTTGCAACTTGCAGGTAATTTCTGTCTATTTTAACAAGCCTACAACCCAGCATATGGCCACTGATATTGTATTGTTTAACTTTGCTTGTCTGCTTCTTCTGACCTTTTGCTTGCAGCTGCTTTGGACTTTGTGAAGAGTCACCCCCAAGATCCCATCAGTCAGAAGGAGTTTGATGAAGCATGTGGTGTGGGCGTCGTCATAACCCCAGAGCAGATTGAGGATGCAGTAAGTGCAGGATCTCCCACTGACCAAATGTATATGTTGACCGGCTGCGGTGTGTTTGGTGACTGTGGAATGTCATGCAGGTAGAGTCTATAATCAGGAAGCACAAGGAGCAACTGTTAAAGGAAAGATATCGCTTCAACATGGGGCTGCTAATGGGTATGAGCTGAAGTTGGTTTGGTTATTGCAGCATTACAGCCTAAAGCAATAGCAGAAATTTGCACGTTGCTTCTTTTGCAGGAGAAGCACGTTCAGCCCTTAAGTGGGCTGATGGGAAGGTGATCAAAAACGAGGTGGACATGCAGGTATGATTGAAGGAGGAAGAGTGTATTGTAAGGGACTGCTTGTAACCAGTTTCGGTTTTACTAACTCTGTGGTTTTGGTTTGAAAGGTTCTGCACCTTTTAGGTCCCAAAACAGAAGCAGATCTGGAGAAGAAAGCCAAGGTAAGATGGCAATTTTCATTTTAAACGAATGACCGGCAATTCTGGAGGCCGCTTTATATTCTAAAATAAAAAAGCCAAACGATAATCAAAAACCCAGGATAAGTATCTGATGTGTGAATGTGGTGATTTTTTTATAGAGACTCGTGTGCGAAGTTTGAAGGTGTTTGTTTTAAACATGTTTTTTTTAATGTTTTCAGCCACAAAAGGCAAAAGTCACAGAGAACGACACCAAGCCAAAGAAAGAGGAGGTCACAGCGAATGGTGAGCAGCAGAAAAGTAGTTTTAATTCAACTCTTAATAACTGTCACTAAAACTGTTTATTGGTTGCTAAGGGGATGTCATCTCAGGAGAGGGGAGGTCTCTGATGGAGCAGCTCAGAGGAGAAGCACTGAAGTTTCACAAACCAGGTGAGAAGAGACAAACTCTTGAATAAAGTGGTTTTTTAAATGTGATTTAATGCATTAGTCCTGCTTTCTATATTATTAGTAGATCTGTATGTCCTTTCCCCCTGTTGACATCACATAGAGAGAATCCTCTATATAGCAAAGTGAACGATCCTAATAGATGATGTGACATCATCACTTTCAGTCTCCTTTTCTGAAAAATATTCTGAGATGGGAAAACAGTGATTCTGATGCACAAGGCAATGGTTTTTAAACCCGTTTGAATTGAAATAAGTTAGAAGTAGATTTGACCCCCTGATCCAGACTAACTGGGTTACACTTATGGCTGATGGTGTTTTTACTGTCTATAAAGAGAGCTGCCTCTGTCCGTATACAAACACCGAGGTTGTCATCGCCGTGCATCGTAGTCGCAGTGGGACGTTAGCGCTGTTGTGTTTTTATCCAGCATGTCGGGGCACAATACAAATACCGTTAACCAGACAAGCCTGAGTCAAAATAATGTTTACATTTAGTTTTGCTTTTCATCTTTTCATCCTTTATGATTCAGGAGAAAATTACAAGACGGAGGGTTATGTTGTCACACCAAGCACAATGGACCTGCTTAAGAAGCACTTGGAGGTCACCGGTGGTCAGGTATCGACTTCAGACGGTTTCCTTTATCTGGAAAGTGTTCTCTTTCCCTGGTTTTAATGTGTGTTTAAACGGCTTTAGATCCGTACCCGTTTTCCACCAGAGCCCAATGGGATCCTTCACATTGGACATGCCAAGGCCATCAACTTCAACTTTGGTTATGCAAAGGTACGAGTCTTTGATTCAGTAAAAGCTGTCCAGTCTTCCGCTGCTCTGTGCTTTTCTCAAATTGACATTTTCTACAGGCAAATGGTGGAATATGTTACTTACGGTATGATGACACCAATCCTGAGAAAGAGGAGGAAAAGTACTTCACTGCCATCAAAGACATGGTGGAGTGGCTAGGTGAGTTTAATGAGCTTTCATCTGATGTGGCATAAAGCCCAGCTCCTTATCAGTGCAGCCGTTGGTCTACAGGCTACACACCTTACGACGTCACGCATGCTTCGGACTACTTTCAGCAGCTCTACGACCTTGCTGTGGATCTCATCCGCAGGTGAGTGGGCGTGGAGGTGGATGCTTGTTGGCCGGCTCCTTTTCCTTACTTTGGTTTGCCTTCAGGGGTCACGCCTATGTGTGCCACCAGAAGGGCGAAGAGCTGAAAGGCCACAATGTTCCCGCATCGCCATGGAGAGACCGACCCGTCGAAGAGTCGCTGGTGCTGTTTGAGAGGATGAAGAAGGGCGTGTTCGCTGAGGGAGAGGTCACTCTGAGGATGAAGATGGTCATGGAGGATGGGAAGATGGATCCTGTGGCGTATCGCATCAAATACACGGCTCATCATCGGACAGGAGATGAATGGTAGGAAAGCCTGAGTGGTTGTATTCTGATTTAAGCGTTTTATTTGTCTCTCAACGCTTTCCTGTCTGATGTCACTTTTAATAGGTGCATCTACCCCACCTACGACTACACCCACTGTCTGTGTGACTCTATTGAAAACATCACACATTCACTGTGCACCAAAGAGTTTCAAGCTAGGTAGCAACAGCATCTGTGTAACAGCTGCAGTTCAGCTGCTGTATGACGTTTGTGTATTTATGTTGTTCTGGTTACGATCTTTCAGACGTTCGTCGTATTACTGGCTGTGTAACGCTCTGGACCTCTACTGCCCTGTTCAGTGGGAATATGGACGCTTGAACCTCACTTACACGGTTGTATCCAAGAGGAAAATCATCAAACTAGTTGAGACTGGTGTTGTCAGGTAAATAAGGCTTTTATTATCACCCTCTCTGTTTTTTTTTTAATTAATTCTATTTTTATGATGAATGCCCGAGTCAGTGTCAAATTATTCTGTTATGCACAGAAACCTGCAATTCCAAACGTGGCTGTAAATTAAACATGTTATTATATGGATGCAATGTTTAAAATTTCAGGGAAATGGGTTGTTTTGATTTGGATGTTTTTAACAAAACGTCTGAAATAATTTAAGTTTTAAATAAAAAACATCTGACTTTCAACCATCATGTTGTAATTAACTTCAAACCACGCACTTCCCATGTAGATTGTTATCTTCACATCTACTGCTGGTTTTAATGTTTGTTTGCAGGGATTGGGATGATCCCAGACTCTTCACTTTGACTGCTTTGAGGAGAAGAGGTTTCCCCCCAGAGGCCATCAATAACTTCTGTGCTCGGGTATGCAGCAGGGAGAGGACACGGAGTCTAAAGCGAAGCTGCTGTTTGAAATCATGCCACCTCCCTTGCAGGTGGGAGTCACCGTTTCCCAGACGACGACAGAACCTCACCTGCTGGAGTCCTGTGTGAGGGATGTGCTGAATGACACCGCTCCTCGAGTCATGGCTGTGCTGGAGCCCCTCAGAGTCACCATAACCAACTTCCCTGAGAGCTCAGAGGTTCGTACCATCCAGTACAAACAGAGACACTACATTAAAGTGACTGTGTGTATTTTTCCTGGCAATAGAGTGCAGTAGATACCTAAATTGTTGCAAGCAAGCAGTATTTTTGTGTTGAAGTACTATCTTACCAACGGATGCCCATTAGGGTCAAAAAGCCCAGGGGAGTGCTAACTTTAGCAAACTAAAAAGCACATCAGACTCCCTTTCATCACTGGCAACAAGAGAAGAGGTAAATTTGTAAAACAACAACAAACATTTAAGAATGACGAAAGTTTTGTAATCGTTTGTTAAAAATCAGTAAATGCATTTTGCCCTCATGGGCTCCCGTAGAAGGAAACATGGCATCTAATATGGCGTTGCCCAGAGACTTAGACATGTATTTTAGACCTGATTCCTATGGTTATATTTTACAAAGCCGCCAATATTTTTCAACAACTGGGCATCAATTCATTCAATTTCAACAACATTTTGATGGATATTTCCAGAAATGAATGGTAACAACTACACATTGTCTCTTTAAACTTACATTATGTTCACTGTCTTTAAATCACGTCCTTCGTCTTCTAATCCTAGTCAGATGTTCGAGTGCCTAACTTTCCCGCCAACGAGGCGAAGGGCAGCCACACAGTTCCGTTTACACGCACGATCTTCATTGAGCAGAGTGACTTCAGAGAGGTTTGAGGAAAAATAAAATCACCCAGAATGCAAATCTTTCACTTGCACATGTTTTTAAATGATCATCTGCTGTGGCTTCTCAGGTGATGGAGAAAGGCTACAAGAGGCTGACTCCAGAACAGCCTGTAGGCCTGAGGCATGCTGGGTATGTCATCTCAGTTCAGAAGGTCATCAAGGTAAGAGCTCTTGGCTCATGTAGCCTCTAACAGTAAAATAACAGTTTTAGAGGTTTCATCCATTTCTTACTGTTTTTAAAAACCTCCTTTTGTTTGGTGAATCCCTTGATTTGTCTTTGTTGCTTGATTTAATTACATACATTGATGTCCAAGTCCAAATGAGCTCATGTATGAATTAGGGATGCACCGATACGATACTGGTATCGGTATCGGTAAAAGTTAACAGATACCAGTAACTGATACCAATGCAGTTGCTTGAAAGTGACTTCACTGTAACTTGTCATTTCTGTTCACCTAATATTTTAGTTTTGTTATCACTTATACTACTTTTTATCTACCTAACAGTCTTTTCCTATTGAAAACAGAAGAAAATAAAACCTGTATTCCAATTCATTGCATTTTTTTGTGTGGTAGAAGTATCTGTATCGGTAATCTGTATTGGCGAGTACTCAGATCCAAGTATCGGTATCGTATTGGTTTGGTAAAAAGTGGTATCGTTGCATCCCTAGTATGAATGTAAGAGAAATTAAGTGTTTTTACTTAACGATAGCAGTTGCTGCATTATTATTATTATTATTATTATTATTATTATTATTATTATTTATTAATTTTGTGGCATGCCTTCATGCTTTAGCCAGTGACAACCGGTTCAACCAGAAGCTCCGGAGATTAGGATTTGGTTAGGATACCCGGTCGGTCAGTCAAAGGCAAATACAAAGGTTGTTTATGAGGATCACCGTGTGCAATAATACAAGCTTGTTGCATTATGATGCCTCGTCATTTATCTGGATTATTAATTATTAATCTCGACCATGACAAAGGAATTTACCGAAGGTGAAGCTCCTACAAAACAACCGGCCCCTAGTGGTCAGATTTGGTAGACATGTAATTCCTTGGTGCTGTAAAAAATGTTGCTAAATAAGAAAAATCTAATTGGTTTTCATGGCTATTCTTATTTATTCCTGTGGGTTTTACTCTGCTGTTGCATGTTTAAATATTGAAAATCCTGTAATATTAATAATTAGCTATTTGATTCCTAATGTGTGGGTGAATAAGTGGTACCTCACGTAGCCTCATGTCCTTGGAGAGCAGTCTCTGGTTTCTAAATGTAACATTAATGCTGTTTTATACTACTGAACAACAAAAGACTGATGTGTCATCCACCTTTTGCATGTTTATTATTAATCATAGTTATTTGTATTTCGGGGCATTTTAGTCAAAATATTGAAAGAAGAAGAAAAATGATGTATTTTTTTTATATAGCGCCTCTCAAAGTAAAATTTACAAGGAAAAAAAGTTTTGGGAAAAATAAAAACTTTGAATAAGATAAGGTAATCACAGGAAACGGCCTCCATTTAGCTGAAAATAACATTTATCACAATAACTCTGGTTAGGATTTGAATGCCCTGACAAGATGGTGCCTCGGGTTGTTATGTTGTTAGAAAAAACTTGAAATGTATTTACCTGGTTTGTTTTTTCTTTCAAGATTATTAGAGAAAACCCCAAAATAACAATCTCCAAACCCCATCTGATAATACAACACCCAAGTATTTGAGTTTTCCTCTTCCTCTCTGCTGCATGTCCACACCATCGACATATAAATATTGGACAATGAGTTTCCATAGGATCCAATAATACATTTTTGAAGCTAAATGGGAGGTGGCCACCACCGCCATTTTGACCATGTCACAGGTTCCGTCAAGCCCAGACAATTCCACAAAAGGGAAGAGAGGAGGAGCTGAGGGTGGGGCTGTAAGGCTGGGATCAACTGACGACACCCGGTCGAACTAGCTACAAGCTATCCTGAAGCTAACCCAAAGCTAATGCGGAGGTGGGAGCTAAGCTAACGGAGGTAGCAACCTAGCTACAACCGGAGTTAACTGTGCACAACACCAGAGCTTCTGAGTCAGAGATACGCCGGGCTGACCGCTGGGTAGAACCGGGTGGAACACAGAGGTCTCCAAGAGCTCCACAAGCCGGCAGCCGCACAGCAGACAAGCGCCGCTGCGATCTGAGATGCGCAGAGCTGCCCTATTACATTTAAATATCATGGTTAAACAGTACATGTTAAAATCTAAGCTCAGCTCGGCAGTGGCCTAAAATACATATATATAATTTTACTTACAGAAAAAAATGAAGTGGAGACTCCTTGGATGCTCTATTAGTGCAATTAATGCCACAGCAAGTCATTTTGTCCAACAATTGCACAAAAAATATCCAAACAAGAATACACAAATACAGAGACTCAAAATCCCGGAACAGTTTCCAGGCCAGACCGAGGCCTTTCCACGGAGCTAGTTCTGTGGTCACGTGGGTCGGATGCTCATTAATTATACAGAATTTTAGGTTTTTAATACACTTAAACAGAAGAGTGAGAAAAAAATTCACCCCCCTCAGAGTTGTCATGAGTGTAAACTAGATCATTTAAACCAAAAACATGTTTTGGTACCAGGCTGTAAACATGTTTATTTCTGCTGTGAAATTGGTATTTTTAACATGGGAGTCAATGAGGATTTGCTCGCTTCTGACACCAGCCCCCAGTGGATGAGGGTGGAACTGCAATTTTTGGTACTTCCGGGTTTGACTCAATTTTTGAGCCGCATTGTGGGGGCTTGGTCCACACTCACATGCCCTGCTCTGAAAATGTTTCTTTTTCTGTGTTTGTCAGGACTCTCAGGGTAAAGTTGTGGAACTGGAAGTGACTTGCTGCAGATCTGAGACTGCAGAGAAACCAAAGGCCTTCATCCACTGGGTCAGCCAGCCGCTGGTGTGTGAAGTTCGTCTCTATGACAGACTGTAAGTCCCGAAGACCTGATGACTAACCCTCTGAGTCTGAAACACACTCTAATGAAACGTCTTGCTTTCTTTGTAGCTTCCTGCACAAGCATCCAGAGGATCCATCCGAAGTGCCCAATGGCTTCCTCAGTGACATCAACCCTGTGAGTTCCTGTGAATTCACGTTTGGTTTCTGAGATGTTTTAGTTAGTTTAGCATCTGATTCATTTCCTCTCCTTTGTTTCTTCTTTTTGGTTTTGCTGTTTAGAATTCCCTGCAGGTGGTCAGCAGTGCCTTAGTGGACACCTCAGTCAAAGGAGCCAAAGTTCTCGACAAATTCCAGTTTGAGAGAGTTGGCTACTTCTCCCTGGATCCTGACAGCACTTCCAGCAAGGTATATAAACATTTAAACACTTGAATTACAGTTTGCTGTCTGAAATGTTTCAAGATTGTATTGATGCAGTTACACACATGCACATGAACCAGTTATAACTGCAATATCTTCTTTCATTGCAGCTCGTCTTCAACAGAACAGTCACACTCAAAGAGGACCCAGGGAAGATCTGAGTGGCACAGTAACAAGCTGCACTTCCTGCCTCCCAAGAGCCTTCACATACATGATGAAATAGTTTGAATTACTTATTGTGGAAAATCAGCAAGGACAGACCACTGGGACTGTGATCTAGACATATTATATGCCTTTATAATCACCTGCAACTTTTCAGAACCATAGATTGTTTTAACATGGAACTTCAGCAAACACAGATGCTTGAATCCATCTTCAGCGTTTTACCAGTCAGTGTCCTCGTAAATCTTATTTTATTATGTTTCTGTTGCAGTGCAAAGGCACTTTTCTATTCGATATTTAAGCAGCTTTGATCAGATAAGGATTGGTAATGGATTTGTATTATTTCCTCTCTGCTGGTTTTTACATAAGGGATGCTCTCAAAGGCCATATTTGACTTGTTTAAGGTGATGCCAACCCACCCAGTGTTTTTGACTCATCAAATAAACAATTCTGTTTAAAAATGTGCTGTTGAAGTTATTTGGAGTTACCAAAATACATTTTTGAATTTAATGTCGCAAGAACAGATGCTGCTAAATAATATTGAACAATGAAGTATACATTTAAAACTAGCAATGAAAATGTATGAATTAAATATAATCCCCCCAGTTACATTTGTGTGCAATAAGAAATGTAACACTAAATATTTTCATTTGATCCAAAACCAGGGTTGCCAATTTGTGCAAAACTCAAACAGGATTTTAAAGCTGATTTGGCATCAGTAATATACACTTGTGTATAAAACCTACATACAGGCTTGTGGTTAACTATTGTATAAATGCAGTGCTTGCTTCTCCTTGTTCCTTAAGATATATATTCCCAAAAGAATAAAAACAAAGATTAGGAATTTTAAAGCTTTATTTAGATATGGAGGCTAAAATATTCTCTCAGAGTGTAGTTACAGCTTGTCACCACTGGAGAGCATCAACACCCCTCATTCATAAAAGTCAACTGGAAACTGCAGCTAGGGGGTTGAACAGTAGTGCCACACTTACAGGAACAACAATATTTTCTTGAAATGCATGTGGGTTCATGCCATGCAACTGTCGTGCGTGGGATTTAAGGATTTAACCCTCAACTGCTTAAAGTTTCTGATCGCCACTTCAATCTTCGGCATATCTCTTCAGGACTACCTTAAAAGTTTCAGACGTCAATGAACTACTAAAGAGCGTTTCCCCGACATAAATGCGTTTTAAGGTAGACTGACATCTACTCCATCTCGCCTGCTGCTCAACTACCGTGAGTCGCCTTTAACTGGCTACATTCGAGAACTAGTTATCGCGGTAATAAGTTTGGGAAATACCGCGAGAGCACGTCTGAGTTTACAAATCGGTCGCTTATTGGTTTGAGGGTGCTGTTGTAAGATGGCGCCCATCGACATACTGTTGGTATAGAAAACGAAATACTAAAGCTAAGCGTCTGAGGAAATCACGGAGAAACAAAGCCCTTTAGCAACCGAAAACATCAACAGCACCATTTTTCTGCTTATTGGAAAAGAAGCGCGTGAGGGTGACTCAAACCTTGGCCTGTTAAGAAGAGAGGTAGTCAACGCGCTTGCTAATGTTAGCATGTTAGCTATAGGGAAATTAGAAAATAATGTTGTGTGTATCGTTGCCAACACAACAGGGTCCCTTTAAGGCTTTTCGTGTATAGCACAGGTGTTGCCCGCAACGGAACCAAAATGTTGTCATCATATAGCATGCAACTTGTCTTGCCCAAACAATGCGATTTGTTTTGTTTTCGAAACGACACGCGGCTAGTTAGCCGTTTACACGGCTAGCCGAGCCTGTTGTGTAATCAGCTGTTTGATTAGCTGATGTTTGATCACACAGCATGCATGTAATATAACGGTTGTCATTAGCTGTCTTGTTTGATCATGCAGCTGTTTTGTCGCAACTTCAGCTGCTGCATCACATTTGGAAAGTGACCGCGCTTTTGTCCCAATCTCGTTTACACTCGGCTAGAATTAACCCTTTCGTATTTCCATCTGTCTGTCATCAGTGAGCTGTTGGTCAGATTGATGTCAGCATATGTTAATGCTCCTTTACTTAAAGTTTGTCTTTAGTGGTTCGTTTTTACCTGGATAGCTAATTGGGTTTTGCTCACAGCTCCTTTTAAACACGTGAGGTTTATTTAATCTATTTTCCCCCCACCAGGCTCCATCTCGCAGAGGAGGGCACTTTCTGCAGCAATGAACAACTCCATGGATGGCACAAGCTCCTATGAGGAGCTGGTGAGGCAGAAAGCTCGCAGCATCCCACAGCATCGAATGAAGGAGTTTCTGGAGTCGTTAGCCAGCAAAGGTCCTGATGCCCTGCAGGAGTTTAGCCAACAAAGTGGAGACGCTACAACCACCACTACCACCATGGTTTACCAACAAGAAGCCAATTGCATCTACACAGACAGCACAGAGGTGGCGGGGTCGCTGTTGGAGCTGGCGTGTCCGGTAAATCAGCATAGTGTGGCGGGGTTTCATCATGAACATGCAGAAATTAATATAAACACAGGCCCTTTTTAAATTTGGTAGCTAATAGTTTCATATATAATTTGTGTGGAAAACAAAACAATGATACATGCAAATTTAAAATACTAATTCCAGAGTGGATCTGTGCCATTTAAAGCTCAGTTTGACTGTTGATAACTACTATTCGAAAAATAGTTCCAAATAATACTTTTAAATAACTCAAACCCTAAAATGAAGATCTCTGACTGCTGCTGCTGCTGTCTTCTGCAGGTTCAGGTCCAGGTCCAGCCGCAGCAGCTACAGATACAGGAAGCTGCATCCCAGCAGCAGTCTGTGCATCAGAGTACAGAACAACAGATTGTGCAGGTCTGTAATTCTATTGTTTCTCTGTGGTAACTAAATATGTCCTTACACGTGATAAATCATTTAATAACCCAATGTTGGTTGGTCTGTGATCATCCTTTTCAGGTCCAGATTCAAGGCCAGCAACAAGGTCAGATGTTAGGTCAAGTTCTGCAAGTGCCAGCTGGCTCCCATCAGCAGCTACAAGGTGTGACGACTGCACAGCTGATTCAGCCTGGGGAGCTGACGGAGGAGCAGCAGCAGCAGGTGCGAATTCAACACCACAATGCAATGCTGCAGTAGAATATAAATGTATTAAATGATGCCTATATGTTTTAGCTGCAAGCCCAGTTGGTGGCAGCTGTTGCAGGAGGACATCAGATCCAGATCCAGACAGTGGGGGCCCTCTCCCCTACTCAGCAGCAGGATGGTGCGGAGAGAAGAGTAGTGGAAGCCACGGTTGCCACATCTCAAGGAGCAGGTGTCCTCCAGCCTGCCAAAAAGCGTAAAGTGGACATGCCCATCACTGTGTCATACGCCCTGCCTGGTCAGCAGGTAGCCACAGTCCTGGCTATCCCTCAGGGACAGGGGCAGCAGCAAAGTTATGTGTCCTTGCGGCCGGACCTCCTCACTGTGGACAGTTCCCACCTGTACAGTGCTACTGGTACGATCACCAGTCCCACTGGTGAGACCTGGACCATTCCTGTGTATTCTGCTCCTGCTGGGTCTGGAAGCCATGAGCAGGTCACACATATTGCCATCCCCCAGGAGGCTTATGGGACAGTGCAGGTGGCGGGGACAAACACTACGGCAGCCACAATGCAAGCACAAGTCACAGTTGAAAATGACAAGTTGAAAATCCCTGCGAGTCAAAGTCAGACAGTGCAGGCTGTCTCCAGCATAACGAGCGCTGGAGGAATGGGCGGCCAGGAAGAGGTGGTGCACACACTGGCTGCTAACACGCTTTTTCCTGCTCAGCTGATGAATGGAAATATCCACATCCCTGTGGCTGTGCAGGGCTACCCCAATACCACACAGTCTCTTATTTGGGACCCACAGCAGCAGGTTCTGCACACACAGGGGCTTCCAGGCCAGGACGCACAGCAGCTACAGGTAATAACACAGGTGTGTTTTTCATTTCTATCCTGTACGTGTTTTGTTTGTGTTATCAGGCTAAGTGAGTGAATGCTGTTTTGTGTCTGTGCAGGGTCAGACGGTTGTAGCAGAGGAAGATCAGGGCCAGCAGCAGGTGCACGTTCAGGAGCTTCTGCTGCCGACCACTGTGAAGCCTGAGGAGGGGCTGGACGTGTGGCAGCTCTGGGCTCAGAGGAAAAATGCAGAGTTGGACAAATTGGACAAGAATAAACTGGCTCCTATAGGCCGTAAGTCAGCATGCGTGTTTATAGAAAAGTGAAAAGAATAATTATTATGAAGGTATTTGCATTGCACAGTTTAGCTTTTACCTGACATTGTAATTATGTGTTTTATTTGTTTTAGGACGTCAGGCGCTTCGTTTCCAGGAGGACTTGGTATCATCTGCGGTTGCTGAGCTCTCCATGGGTCTGTCTTTAATGACAACAGAAGCTCGGGGACTTGAAGGGGAGACATATGAGGCTGATGTTCTTTACTATGTATTTCTGTGCATACAAAAAGTGAGTTTCTCACATGCTAACACACAGACACTCCACCAAACAGTCATTGTGTAAAACTACATTTATATTACTTTTCGTCAGGCTTGTAGCTTTTATCCTAGTGGTCCTAGTCTTTGTCCATCCTTCATCATAGGTTTGACACTAATGAGCTGCATCTCTTCTTCTATCTTTTGTTCCTGCAGTATCTGTTTGATAATGGCCGCGTTGATGACATTTTCTCAGATCAGTACTACAGTCGCTTTGCTCAGAGTCTGCACCAAATCTTGGAGCCTTGGAGGCCTTCTGTTCATCCGCTAGGTGCGACTGAAGGCTTTTCTCAAAGAAGTCTCAGACTACCTGTATCAGAGTTAAATATTGGTATAGTCTAGGCTAAGATCTATTTTAGGTAAGGTGCAGTTGGGATGGTTTTCAATTGGTTTTGTTTTGATTTGATTCTCTGTTGGCAGTGTTTTTGTTTTCTGTGTGACACGAACACTTCAGAGTTTGATCAGCCACTTTGAGTAAAGCTCAAACACTCAAAGAAAAGTTAGACTAATAGGGATTGCAGCTTCAATACAAACATGACATCAGATGTATTTTCAGTGCAGATGTATTTAAGATAACCTACATTTTTCTGTGCAACGCTATGGAACTGTAAAAGGAAAATCTAAAATTCGTTTTCCTGTCATGTATGCTTTATGGACCACATGCTTTACCTCTCCCACCAGGTTACATTATCCCTAGTCATGTGACTGAGGAGATGCTGTGGGAATGTAAACAGTTGGGGGCTCATTCTCCATCAACCCTGCTCACAACACTCATGTTTTTCAACACTAAGTGAGTCATGCAGCTCCATTGCACAAGGCAGGCCTGCTCTCATCTGAATGCACTTTCTGAACTCTTTGCATTTTTCTATATAGGTATTTCCACCTGAAATCAGTGGAACAGCATCTAAAAGTGGCCTTTTCAAAGGTGTTGAGGCACACCAGGAAGAGTCCCAATAATCCTAAAGACAAGAGCACCAGCATCCGGTACCTGAAGTCCACAGAGAGGTTTATAGGACAGAAAGGTGAGAGCATGCATGCAGCTAATGAGGCTTTTTTGTGTTGTACGATACAAGATGCTCTCATCCCAAGTGACATCCAGTATAGTAGTGTGTAAAATCACAGAGTGGCTACTGTACTGAATACATTTGTAACAATCGTAGTGTCTTTTGGGATCAGTAGTAATCATGGACTGCTACCGAGCTCAGCTCCGGTCAGCGGAGAGTAGAGAAACGAAGGATCTGTAAAGTTTACCAAACAAGCCCGTGTGTTCATTAGTCACACTCCCCATGTGCTCAGACACAGCAGTCGTGGTTCGTGTTGTAAAGTTTGTGACATACTTTTGGGTGACTTATTACAATGAAGTGGGTCTGTGTGTGCGTGTGCGTCACTGCAGACGTGCCGCTGATCTCACCAACAAGTGTTAATTCTCTCTGACCAGTCAGCAGTTTGTGATGTTTCACTTTAAACCTCGGCTGAAGTCGAGAAAGTATCAGTAACTATCATTACTAATGAGAAGCTGAGATTTTCTTCACCACACCATAATGACCTAATAACACTAACTTGTTTTGTTCAGTGACCGATGACATGTACTCGGAACAAATGGAAGACCCAGAGAACCCTCTGCGCTGCCCGATCAAGCTCTATGATTTCTACCTCTTCAAATGGTAAAAAACAACAAAAGTTTTTAGGTATTTTATGGCTTTTAATGACTAAGATACATCACTGGTTACAGTAATCCGGCAAAGAAAGCAAGCTAAACTTAGATTTTTTTTCCCAGGTTAAAAACAAAGGTAAACAGAATGTCAGGGACTCTAAACACAAAAGCATGTTTAACTTTTTTCCCCTTTTGTAAATAGGTGGAAAGAATAATAAACTATCATAGTCCCGCTTCCCTGATAACTATATTTATATGCTTTTCAAAAACAGTGTTTGTCATAAAGATATAAAGTCCCCACAAATGGAGATATAACATTTTATTTTTGTATGTTTTGAACTTCTGTTGCCCTCAGATTATAATTCTTTCTGTCAAGATTTCAGTGTCTCCAAAGAGGAGCTGCTGTCTCTGAATAAAACGGAGTTTAAGTAATTGACATGAGAGGAGTACATGTTGCACTCTGCTGAAGTGCTTAAATGTGAGAACACTGTTGCTTAGCAACTGACAAAAACATGGATAATGTAGGATTTTTCTCCTGTGCTCTTCTGCAAAAGGTGACTTCATTACTTGTTATTTAAGCAATAATGAGAGCGTAGGGAACAGGGATGTGTATTGTTGAAATTCTGGCGATACGATACATATCACGATACAGGGGAGACGATACGATATATTGCGATACATTCAGTCAGACGTTACAAGCAATTTTTTTTTACTGAATTTATTGTAAGAATGTTCAATAAACAGTCCAAACTGATGCGTAACATGTTTAACATGAGGTGTCTGAACTATGATGGAGGGATTTACATTTCAATGGTGGAAACCAAACCCGTTGCACACTGCTGCCAACTAGCGGGTGGCGATTGAATTGCACAAAACGAAAAGAAAATACACAAATGTTTGCATGTAAATTCTTTCAAAAATTAGATACACAGCTTTTGACTATCGATGTAACAATCACAGTAAAAAAATATCATGATATATTGCCATATCAATATTTCCGATACACAGCTTTTGAATATTGATATAATATTGCTGGAAAAAATATCACGATATATTGCCATATCGATATTTTCTTACATCCCTAGTAGGGAAGTTACTTCTGTGGAGTCTGGTGTCTGCTAAACGTTTGCATCACTAATATCTTAATTAGGTGAAAAAAATGTAAAATACTATAGAAAACACCAAAGAATTTTCAGCAATACAAATAAAAAAATCAGGGCTAAAAAACACAGGAAGAGCAGAAAAATGTGGGATTCACATTAGGGGTGTAACGGTTCACGGGTGGGTGTTGAACCGTTTTGGTTCGGCCTGTTCGGTTCGGTCCACTTGTGTACTGTTTCGGTTTATTTTTTCCGCTAAATAGTGAATTTTTATTTGCGTGATTTAAGTGCAGCCGATAAAAGCGTCAAGGCGAGTTTCTGCACAGGCGCTCTATTGAGTGACGCATGATGGCTTCACGCGCTCGATCTCTGTTTAAAAAATGTGATCTGCAAAATCCTATCAACTCTTTCAAGAGCGGATCAAACCAGCTGGCTGTCGCTGCTACTGTGGAGCCCGTAGAGACGCTGAACAGAGCGTCGAGTCGCCCCTCCCTCCCTTCTCTCACACTGCAGGCATACAGCGGCAACAATGTAAACAAACGCTCTGCTGAACTTTTGCCTGTGACAATTGATGTAAGGTTTTATCCGACAACGAAAAATGCGGTGCGGAGTAAGGTCGTTGTTTAATACGAGTCTTAAAGAAGCAACTCTGGGCGGTGAGTTTTTAAGGCTCGCTGCAGAAATAAAAACACAGAGCATCAACAGTCAAACACAACTCTTGTCCGTAGGACAGTGACACTCATAGCTGATCAAAAAACCTGTGAAATAGTTAGACATCATGCTAGATCAGCAGCCTGTGATGACTCCTGGTTCTGCTTACTATAGGAGCCGCGTCAGATATTAAATAAACATATTAATAATATACCAAAAATGAATCGAACAGAGCTCTTTAAAACACCTGAACCGAACTGAATACGATGTTAGCGTACCGTCACACCCCTAATACACATAAAGATGCGCGTGATTCTACATGGGACATGCAGATTAAGTTAAATCAGTCCCAAAGTCATGATTTAAATGAATAGAAACGAAAAGTACTTTGATGATTTGATTTACTTTGCTCTAAATGCTGTATTTGATGTTTTCGCCCTTGCTAATTGCAAAATTATTTAGATAGATTTTTGAAAGAGTATTATGAGTGGCCACAAGGTTGTTTGAATGACTCTTTTTCCCAACGTTATCACCATTAATTGTTCGTGTCAGAGTGATAATTGACTCTGCTGTGGTTAAAAGGATGTTTGTGTGTAACTTCAAACTCTCATTTCTCTCTCTGCTGCCACAGGAAACTCATTTCTAACAGATCGTGTGGGCAGACGGAAATATTTGACATTTAATTATTAAGTACATCCTGAGAATATTCTCACACACCGTTCTGTGTGTTTCTTTCAGCCCACAGAGTGCTAAAGGTCGCAATGACACCTTCTACCTGACTCCTGAGCCCGTGGTGGCGCCAAACAGCCCCATTTGGTACTCCACTCAGCCAATACCTAAAGAGCAGCTGGAGCAGATGCTTACCCGCATCCTCGTTGTCCGTGAGATCCAGGAAGCCTTTAACCTCCTGGAGACCGTGCATTAGCTGGACCTGAAGAGACTTCAAACAGACTGGATTCTTTCTTACTTCATCCAACCTTTGAGTCATTTTTTTTATTCTCACCCCTTCGTTGCGCTTTTGGGGTGGCGTGTATATGTTTATATTCATTGTGTGTTTGGTCTATTTTACACAAGATTGTACATAAAATCACAACAGAGAATGATTAGCAGTTCATCGGTTATGTTTTTGGCCAAAGGATGTCCGACCCTTTTATGTTTTAGTGGACCTGTACTCTAATTTAATTGTTATTTTAACAGTTGGTTTGCCTCATCGGTCCTCGTTCTGTTCCTTAAGACGTCATCTATAATATTTTCATGGGGGAGCTGTGCTACACTGCTTTTCTGTGCATTTTCAAATTCTCCCAGTGCAAACCTTCATGGTATTGGAACAGTACCGAGCAGCCAATCAAAGGCTCACAAACACATTTCCAAGCTGTATGAATTTTCTTTCCAGATATTTTACTCTCGCCTGCAAAGAGTCGACTCGTCAGTTCTGAATCAGTGAGATGAGGTTGTTTACCCCAGTCGTCTGCAGCCTTTAGCTCTTGCCACATTTCGGAGGTCTGGCAGGACATCCGTAACACTGACTCCAATGAAGGGTCTTCATACACCTCTACTGTACTACGAGACTGAGAAAAGACTCTTTAAAAGAGGGTCGGCTCTTCATGTTGTATAATGTAAATTACTTGTAGCTCCTGTGATGGCTGTCAGTCATCTCAGGGGAACGGCAGTGCCTGTGTGTTTTTGAAACATGACCTCTTTTGTACAGCCAGTACACCACGCCTCTGCCTCTGTCGTTACTCCTCATGCATCCTGGGTGTGCATGCTGTGATTCTTAAGTGACGCACACATGATGGGAAGAAATCAGAATTAAAGTCATCTCACAACAGCACTTTTATCAGTAGTGGAAGTTAAACAGAACACACAAAAAAATCTGTGGTATTAAAAAATAGTTTGCCTCGGAGTGGAAAGTGCGTCACTGCATGCCAACGGTTCGTTTTCTAATGAATCGTTTTGATTAGCAGAATAACCGGTTTCACCAGGTGATGAAGGTTATTTCCTCATTTCTTTCCTTCTAGATACACCAACTGCTGTGTCTGGGTAAAGCGTTGATCTGCCTTTTAGTTTTCTGTTCCTCTTACTGTAAACACATTGTTTCTGCAGTCTTTTGACACCACGGGAGGAGCCGGATGAGGGAATCACAATGTTTCAGTTCATCCATTTTCAATCTGGTGTCTTGCTTGTCCTCATATATATATATATATATATATATATATATATATATATATATATATATATATAGGTTCATTCACTGGATTGTTTTCCTTATTTCTGATTTGTTTGCGATAAGGAGGGTATTAACCTCCTCAGTAGGTTCCCAGGGTTAAAAATCTGCAGCGTGGTGTTCTGTGGTGGGTCTGGTGGAGGTTTCTGTTGATTGCGGTGTCGTCTCCTCCTCCCTGAATGGTCCTTCGCTAGGGAGCTCTGTGGTCGATTCTTACTGTACTGGCTGGTGTTTGGGCCGGCTGCCTGGATCTGTCGCCTGCAGAAAAAGAGGAAACGCCTTGTTGATGTTTTCAAGCTCTGCTGCCTGTCTTCAGAGAGAGCTTTCTTCTACATTCTTACCTTTCTGACCGTCCTCCAGCGAGCCAGTGTACCAGACATCGATAAATAAACACATACTGCTCCTGAGTGAGCAGGGGATGAGATTACTTTGCATGTGTAATGTCAAGTCAACAATGAAGATCCCAGCTGAAAACTCATGAAAGATGGAGGAAAATCTGCATTTTAAATGAAATGCTGCACTTTTTTTTAAATACAAAAGCAAGATATTAAAGTGAATTGTCACTGTTATCAAGGATAAGAAATGTCTGTCAAGACCGTATATATGTCGATGGTCCAGACGAGGACCAAAATGGCCAAGTTAGTGCTCCAGGGACAAAAATGATTTAGTTTTCACTTTAAAAAATGCAGGAATTATTTAGTGATTTTTTTTTCTAAAACAGCATTCAAAGTTGGTCCATTGGTAGAAATATTAACATGTTATAAAGTAATTTTACATCAACAGAATGTTGGAGAGACAGAATTCTATCTTTCTAGAAATATCATTAGGGCCTGAGAATGGCCCCTTGGTTGTACTTTGGACATGCCGGATCTAAAATGCATGTTCTTATTTTATCCTGGCTGTTTTGTGCCAGAGCAGGTGGTGGTGCTGACTTACCAGCGTTTGGACCATCCACATTCGGTGCTGCCTCATGTCCTTGACAGCAGCTTTAATCCCAGGCTGGATCCCCCTGACACACAGCTGCATCATCCACAGCAAAGTCACAAATGTCCCCGACCGACCAATACCTGCGCTGAATAACAAAAGACGACTTTATTAGAGGGAAAACTCGTGGGTTTCACAGAGCGGAGACGGTTTGGGTGTAACGTCACACCTGCAGTGCACCACAGCTGGCCCCAGATGGGGAACGGCCTCCAGATGTTGCCGCACGCACTCTGTAAACGCGCAGAGAGAAGGGACGTTTGGGACACCCTGGTCTGGCCAGGACGGGTAGTAGTAGTGTGTGATGATCCTGTCTGTTGGGCTGTCCCTCTGAAACACACACACTTATTTATGAGGAGACGTTAAAGAACAAAAAGTGTGACCATGGGGCTGCTCACTCACCTGTCGCAGGTTGATGGTTGTGATTAAATAATCAGGACCTTGTTTGCAGGTCACTGTTGTCACCTGGATCAGGCCATAATACTCTGTTCCCTCTTCCACGGGCCAGTACCTATCACACAGAACCTGCAACAAGCATGGGCAGTGTTCAGCTGCTGTAGTGATGGAAGCCAGATCGGAATTTTATTGTGGCTCAGAAAAAGATTAAACTCATTAATGAATTATCTCTAAGTTTGTAATTTAATCATCATCGGCCTGTAATGCAAATGCTTGGTTTGAACAGTTTTTTTCAGGTTTCATTTATAATAAATTATTTGTATTACGTTTTACATAAACATTTTTTAGTAAAGGCCACTTAACCAGCTCATGATTTTTATAATTTCTTTTAGATTTACACAAAATTAACGAGTTGTGTTTTGCTTGGCACATTTTATGATCTTCTACACAACCTCTGATCTTCTACACAACCTCTGATTTGCTACACAACCTCTGATCTAAACAACCTCTGATCTTCTACACAACCTCTGATCTTCTACACTACCTCTGATCTAAACAACCTCTGATCTAAACAACCTCTGATCTTCTACACAACCTCTGATCTTCTACACTACCTCTGATCTTCTACACTACCTCTGATCTAAACAACCTCTGATCTAAACAACCTCTGATCTTCTACACAACCTCTGATCTTCTACACTACCTCTGATCTAAACAACCTCTGATCTTCTACACAACCTCTGATCTTCTACACAACCTCTGATCTACACAACCTCTGATCTTCTACACAACCTCTGATCTTCTACACTACCTCTGATCTTCTACACTACCTCTGATCTAAACAACCTCTGATCTTCTACACTACCTCTGATCTAAACAACCTCTGATCTACACAACCTCTGATCTTCTACACAACCTCTGATCTTCTACACAACCTCTGATCTTCTACACAACCTCTGATCTTCTACACTACCTCTGATCTAAACAACCTCTGATCTACACAACCTCTGATCTTCTACACTACCTCTGATCTAAACAACCTCTGATCTTCTACACAACCTCTGATCTTCTACACTACCTCTGATCTAAACAACCTCTGATCTAAACAACCTCTGATCTTCTACACAACCTCTGATCTTCTACACTACCTCTGATCTAAACAACCTCTGATCTACACAACCTCTGATCTTCTACACAACCTCTGATCTTCTACACAACCTCTGATCTTCTACACAACCTCTGATCTTCTACACTACCTCTGATCTAAACAACCTCTGATCTTCTACACAACCTCTGATCTTCTACACTACCTCTGATCTAAACAACCTCTGATCTAAACAACCTCTGATCTTCTACACAACCTCTGATCTTCTACACTACCTCTGATCTAAACAACCTCTGATCTTCTACACAACCTCTGATCTTCTACACTACCTCTGATCTAAACAACCTCTGATCTTCTACACAACCTCTGATCTTCTACACTACCTCTGATCTGCTACACAACCTCTGATTTGCTACACAACCTCTGGTTTGCTACACAACCTCTGATCTTCTACACAACCTCAGATCTATACAACCTCTGATCTAAACAACCTCCGATCTTCTACACAACCTCTGATCTTCTACACTACCTCTGATATTATGGGCAGCAGTAGCTCAGGTGGTAGAGCAGGTTGACTCATGATCGGAGGGTCATGAGTTCGATTCCAGCTCCTGCCAGGGGTATCCTGCTGTTGTGTCCTTGGGCAAGACACTTCACCCAACTTGCCTGTGTTAGTGGTGGTCAGAGGGGCCGACGGCGCCAAATGGCAGCCTCGCCTCTGTCAGACCTCCCCAGGGCGGCTTTGGCTACAAGTAGCTTACCATCACTAGCAGTGTGTGAATGTGAGAGTGTGTGAAAGCGTCTTTGGGTGTCTAGAAAAGCGCTATATAAGTTCAATGCATTATTATTATCTTCTACACTACCTCTGATCTAAACAACCTCTGATCTTAACAATCTCTGATCTGCTACACAACCTCTGATCTTCTGCACAACCTCTGATCTTATACACAACCTCTGATCTTAACAATCTCTGATCTGCTACACAACCTCTGATCTTCTGCACAACCTCTGATCTTATACACAACCTCTGATCTTATACACAACCTCTGATCTTAACAATCTCTGATCTGCAACACAACCTCTGATCTTCTACACAACCTCTGATCTTCTACACAATCTCTGATCTTCTACACAACCTCTGATCTTCTACACAACCTCTGATCTTCTACACTACCTCTGATCTAAACAACCTCTGATCTTCTACACAACCTCTGATCTTCTACACTACCTCTGATCTAAACAACCTCTGATCTAAACAACCTCTGATCTTCTACACAACCTCTGATCTTCTACACTACCTCTGATCTAAACAACCTCTGATCTTCTACACAACCTCTGATCTTCTACACTACCTCTGATCTAAACAACCTCTGATCTTCTACACAACCTCTGATCTTCTACACTACCTCTGATCTGCTACACAACCTCTGATTTGCTACACAACCTCTGGTTTGCTACACAACCTCTGATCTTCTACACAACCTCAGATCTATACAACCTCTGATCTAAACAACCTCCGATCTTCTACACAACCTCTGATCTTCTACACTACCTCTGATATTATGGGCAGCAGTAGCTCAGGTGGTAGAGCAGGTTGACTCATGATCGGAGGGTCATGAGTTCGATTCCAGCTCCTGCCAGGGGTATCCTGCTGTTGTGTCCTTGGGCAAGACACTTCACCCAACTTGCCTGTGTTAGTGGTGGTCAGAGGGGCCGACGGCGCCAAATGGCAGCCTCGCCTCTGTCAGACCTCCCCAGGGCGGCTTTGGCTACAAGTAGCTTACCATCACTAGCAGTGTGTGAATGTGAGAGTGTGTGAAAGCGTCTTTGGGTGTCTAGAAAAGCGCTATATAAGTTCAATGCATTATTATTATCTTCTACACTACCTCTGATCTAAACAACCTCTGATCTTAACAATCTCTGATCTGCTACACAACCTCTGATCTTCTGCACAACCTCTGATCTTATACACAACCTCTGATCTTAACAATCTCTGATCTGCTACACAACCTCTGATCTTCTGCACAACCTCTGATCTTATACACAACCTCTGATCTTATACACAACCTCTGATCTTAACAATCTCTGATCTGCAACACAACCTCTGATCTTCTACACAACCTCTGATCTTCTACACAATCTCTGATCTTCTACACAACCTCTGATCTTCTACACAATCTCTGATCTTCTACACAACCTCTGATCTTCTACACAACCTCTGATCTTCTACACAACCTCTGATCTTCTACACAACCTCTGATCTTCTACACAATCTCTGATCTTCTACACAACCTCTGATCTTCTACACAATCTCTGATCTTCTACACAACCTCTGATCTTCTACACAACCTCTGATCTTAACAATCTCTGATCTGCTACACAACCTCTGATCTTATACACAATCTCTGATCTTATACACAACCTCTGATCTTATACACAACCTCTGATCCAAACAATCTCTGATCTGCTACACAACCTCTGATCTTCTACACAACCTCTGATCTTATACACAACCTCTGATCTGCTACACAACCTCTGATCTAAACAACCTCTGATCTTATACACAACCTCTGATCTAAACAATCTCTGATCTGCTACACAACCTCTGATCTTCTACACAACCTCTGATCTGCTACACAACCTCTGATCTTCTACACAACCTCTGATCTTAACAATCTCTGATCTGCTACACAACCTCTGATCTTCTACACAACCTCTGATCTTCTACACAACCTCTGATCTTCTACACAACCTCTGATCTTAACAATCTCTGATCTGCTACACAACCTCTGATCTTAACAATCTCTGATCTGCTACACAACCTCTGATCTTCTACACAACCTCTGATCTTATACACAACCTCTGATCTTATACACAACCTCTGATCTAAACAATCTCTGATCTGCTACACAACCTCTGATCTTCTACATAACCTCTGATCTTCTACACAACCTCTGATCTGCTACACAACCTCTGATCTTCTACACAACCTCTGATCTTCTACACAACCTCTGATCTGTTACACAACCTCTGATCTAAACAATCTCTGATCTGCTACACAACCTCTGATCTTCTACACAACCTCTGATCTGCTACACAACCTCTGATCTAAACAATCTCTGATCTGCTACACAACCTCTGATCTTCTACACAACCTCTGATCTGCTACACAACCTCTGATCTAAACAATCTCTGATCTGCTACACAACCTCAGATCTTCTACACAACCTCTGATCTTCTACACAACCTCTGATCTTCTACACAACCTCTGAGCTACACAACCTCTGATCTTCTACACAACCTCTGATCTTCTACACAACCTCAGATCTTCTACACAACCTCTGATCTTATACACAACCTTGGATCTTCTACACAACCTCGGATCTTCTATACAACCTCTGATCTTCTACACAACCTCACCACATCTTGTTAACACAGGTACAGTTTTATGGGAAGGAGGACTGAGGGTGGACTGAGCCAAGCAACAACAGTATTTATTTCTGAAGTGATGCAGTAACTGAGGACTTCATCAGACCTAGCCTCCTTCCCTGACGGACCAAAGCCCCCAGTGTTGTTTTGGATTCCTACTAAAACTTCTTCTCTGTGGAAATCTAATCTTATCAGTTTTTAAAGTCGAGCAGACCAAAGAGTGATTACGAGCAACAATAGGGTCCCAAAATCCATCCTTGACCATGTAAAGCCTCTTACTGTGTTCTTGTATCTCAAAGATGTCACCATGACGATTATCCTGACATTTTGCTCCCACACCATCCTCCAGAAGTCATTTATGGTGTTGAACAAAGGACCCTGGGTGCAGATGAAGTCTCTTTCTGATCCTCCTCCCTGAGTCCACACAAACATAGACAAACCTCAAACACCACATTGGAGTCATATAAATAATATGAATAAGACGGCAGGTGAGATTTCTTACAGGCACAAAATTTGCATTAATGTAGTCAGAATTTGGATTTAGGTTTTGGATAGACAGCCTCACCCGACTGTGATCATCTATAATCAGATAGGGAAATAAATTAGAGCCTGAAGCATCAAACCACCTTCATTTGTCAACAGATGAAACACAAAAAGTGTGAAACTTACACGGCAAAACTAAAGGGTATCTGTTTTTGTCCCTGTTGGCTTCCAAACGTCCTGCCCTCACAGGGAAGTCTTTCCCAACATCGTTCATCTCCTGAAAAATGTCAGCGACAAAAATTCTCATGAGAACAATTTCCATGATCATAAAACGGATTCAAGTTCCGTTTATCCTCAAAGGATTCACCTCAAACTCCTGTTTAAATCCTCTGTTGTCTTTAGCAGCCAGTTTGTTGCACTGCCAGTTCAACTCCTGAAGAAGCTGCGCTCTGGAGAAAGTTTCCATCCTGTATAATAATAACACATTGATTCTCATTATAACATTCATCTTAACAACTGGAAGTGCAAGAGTTGGAAATCATTAGTGAAATAAAAATAATCTCACACACAAAACAATGAGCAGGTGACAATCTTTAACTACGAGTTCCTTTTTGCATAAAAGTCCCTCAAGAGCTCCAGGTTTATAGTAGAAAGCAAAGCAGGACTATAAGTACTTATATGTTAGTTTTAAAGAATTCTAATAAGTGTAGGATTGAATACCAGGCGTATAAAGCAGGCAGAAGGTTATTCTGAATTTCTTTAATTGACAGAACATTTGGAAAAAACTTGAAATAATCTCATTTATCATCCTTACCTCATGTCTGTTATTGTAGACAGTCATGGAGTTGAAAAAGCTGGTGTTATTTGCCGTTTGTAAGACAAATCCTCTGTGTTACGTTAAAACTAAAGAGTGAGAACTGACAAGTTCTGGAGTTATTAACCTCTTTCCTTATCATGGTGAAAAATCTATATCATCTTGTCTGATAGAACAGCTGTTGTGTATCAAAAAGGTGACACTCCTCTTGCTGTCTCTTTAGTAAAAAGGTTTTCACAAGAAACAAAGGCCAACACTGACAGAGAACAATTCGAACCACATACTGACCTAACAAGCTACAGAACCCGTTTGGACAGGTTCGCTAACGTCAACAAGACAGACCAGCTTTGGTGTTGGATATGTTTCAGGTTTACCTCAAATAAGAGGCCTTGGATGGGTGATCTTTAGTCCGCCATGGGTTGAGGAGTAAGATGTCAGGAGTGGGCTGTCATCTTTAAAAGCTGCCATGGATTTATAGGACTCCCCGTGCTGTTCCCAGGTACAAAGAACAAGGATGGGCGGAGACGGTGGGTGGAGAAACTTCAGGGGGAGGGATGTAACCACATGATGAGCTTAAGTACTCTGGTCACACTGACTCATGTTTTGCTTTATAACAAAATGTTCTGAGTTCTAGGAAGTCAACGCAGGTGTGTGCTGATTCTTCAAACAGCCACTCTTGGAGGACAATGTAAATACGATGCAGCCAAAAAGCTTCTCTACAGTTTTTCTCCATTGGTTTGGCTCATTTCTCGACACAGTTCGGACATTCTCATCATTCTTGGTGCTTTTGTCTAAATAAACCTGGATGGTTGATCACAACAACATGGTTTACCTGCAAAAGCTCATATCTCTCCTAAAACAGTCCACTCATGTGTCAAAACTACATTCCTTTCTAATCTGAACAGTCAGTGCCCCCAAAAATGCACCGTCCCTTTGGCATTGTGTGAGTACTGCCATACAAAATGTTTAGATGTTTTGTCACTATGGCAGAGGACCAACAATATACAACCGAAAAGAGTAGCCTCCAAGGTTTGACATCACAGATTGCACTCACACTACCAAAGAAATCATAACCATTTTTTATTCACACGCAAAGAAAGTTTCATACATGTGTAAAAAGAAATTGTACACTTTCTTCCTCCTCTTCCTTGAGGAAGAACTTCCCCTTGTCCATTTGCTTGGCCTTGTCTATCCATGTTCAGAGATCGGACTGGCGCTGGTCAAGCTCTATATATCTGTGTTTGGCAGCACACGATGATGGAAAACACCTGTGTGTGTGACACTCCCCGTTCGTTAATCTAGTTTCACCTGACTGTCAATGACTGTCATCAATGTATCAAATATTCAAAGAAATTCATATTTGGTATTCATGGTATCATGTTTGAGCAATTCTGACAATTGAACAGACAGTTGTGCAGGTGAGAACTTATACAGTGAAATCATGCTGACATGTTTTGGAGAGAATGATCATTAGACTGAGAATCAACTAATCAGTTTAGATCTACAAGATCTATTCATTTGGAAAATGTGCTAAATGTGGGCTAACTGTATAACTGTGGGCTACATGTACTTAATCATTTGCAAAGATGCACTGAGACAATTGAGACATGTACTAAGGCATTTGCCATTTGATAAAATAAATGAGAAATGCCATTCTGTTGTGAACATTTGTCCATGTTATTTTGAGAATGTAATTTCTGTTTCAAGAAATGAGCCAAACCAACGGAGAAAAACTGTAATAAAACCACAAATGTTGTTGTTACAGGAGAGAAAATGGCTTCCGAGGGCATGACTGTATCGGAATGTTTACTATGTGAAGTGCCTTGAGACAACTCTTGTCGTGATTTGGTGCTATATAAATAAACTTGAATTGAATTGAACTCATAAGATTTCTAAAGAATGATTACAGGAGTGGAGTTCTCTGCTGAGTGGTCTATAGCTGCAGCGCCACATCCCATCTGTGTGCGTTTAAGAGCTCCAAGGTGGGTGCCAAAGAAGCACTTGTCACCTCGGATGATGGGAAATGAATCATCTCAGAGGCGACTGTTAAGTGATCCAGGAAGGTGTATCGCTCTGTAATTACCTCAGAAAAAGTTCTTTGTGATAGACAGACAGACAGACAGATGTGTCCACTGTCACACATGTGCTGGTGAGGAGCGGAGGCAGGATCCAAACGCAGGTGAGGAAGGAGGCAGGCAGGCAGTCAGGTCTTTTTAAAACAAGGATTTAATAATGAACATGCAGGACAACGAAACAATGAACCGACACAAGACACAGAACAGAAGGGTGTTTAAATACAGGAGGACCGGGAGCTAAGGTGATTGGGAAAACGAGAGGCAGGTGGGAGTAATTAACGAGACACAAGGCTGAACCAAACAGGGAAACAGGACAGGGTGTGACAGTACCCTCCCCCAAAAAAGGGCAGATCCCAGACGCCCACAGGAACAAGGAGCAGGGCGGGAGGAGGGGGACACGGAGGGAGGGCCCAGAGGAACCGAGGGACCGATGGAGAGGCGGCAGGGACCAGCAGAGTCCGGGGGCCTGCGCCTGGGACAGAGGAGGAGACGACGGGCTCTTGGGGACCGGCGCCTGCGGCAGAGGAGGAGGCGACGGGCCCTTGGGGGCTGGCGCCTGCGGCAGATGAGGAGGCGACGGGCCCTTGGGGGCCGGTGCCTGCGGCAGATGAGGAGGCGACGGGCCCTTGGAGGCCGGCGCCTGCGGCAGAGGAGCTTTGCAGGCTGGGCCGGGGACATAGTCCCTTGGACGGGCTGGACCGGAGGGACCTTCAGAACCACCATTGGAACCGGAGACGGTGGAGACGTCGGACCAGAGGGAGCATCGACCTCTGGAGTGGAGAGAGCGTCGACCCCTAGAGTGGAGAGAGTGTCGACCCCTAGAGTGGAGAGAGCGTCGACCCCTAGAGTGGAGAGAGCGTCGACCCCTAGAGTGGAGAGAGCGTCGACCCCTAGAGTGGAGAGAGCGCGACCTCTAGAGTGGAGAGAGCGCGACTTCTAGAGTGGAGAGAGCGTCGACCTCTAGAGTGGAGAGAGCGTCGACCTCTAGAGTGGAGAGAGTGTCGACCTCTAGAGTGGAGAGAGTGTCGACCTCTAGAGTGGAGAGAGCGTCGACCTCTAGAGTGGAGAGAGCGTCGACCTCTAGAGTGGAGAGAGCGTCGACCTCTAGAGTGGAGAGAGCGCGACTTCTAGAGTGGAGAGAGCGTCGACCTCTAGAGTGGAGAGAGCGTCGACCTCTAGAGTGGAGAGAGTGTCGACCTCTAGAGTGGAGAGAGTGTCGACCTCTAGAGTGGAGAGAGCGTCGACCCCTAGAGTGGAGAGAGCGCGACCTCTAGAGTGGAGAGAGCGTCGACCTCTAGAGTGGAGAGAGCGTCGACCTCTAGAGTGGAGAAAGCGTCGACCTCTAGAGTGGAGAGAGCGTCGACCTCTAGAGTGGAGAGAGTGTCGACCTCTAGAGTGGAGAGAGCGTCGACCTCTAGAGTGGATAAGGCGACTTCAGACGAGACGACTTCAGAGGAGACGACGAATTCAGAGGACACGACGACTTCAGAGACGACGACAGAGGAGACGACGACAGAGGAGACAACGACGACAGAGGAGACAACGACTTCAGAGGAGACAACGACTTCAGAGGAGACGACTTCAGACACGTTGACTTCAGAGGAGACGTCGACTCCAGAGGAGACTTCAGAAGAGACGTCGACTTCAGAACACGAGGAGGTGTCGACTTCAGAACACGAGGGGGTGTCGACTTCAGAACACGAGGGGGTGTCGACTTCAGAACACGAGGAGGTGTCGACTTCAGAACACGAGGAGGTGTCGACTTCAGAACACGAGGAGGTGTCGACTTCAGAACATGAGGAGGTGTCGACTTCAGAACTGGAGGGGGTGTCGACCACGGGACAGGACCGGGCGTCGACCACCATCGACTTCTGGTCCGGGGGCGTCGGCTTCTGGTCCGGGGGCATCGACTTCTGGTCCTTCGATTTCTGGACCGTCGACCTCTGGACCGCCGGCCTCTGGACCGGAACCGGAACCGTCTGCTTCTGGTCCGGGGGCGTCTGCTTCTGGTCTGGGGGCGTCTGCTTCTGGTCCGGGGGAGTCGGCATCTGGCCCGGGGGAGTCGGCTTCTGGTCCGGGGGAGTCGGCTTCTGGTCCGTCGACTTCTGGACCGTCGACTTTTGGAACACCGACTTTTGGACCGGAACCGGAACCATCTGCTTCTGGTCCGGGGGTGTCAGCTTCTGGTCCGGGGGAGTTGGCTTCTGGTCCGGGGGAGTCGGCTTCTGGTCCTTCGACTTCTGGACCCTCGACTTCTGGACCGCCGACTTTTGGACCACCGACTTTTGGACCGGATCCGGTACCGTCTGCTTCCGGGCCGGTACCCTCTGCTTCTGGGCCCGATCCGTCAGCTTATGGGCCGGTACCGTCTGATTCTGGGCCAGATCTGTCAGCTTCTGGGCCGTTACCGTCAGCTTCTGGGCCGGTTCCGTCAGCTTCTGAGCCGGAGGCAGAGCCGCTGCGGGAGGAGCTGCCTGGACAAGCTGGACTGGATGCGGTGCGACCTCCGGGACCACTGCTGGAACTGGACGTGAGAGAACCGGTGGTGCTGAAAACTGTGTGAGCAGGGAGGACACACCATCCAGCTGGAGCTGATTAAAACTGAGGGTCTGATGGAGCCGTGCCAGCTCAGCCCGGAGACCGGCGAGCTCTGCTGGGTGGATCTCGGGCTTGCTCTTCTGGCTCTGAGACGAGGAAGCTAGAGTGTCCAGGTGGGCCTCCTTGAGGCTGACGAGCTGGCGGATCCGGCCAAGCTCCGCCTGAAGCTCTATTAGCTGGGCTGCGGGTGCTGCTCCTCCACCTGCAGACGACGGGGGTGCCGATCGGACCGGTGACGGGACTGCTGACCTGGCCGGGGGCGGGTCCAAAGCGCTGCGTCGGGCAGGGGCAGCGGCGAGTCCGCAGCTCCGTCCCGGGACACAGGGCTGCGGTGGAGCTCGGCGTTCTTCTCCACGCCGCGGACAAACTCCGGGGGAACAGACCGCCAGGCTCATGCCCACGAAACTGGAGCGATCTGGCAGCGGCTCCCGGTCCAAACTCGCCTCCAGTTCCGGGAGGACAGGGAGGAACGCCGCGGCCGAGGGTCGGCGACGGCGTCTTCGGCGAGGCGAAGCAGAAGGAGGAGAAGACGCCGGCCGATGGTCCGCGGAGAGAAACTGCAGCAGGAACTTCCAGGGAATAACCTCCCTGCTGGATCCTTCTCCGGGTTTGGGTCGGTTCATTCTGTCACACGTGTGCTGGTGAGTGGAGCGGAGGCAGGATCCAAACGCAGGTGAGGAAGGAGGCAGGCAGGCAGGCAGGCAGGCAGTCAGGTATATTTAAAACAAGGATTTAATAATGAACACAACAAGTTATTGTTTTGTTTAGTTTGAAATATAATAAAAGTCAACAGGATCAATGAATGTTAGGCATTTATTTATACACAAACCCCAGTTTTATAAAAGGCCCAGGTCTTTGTATGTTTATGACATCATTAGTACTAATAATACTAGGTTTTGAGTAGCCTAAAGAGCTAAATTTAAACCCCCACATTTAGATTTTTTATCATGTAGTTTATTCTTTCAAAGAATAGAACTAGACATTTAATTTTTATAGATTACACTAGAAACTAATTTGTTTTTAATAATCCTTTTCTACGTCATGTCACACGAATGTGCTACTGCGATAAAAAACAACACACTATAGTTAAGCAACCTTCAAGAAATAGGGTGCTTTTAAAACTCAAATTCTAAATGTTCAAAATAATAATAATAATAATAATAATAATAATAATAATAATAATAATAATTATTATTATTATTATTATTTTTAAATAATAATAATAATAAAGACAGGATCAGGTGCGACAGCATTGGTCACAGTGCACACCTGTGGGGAAACTCTCCTTTCGTTTGATTATATTATCAATGCAGCTGGAACCTGATTGGGCAGATGGAGGAATAGGAAGTGAAGTACGTCGGGTTATTTTGCTGCGTGGTAAACCCCGGATGATGCTTTACACTTTTAGCCACTAGTAACAACAAGTACATATCTAGAAAATAAAGCTTTCCAGCAGCTCGTGAGCTGACGCGTATCGAACGCCAGGTGAGGTGCGCGCGAGGAAAAGGTAGTTTCACTTTACAGATGGACGGACGGGATTAACGCGAGGCTTTTCTTCCTGTTCTGTTGAGTTGGAGCAAAAGTAAAAGGCCTTATAAAGATTCAGCAACGGGCAGATATGGACCACATACGAGCAGCAGAAAGCCAGGAAGTCAATGTAAATATGACACAAATTAAACTTAAGTCATTGCCTGAGTGTGTCACGTGCACACCATAAAAGTGTAGCAAACTTAACCAAACCTGCTTTTACTGTCGGTCATTTGAGCAACAAACGATAATCTCGTCATTAAAACCGACTTTTATCTAACTACACACAAACATAATTATTTTTCACTTACCCCCTTGGGGCCTCATTTATCAAGCTTGCTTACGCACAAAACGGGGTCGGAAAACTGCGTAAGCAACTTTCCACGCAAACTTTGGGATTTATGAAAGAGAACTTAGCAGAAAAATGTGCGCAACTTTAAATTGACTATGGAGAGCAGCACCTGCAGTGCTGCTGCTGAGAAGGATAACATGAAATCCTGCAGCATTATCACTTGTACAGTACAAGTGATAATGCTGCAGGATTTCATAATTTTATCCTTCTCAGCAGCAACACAGCAGGTGCTCTCCATGTCCAAAATGTGTGTAAGCAAGGTCCTTTGTCAATTTAAAGTTGCGCACATTTTTCCGCTTTTGGCCTGAGGGGGCAATCACGAGCATAAAAATTCAAAACTCCGTAATCCCTTTAAAGTGTAATTCTTTCATCTGCAAGTATGTTGATTCCCTTATGTTTAAATGGTTATTTACCTTGTTTATTTACCTGAAATGCAAGGCTGAAAACTAAGTACCTTGACTAAAGCAGAAAGCTGTAGAATGTTGTAATATGTGACCCAGTTGTTTCAGCTTTAATAATATCGTAAAACGCTACCTGACAGGTTGACAAGAGGCCCACTGATAGCAGCATGTTTACCAAAAAGGTACATCCTGTCATTACCTAAAAGGACTTTATTTTAGCGGTGTTAGAGATTTATCCCGCTTTTTTTTTTAATGTGTGAAGTGTTTTATTTGTTTTTACAGGTGGACCATAGGGCTATCAGAAGAGTGCGAAGTCCATCTAGGCCCAGGGCCTGGTTGTCCAGATCTCATAAACCAAAGTCTGTAGGACAAGCCTACAAGCCTCGGTTAGATTGACGGGTTAATAATTTGGCTATAATTCTGTTTTCACTCATTTATATTTAGGTGAAGTGACCTTAATGTCTTCCATTTTCATGATGATGGTGATGCAGGTTTCCAAGAGATGATCATTTCATCCACAGAGCTGGATTCAGCAGCCAGAGGCACCAGCAGCCGAAGCCCCAAACTCACATCCCTCGTAGAAATTACCTCCCAATTAAACCTCACCACATTACCCCGAAGGAGAAGGGGAGGCAGAAGGAGGAAGAGAGAGAAAGGGAGCGGTCAGCGCAGAGAGAGAGCAGTGAAGGAAGTTCGCCCTCTAAACCAAACGGTGAGTTTAAACAAATTTAAATATTCATAATGTTATAATTTTTTATGTGGTTTATTATGCTGGAGGTAAGATTAGGAGAAAAAACAATTACTTGAAATAAAATGTGATCATGTGACCTTCACTAACATTTGAACTCAGATCTCTGATGAAATATAAGTTTGACTTTTATGATGTTTTCCACTTTGGAAGTTTTATGTGATTGGTCTCATGTCATCATGAATTTTCCACATGAGGCTGGTTTCAGAGTTTTACAGAAAAATAAAAATGTTTGTTATTGACTTCATTACAGTGAATGTATACATAATGTTTGCTTTTATCTCCCAAACTAATAATCCCGTTTTGCCGTTTAGCATCGTAAGACTATGGAGGAAAACCGAAGGTCAGCTAATCCAGACAGCACAATTCCTGTTATTCTAATCCTTTGTAACGAGACAAACACACTGTAATTATTGTGCCGGGCGTGCAGATACACACAGGCTTAAAACCCTTATAATTAAAAATACCTAAAATATAAAAAAAGTTAAATAACTGTTTATGTTTATCTTTATTTTGCAGCAACAAACACAGTTCAAGTCCTGCATTTTTCTGGGGTTTTCACATTAATATTGTTACATAATCCCTCATAAATTAACCACTTGTTTGTATGTGGATTTAATGTGTAAGACTATATGTTTCGCCACAAAACCTTTTGGGAGACCAATTTTTAAGCACAGCTCAGCTATTTTATGTAAAAGAATAAAAAAAGGACACAAATCCAAGTAAAAGCCGAAAAATACACTAGAAACCCATCGGATTTATGTTGCTCTGTTGCATTTAGCTCAGTCACCACTAGGTGGTGGTACAGTCAAGTCCAGGCTTTAACACTCGTGTTTGCATCACAAACATTTGGAGGGCAGTTGCTTATGGTGGTGCCTGTTGGTTGGTAGGTAGTTTCCATCTTGCAGCAACAAGCTGCTGTTACACAATGTTCGTCATGAGTAAGCTTTTCCAGCACACAACGTAAGGATTGTGTCTTCAGTCAGCTGTTTGCTGTCCTGCCAGCGTGTGTCCTCAACAGAACTGTGATATTATTAGCTGTAGGTGGGTTTATAATTAGGATTTTCTTCATCATCTTTCAGTGGGAACAGTTCACAAGTACACAGCAGAAATCGGCTTTGTTTTCATAGTTGTGACTCTGATTTTTACTAGAAGTCTTTGTATCCGATTTTATTCTGCTGTGTGTGTGTGTGTGTGTGTGTGTGGCTGAAAAATCTCCATCTCCATCCTTGCACACATCACTTTTATTTGTGCGCACACTGCAGCACTGTGGAGGTGTGTGTTTGTGTATGTGTGAGAGTGGAACAGGTTTTTTGTGTGCCTGAGTGATGGTGCGATGATGGTGACTCATCGCTGATTTGTGTGTATATGAGAGTGTGAAAGATGAAGAGAGGGAGAGACTTACCGCAGCACATAGCGAACCATAACAGAGATATAGCTTTTGCATGGGAGTGCTGCAGTCTGAAACTGCTCAGGAGGCAAATGTGACACAACTTGTGTTGACCTCAGACTGTAGCAAAAGTAAATGACCCATGATACCTGAGAATAAAGACTTTCCGATATGGGTCAGTAAGTTGGTATACAATAGAGCACACACTGGTCTGCTGTGGTGACCCAATGTTCTGTTTGTCTTCCAGCGTCCAGAGCTGTCCCACCCAGGTCCAGTTCCATTAGAGACACGGACATGCAATTCACCGTAAGTTCACGATCTGCACTTATTTCATGAGGAAAATTAAAATACAACCTTTTAGTATTAGTGTCAGTGTGATGACACAATGGTAACTGAGTCATTCTTTTTAACAGCAGAAAACTTTAAGATATCACTTCCCAGTAAAAAGATCACAATATCAGGGAAGATTACTGGTGCCAGATCGACAAAAATTGAATGGAAACGTATCTAGAAGTCTGTTAGAATGTGTGTGTGTATATATATATATATATATATATATATATACACACACACACACACACACACACACACAGGCCACTTTATTGGGTACACCTGTCCAGCTCGCTAACACATATTACTAATCAGCCAATCACACGGTGGCAACTCAGTGCAGTTAGGAATGTAGACATGGTCAAGACTATCTGCTGCAGTTCAGCCCGAGCTTCAGGATGGGGAAGAAAGGTGATTTAAGTGACTTTGAACTAGGGCAGAACGATTAATTGCATATGCAATTAAATTGCAATGTGACAAAAGGAGATTTTCTAATCGCAATACCTGCGATTTGACTGGCAGCACAATGTTAATATACATGGAAAAACCCATAGGGATGCTAATGCTAATATTGCTGATAAGATTCTTACAATTTGTGAATTAGGAACATGCCAAACGATTACATTTGGAGTCTAATTAAAAGCTTAAAACTGCCATCAATCAAATAAGTACAGACAAATATTTTAGTAAAGCCAGAAAACCGTAAGAGACTTTAACTCCACTGAGTTTTGGCTAGCAGCTATGGATGTAACTGAACTATGGAAGCTCTGCATGGACAAGATGTCAAAAACTCGAAACACAAAATACTTCGATAAACGAGACCCCCTTGTTTCCTGCAAATACATTTTCATAGGTGTTGCTGATGCTCCTTCAAGGGATGTGCTCCTGGCTGCAAAGCATTGCACTATCAAATACAAAATTGTGTCTTTACTTGTGAGTGTTTATGGTTATGTAGCAATAAAATTGTAGATACCGTAAATCCTCTAATATTAGCCTGTATTTAATTAACTGCCGGGTATCATATTTTGGCCGGTGTCGGAGTCGGCGGAGGTGAATAATGGCCGTTTTTTTATTGTGGCCGGGTGGAATGTGGTAACAAGCAAGTACCACAGGGGGGCGGTTGTGTCATCCTTCTCACTTTTGATTTGCCAGTGATAGACCGCGAGGGTAACTTTTACCGTGCGGAGACGAAGAGGAGGCGAAAATTTGATATCAAGTTCAAAGAGAGCGTGCTGATTATGCTGCAGAACACTGGTGCTGCTGCAGTAGCAGGGGTTGTATGAACTAGTCACTAGTCGACTTCACCGCTTTATAGTGACTTTTTATGCCTGTCATCGACTAGTCGCTGTCACGTGATAATGACCGGCAAGATGCAGTCCACGGAAAAGACAGCAGCCTGCTGTCAGCAGGTGACAAGCTCCTGCGCTCGGGGGGGCCAACGCGCTGTGCCAGAGCGTCGGCACTGACACCCGCCGTAAAACGGACATTTAACCAAATTGTGACGTTTACCCTCTTGCAATTTAAGATTCCCCTCACCCTCATCCTAACCTTAACCAGCTTGCACATGCAAAGCTCTGATTGTTGACGCGCTCCAGACATCTGCGTCCTGAGCACGGCCACAGTAACATTATCAAATCAGGTGTTGCCACCTCAAAAACTAATTTAACACGCGATCGTTCATGTCGGTTCATTTCCTTTTATGTTTTCTGTCTTTTATTCTTTTATTTGTGCCTGATGCGTTTCGCTGCTGTGGATCGGGGCGCATCACCTGTTTTGTCCTCGGTGACGCACATAACTGATGTGGCCGGCAAGCACTCCGCTGTTTTTGCGGTCGGTAGATCTTTTAGAACTGCAGTTCAAAGGTAACTCATAAGGTGAATATATATGAACCCAGGTAGCAGTTTCTCTTTAGGATTGCGAGGAGATGCAGGAATATAATAAACAGGCAGGACAGAAAAATAGTCAAACAAAAACAAGTTAGTTTTTGTACCTGGTGGTTGCAACAAACAGACACCACTGAAGGTAATCAGAAGTGAGGAACAGAAAATAAAATAATTATTTTAATGTTTAGAGCAGCAGGAACTCCGAGAGGCTGCAGGCGCATCAGTGAGTTTACGGCTGCTGCGCAGGGGGAGGGGGGAGAGGGCTGAAGCAGAAACTACTGTTGTTAAAAGAAATGTGTTTAACTTTGAAAATGTGGGCGCAATTTTAATTGTCAAAAACTCCAGCGAACCATTAGTTCATTTTGCTCAAATAGAAATAGAGGCCTGCCTCTAATTCTGGTCCTCCTTCCAATAAAGGCCTGGAGCTTGATGAGCTTGAGTCAAATACAGGCCCGGGCCTGTATTAGAGGATTTACGGTATGACATATAGATAAATAAACTTGTTTATATTCTGTACAGGCTACATAATTTTTTTGCTTAAGTTGTTTGAAAAATATGAGAAAAGCCCATTGAGAAAATAATCATGAATTAAATCGCAATTGCAATAGTGAAGAAAAAAAATTGCAATTAGATTACTTTCCAGAATGCTTCAGCCCTAGTTTGAAAGTGGTGTGGTTGTTAGTGCCACAATACTGGCCGGGGCTGCGAGGTTCCAGTAGAGCGTTGCTAGACAGTCAATTTAGCTTCAGTAACGGTTTAGATTCCATCTAGGCCATCAGTAATCGAGAGTCGGATGCTTTATTGTGGAGGTGTTTTTTTTAGAGATGCTATTATATATGACAATATGTTGCTGCTAGTGTGAATTAGTGCTTTGCCTGTCATGACTCGAGGTAAGTGTCTAACCCAAGACGTGTAGAATCAAACTCGACGAGCTGGTAGAGTAAAAGAAAAGTTCTTTATTGGAAAACGGGAACAAAAATAGCACAGGGAAGTCCTGTGGGGAGTGAGCGGTACAGCTCTTGTCCATGTAGCGCTTGGGGTGAACGAGGGAGGCGGGGAAGCCGAGGTGAGCGCTGGGCAGAGGGTGAGCGATCCGGGATGGGTGAGGTAGCAGAGAGGGACCAGACAGGAACAACGGAGGAGGATGGGATGTGGTGTATGAATCCAGAGTTCAAACGGCAAGGGCGAGGCAGGTGTGTGGAGATTCTGAAAGGAGGCAACAACACCAGACGTGAGGGTAATCCAAAAAGCGTAATCCAAATATAGTCCGAGTTCAAAAATCCGAGTAATCTAAAACCGAGTCAAAAGCGAATAACAAGTACGAGTGGCTGGGGCTACCTAAACTGGAGCAATCATCCGGCGTAGTGAGGTGTCTCCATCCTCCTTGTATACCTGAGTTCCTGATTGGGAATCTTATGCAGCTGCAGCCCCCTCCGCTCCTCACTTGTGGGAAATCAGCTCAATAATGGTTAGTTTGGAGAGGGCGTGACTCACCTCGGCTTGGGAACATGACATTGCCATGGTGAATTCATGGATCAGAAAGAATATTGGATATTTATAGGTACAGGGTGGAAATAGACTGAGAAAATATAAGTTTGTTTGATCACCGATTTGGCCACTCATGCTGATTATTGTCTGAGTCTGATCACCTGATGCCTTTGTTGGTGCATCTCTAGTGGGTTCACCTCCTTTTCTTTTGTGAGATCACACCTTCCAAAGATGATGCAACTCATGGCTAACAATAAACCTTTTAGCTGAATCCAAATCCTAAATTTGGTTTCTTAAGAAAAAGGGAATACCCTGGTGAGTTCAGCAACATGGAACATTCTGGAAAACCGCTAAAGGACAGCTGCAGTGGGTATTAAAAGACTCTTGAGGAGGTAGCGTGTCATTAGAAAATCTGCAATCAAAGCATGCCTTTATGAATGTAGTACGCAGTCCTGGAACATGATTATTTGGACAGATGGAGCAAAGACAAACCTGGACCAGAATCACAGAAGAAGAAGAGCAAGAAGAAACGGGTGGGCTTACAGCTCAAAGCATCATCTGGTGGTGAAGACAGCATTATGACAGGGGTGGACCTAGCTGACAGTGGAGCTGGATCATCTGTTTATGCTGCAACATAATGGAATCCCACGTTTTATTAGCATTAGTGATGCTGGGAGTGTGAAAAGTACTTTTCTGCCCATATAGACATTCATCTAAGACACTAGTGAGGAGCTTCTGAAGCTGCACGAAAGAAGAAAACCAGAAAAATACTTTAAACAATATCTAAAAACAGCTTATGAAAGTTCTCACAAAACATCTAAGGAGATGGAGCTCAGGACTAGAGGACGTTCATGAGATCTCAACTTCAACCCATTCAGTTAGAGGAGACTTTTCCTGCAGGGGTTTCTAGAAGACAACTCCTGCATGGATTTTATCAGTAATGATTGCACTCTGAGATTTCATTGAAATGTAAAGTGCATTAGAAATCAAATCTATTATTATTATTATTATTATTATTATTATTATTATTATTATTATAAATTCATCTGTAACTGATTTGGAATCCACCAGTCAAAGATGGACCCCACAGCCAATCTACTGTAGTAAAAATGTAAAGGTAGAAACATCAAAGCGACATCTAATTTTATGAAATTGTTCCATATTCAACATTTAATATCTCGGGTCAGTTTTACAAATTATGAACAAAAATCTCATGCTTGCAAAGAGAGACACATGTTCTGAGTGCTATTGATTTTTTTATCTGTGATATCATCTGGAGATCACTGAAAACTTTGAAACATGCCCAAAATGTCTTATTTTATTTATTTATTTTTTACCAGAAGATGATCATGTTTTAAATCATGGGTATAGAAGGTTGTTGGTGGACACGTTCTGAAAAAACAAACAAAAAAACGTAGCCTTTAATTGAAACCATTGTTTTGTTTGCTTGAGCGACTGCAAACATCAGGAAGCATCAACACTTAGAGCTCAGGTTCTGGAAGTGTCTGATTTAAGCTCACACCGTAGGTTTCATGTACACCTGCACTGTGTGTTTGTAACATCAGTTATTTACTGCAGTTTGTCAGGTTGTTGTCTGCTTTACCTCGGCTCATTAGCACATCAATCATGATGGTTTTTATCAGCTGTGTTTTTGGCAAACTGTGATTAAAACAGCCCAGTTCCTGTTTTCTCTTTAGTTTTTATTTATTTTTTAACAGTGGTTTTGATTATTGTTGCAGGTTTTCCAGGACGGAAGGAACCAAAGCAGAGAGAGGGATCACAGAGAAACTACAAGCAAAGACAGAGAGTGGAGCAGAGACGGGGAGCTCCCTTTAACGGCGAGCCAGATGGCAGCACGAGACAGAGCCATCCAACAGAAGAGGAGAGAGATAGATGAGGTGGGGGAGTGTAATCACACACACACACACACACACACACACACACACACACACACACACACACACACACGCACACACACACACACACACACACACACACACACCTTGGGAGGAACATGGCTATAAACAGAGGAAAAGACGAGATAAGAGAAGCCAGGATTAGAGAGAGTGACAGGGTGAAAATCTCAGTAATCGTCGAGAGACATGAAACAAGGAACAAAAGATTTGTTTCCTGTAGTATAAACATCAGTTTTGAAGTGCTGAGCCTCAGGCAATGTAAGTGTCACCATTGGCTTTATTTGTCTAAGCTTGTCACAGGGGGTCTTGCTCATCGTTTGATTTGTTTCTCCCTCGTTGATCAAAAAAGGCATCACTGGCTCACCTGTATCACGAGAGGCTCTGGCACGTGCTTTAATGATGCCTTCAATGTGACAAACATCGCATAAGGCTGTGCTCGTCGGCCTGCTGTTTGTGTGGAAGACTGCCCTTGTGCTTCCACCCACTTGATGGGAGAAGATGCTTTTGCTTTTTGCTTTTCTCATATCTCCATGGTTGCAGGAACGTAGAAACACTTTGAGAGAAAGGAGTCTCACTATGGTAGCGGTTGCAAAAATGTGCACAACAGTCACTGCACAGTGGACGCTTAGGACCAGTCTGGATGTGAGTGGTTCTGTGTTAATCCATTCAGTGGAAATGCATGACGTGGATTCCCACCTAACTCGTTAGTTCCACTCGGTCTTCCTCCAACGCTCCCATTTTTTCTCTTCTCTGGTGTCCTTCCTCCTGTAACTTTGGTGTTTGGCCTGACTCTGCGGTTATGCTTGACTTCCAGGTGTACTATCAGGAATGTGAAATGTTTGGCCTGGTTGCAAAGATGCTCATTGCAAAAGATCCAGCCCTGGAGCGTCCCATCCAGTCCTCGCTGCAGGAGAACCTCCGGGACATTGGCAAGCGCTGCGTTGAGGCCATGGAGAAATTCATTGAGGACTATGACTCCAGGGAGTTGTTGCATTATTTAGATGAATAGTTGTTGGCATTGTTCCTTTTTGGTGGGCCATTTAGGTTTGATTTCATTTCATTTTCAGACATTTTTCCTGATCACAATCTTCCTATATTCTCTCATGTACTGCCTGACAAAATTCCCCTCTTTCCTCCATCTGATTTTGTCTCTTTAGTAACGCTAATCCACATTAATGTGTAAGAATGTGATGAACATACCGGTTATGTTACTTTAAAATTTCTAAGAATCAGAATTTACTGTTGTATGACATAATTTATTCTTTCTAATGTGCTTACAATAATAAAACATGATTTTATCTAAGATTTTCAATGATTGATTTATGAATAACATCAGGCCATGATGCGAGTTAGTAGGTCTGTAGATGAAGAGAACATTTATTGAGTTCTGATTCATGCTCATATTTGAAAATGTTTGGGTTGTGCTGAAAGTTATGACCAAACAACATTTAAAGTGACGGTATGTATTTTCTTTGGCGATAGGAGGCAGCAAATACCTAAATCATTGCAAGCAAGCTGTATTTTTTTTTTTGTTCAAGTTAGACCTTACCGACGGATGTCCATTAGGGTCAAAAATCCCCCCAGCAAAAGGACACGCACATCAGACTTCCTTTCATCACGTGTAAAATAACCTCTTTGGTTCCCGTAGAAGGAATTATGTCATCTAATCTGGCCTCACCCGGAGACTGACCCGCTCTTTTAGATCTGATTTTTTTGGTCACGTGTTACGAAGCCACCAGTATTTTTCAACTGGGCGTCATTTCATTCTTTTTCAACATTTTGTTGGATATTTTCAGAGATTAATGGTAAAAACTACACTTTGTCATTTTGAAGGAGATGTCCGAATTATTTGTTTTATGGCACCATCTAGTGGCTGACAACCGTATCACACCAAGGCATTTCATTTCTGTATTTACGACAGAAAGAAACACCTCTCGTTCATGACCACGCTCCTCTAGCTGGCAAAACAGCTAAAGCACATTATGTTAAGTTGTGTGTTTTCATATATTTATATGAGAAAGGTCGCCAACTCTGCATCAGCCGAGGTACAGTGGGGCAAAAAAAGTATTTAGTCAGCCACCGATTGTGCAAGTTCTCCCACTTAAAATGATGACAGAGGTCAGTAATGTACATCATAGGTACACTTCAACTGTGAGAGACAGAATGTGAAAAAAAATCCATGAATTCACATGGCAGGATTTTTAAAGAATTTATTTGTAAATCAGAGTGGAAAATAAGTATTTGGTCACTTCAAACAAGGAAAATCTTTGGCTCTCACAGACCTGTAACATCTTCTTTAAGAAGCTTTTCTGTCCTCCACTCATTACCTGTATTAATGGCACCCGTTTGAACTCATTATCTGTATAAAAGACACCTGTCCACAGCCTCAGTCAGACTCCAAACTCCACTATGGCCAAGACCAAAAAGATTTCGAAGGACACCAGGAAAAGAATTGTAGACCTGCACCAGACTGGGAAGAGTGAATCTACAATAGGCAAGCAGCTTGGTGTGAAAAAATCAACTGTGGGAGCAATTATCAGAAAATGGAAGACATACAAGACCACTGATAATCTCCTTCGATCTGGGGCTCCACGCAAGATCTCATCCCGTGGGGTCAAAATGATCATGAACGGTGAGCAAGAATCCCAGAACCACACGGGGGGACCTGGTGAATGACCTGCAGAGAGCTGGGACCACAGTAACAAAGGTCACCATCAGTAACACACTACAACGGCAGGGAATCAAATCTTGCAGTGCCAGACGTGTTCCGCTGCTGAAGCCAGTGCATGTCCAGGCCCGTCTGAAGTTTGCCAGAGAGCACATGGATGATACAGCAGAGGATTGGGAGAATGTCATGTGGTTAGATGAAACCAAAGTAGAACTTTATGGTATAAACTCAACTCGTCGTGTTTGGAGGAAGAAGAATACCGAGTTGCATCCCAAGAACACCATACCTACTGTGAAGCATGGGGGTGGGAACATCATGCTTTGGGGCTGTTTTTCTGCTAAGGGGACAGGACGACTGATCCGTGTTAAGGACAGAATGAATGGGGCCATGTATCGTGAGATTCTGAGCCAAAACCTCCTTCCATCAGTGAAGATGAGACGTGGCTGGGTCTTCCAACACAACAATGATCCCAAACACACCGCCCGAGCAACAAAGGAGTGGCTCCGTAAGAAGCATTTGAAAGTCCTGGAGTGGCCTAGCCAGTCTCCAGACCTCAACCCCATAGAAAATCTGTGGAGGGAGTTGAAAGTCCATGTTGCTCGGTGACAGCCCCAAAACATCACTGCTCTCGAGAAGATCTGCATGGAGGAATGGGCCAAAATACCAGCTACTGTGTGTGCAAACCTGGTAAAGACCTATAGTAATCGTTTGACCTCTGTTATTGCCAACAAAGGTTGTGTTACAAAGTATTGAGTTGAATTTTTGTTATTGACCAAATACTTATTTTCCACCCTGATTTACAAATATATTCTTTAAAAATCCTGCCATGTGAATTCATGGATATTTTTTTCACATTCTGTCTCTCACAGTTGAAGTGTACCTATGATGTAAATTACTGACCTCTGTCATCATTTTAAGTGGGAGAACTTGCACAATCGGTGGCTGACTAAATACTTTTTTGCCCCACTGTACGTCCTTAAACGCTCGAGCACTAACGCTAGTGGTTAGTGCTGACTGGCGCTCAGGACAGTGGGCGGGCTTAGTAGAAAAAAAAATTATTAAAAAGTAGGTATTGCCTACATTATTTTACGGTACATAAGACAATTGCTTTTAAGGATTTTTGAAAAATCATCCATAATTCCTGAAAGGGGAAATCTCCGGACAGCAGCTTTAACTGTTTTAAATAACTTTGAACAGCAGCTTTCAGGATTATGGCTTTGAACTCAGATTATCCAATCTGATCTTTAAAATGCTGAGTAAAGTCGATTCTTGTCCCGTTTTTGGGCTTTCTGCTGAGACCTGACAAAACTAAAATGATGCAGTTCACTGGTTGAAGTATCCTTTATTTTCAGTATAAGACAACAACAAATGAACATGCAAGTCTCCCCATCTCTATAATGTTATACAAATAATGATTCTTTTGTTACAAAATATATAAATATTTAAGACCATATCTACAGGACATTTACAGTACTACATCCATTGTTAAAGTTTATTACTATATATACATTTATCAGGTATTTTTTGTAATATAATTATTTGCATTATCATTTTATTATTGTTAGAATAAGTAATGTTATTTTTAATATTGTTAATTATCTATAGATGATTCCCAAGAAAAAAAAGGAAGAAAAAAAGAAACAAAGCATGTTGCAGAAAAGAAAACAGGACCATACCTGACGTTACTGTGCCTGAATGGGCAAGGAGCAGAGGCTGCCTGTCCTTGGTAAAGCGTGGAGAGCTGGCTATGTAGATCACAAGGTTCAACAGACTTTTCTTTGTTTTGTACAGGGTGAAGTCAGGGCTAGCAAGCCAACACTATATTCCAGCAGCATTTGGATTCCACGGAGGTAAACAATGACACAGCTTGGAATCTAGCACATAGCTGTCACTATCCCAGCACAATTCCTCATTTGTCCACATAGAATAAGTTGATAGCTCTATGAGATGTAGGATTGGTCAGATCGTTGCAGGTTTACTTTCTGCTTCAGGCTGAAGAAATTGTGAATGCACTCACAGACACATACACACATACATCTTATTTACCTTGATCGCAGCATATTTAGCAGTCAAGTGGATCAGTGCTTCCTGGTGCCATAATAAGACTTGATCTTGATCGCTGTAAACATTCCTGTTGTGTAAGAGAGCCCAACTTCCTCTTAAGATTAAATCATCCTGTGTAGGTGTACACAAACACTACCCAGTGTAGAGTTGTGCAAGTTCACAAACACAGAACATGGGATGATTTCTCTCTTCTACCTTTCTGCGCGTGCACACACACATACACACATTCACACACACAAGCACACACTCTCACCTTCCCACTCTTTCTGTTCCTCTAGCTCTTTCTCCTGTCTTCTTACCTTTTTCTCTCTCATCCTTTTCACTCTTCCATCCCTCCTTAGCTCCTTGCTCTAAATCTAGGAAATTATACAGTTTTTGCTCTTCCTCCTCTGGCGAGTGTGTAGCTGGCCATGAATTGGTCCATGCAGAGGTCCATGATGGGCACCCATCCCAGATGGGCTGTAGCGGTGACGCAGGTCCTCGTTGTTGATGTAGCACAGCTGTACAGGTCGAGGGATCGGTTCACTCAGGAAATACCCCTCATCTGGCTCAGACTCAGAGGAAGAGGAGCAGCTGGAGCACCAGGGGTCAGGACCTTCCATGTAGCCATCACCCCAGCATGGTCCACCCAGTCCTACGGGCTGCCAGCCAGCATTCTGCAAGGTAAGATCAGAAGTGGTGCGAGGACAGGTCCGGTGGGGCTGCTGTCTGTATCCGCCTGGCTCCAGACCGTACAACTCTCGAGCTGCTTGGCCAGAAGGGAAGCGATCATAATCCTCTTGGACGCGGCGGTAGGGAAGCTCCACCATTTGAGTGGGGCGGTCTGCCACCAGGTGTAAGGCATTATCGGAGCGAGAGCGGCGAGAGCGTTTGTGGTGGCGACTGCTGCGGTGCTGACCATTGCCATTGTTTCCACGATGGTGCTTGCGGCGCCTGGGCTGTGGCTGCTGCTGCTGTGAAACAGCTTCTTGCCCATTTATGCGTCGGCGGGGCATTCTGTCACTCATGGGAGCCATCCGTAGGTTTCCGCTGCTCCCCATCACTCCAGTGCGTCCTTTGCCATCAAAGCCAAGATCCTGCGGTCCATCCCAGTACTGCAGTGGGTACCCCACTCTCAGGGGAGCATACATGTTGTTGTAGGGACGAGAGGAGGACAAAGACTCTGTGCTGTGAAACTGGACTGAAGAGCTGAGGGTGCCCATGTTGCTCTTTTCAGACACGTTTACACCGGAGTCCTTGCTCAGGTCAGGCATGGAGAACCGTGACAGATGCTCCTGACGTTTAGTGACACCATCCAGAGAGTTACCTGCTAAAACAGTAAAACAAACGTTACATTTCTCAGATACATCCTATAGATTTAAACCCAGTTGTGTTGTTTATTACCTGTAGGGTTAGACATAGTGAGAGAGTCCATGGATCCACGAGGGGTCTGTTCTAGGGGAGTGAGGGGCTCATTAAAGCTCATGGCAGTGATGTGGTTTCTTCTAGTCAGTGGGGGCCGACCGTCTCTCTGGAATCCGTGCAGGCTGATGCTCCTCTTGTCAGAGAAGCCTTGATTTTGGCTTGGCATCTCATTGAAGCTCATCTGTGTTCGGAGCTTGTTTGGCCTGAACTCCTCTTGGTTGTGGTGGATCCAGTTTTCATTGAAGGATTGACCCCTCAGGGCAGCCATAGGGGTCCTCTTGGCATTGCCTTGCTCCTTCCCCCAGGAATCGGGCCTTTTCCCAGGGTTGGCAGGAGTCTGGGCAGGCGGATGAGCATTTGTGTTGGGATTGTATCCCTGCCTAGCATTGCACTGACCCAGCAGATGTATAGGGGCAGGGGTGGGTGAGGGATCTCGTTGGGGGCCCTCATAAGAAGCAGGGATGTAGGATTCATCCCTGCTCATCCACACTTGGTTAAGGCTCGGTGCTCGACTCGGAGTGCGGCTGGGTGTGCGATTAGGCGTTCTGCTTGGAGTCTGGCTAGATGAAAGGCTTAATCGGTCCATCTGAACAGAGAGGGGATCAATTTCAGTAGACAGACGGTCAGGCATGGGTGGAGGAGCTGACTGGCGAGTCTCGGCACTGCGCCTATCCTGCTCGGCATTCCTGCGCTCCTTCTTTCCAATCTTGGTGCTGTGGCGGGACTCACGAGAGCGAGCGCTTTGGAAGGCAGAGTCTGAAGAGTCAGAGTCCTCTGGATCCTGATTATTTGAAACATTCAGAAATACAGTAAGTACTCCGTAAACAGACACCCAAACATTATTTTAAAAGTTATAACTGGTGCCATCAGAATCTAAGAGTGTTTTGAATTCTCTCACCTGACCAGCACTGCAGGAACGTGAGCAGAAGATCTGCCCCTGCTTTGGAAGGAAGGGGCGGCCCAGCAGAGATCTCTTGCAGCGGGCGCAACAAAAACATTCCTCCGTTGCGTGCCAGTGCTGCCCATCATATGTCATCTGGCCTTGGTCAATGCCTTAAAACAGGAAAGAAAATTGTCTTTACATTCATCCTATAAGTTAATTTATTTCCAGTGAACAAATGAACACAATCCAGAAGCCAATGTTAACCAGACAGTATTCGTCTTGATTGTGTGAGGTTTTTCCATTTATTTCAATGCCTTCACATAGGCTCTCCAGCTCTTAGCAGTAATCATCTCTCACCGCTCCCATCTGGGTACAGTTTGCAGACACCCTCTGAAACCAACATTTTCACTTTTACTGGGGTTGATAATAACCATCTACATCTCACTGCACTGAACCCGCCTCTCTGCAGCTGCGGCACATAAGGCTCAGAGCTGACACCAGCGACACGTGCGTTAAAGAGCTGTTTGCGCTTTGGTGAAAGAAAAACACGTCCAAGTGTTTTGGCAACTGCTCATATATGTTAGAACAACAATGTAGGTGCTGTACCTATGTGTTCTCCACATGCATCACAGTATTCTGCATACAGAGATTCAAAGCAGTTGCAGCAGTGTGGCCGTCCGTCCTTCATGATGTAGCGCTGGCCACCGAGGGTGGTCTGACATTCATAGCAGCAGAAGTGCTTCATGTGCCAGTGCCTTCCCTCCGCCTCAGTGCATTCATCAGCAAAGATTAACTGTTTCAGAGGAAAAATGTATCAGCAAACACAAAAAATGATCAGAAGATGTTTTGATAAAGCATTCTGAATTATTCAGCAAACTGCTTATCTGAGTATTTGCACAAGTATGGCTAAACACAATGTCAAGTGTGCTCTAGTCTAAATAAAGAAATCAGCTCTCACGATTATAACACTATAGGATGACAAATAACATCAGTGTCTTTAGGTGGGATTACCACCACGGTCCCTGGAAGCTGATTTATAAAATCTAATCTGAGACAAAAGTCAAAGAAGTCAAGCAGCCAAGAGAAAAATAGAAAAGTGAAGCTTACATTTGTTGTCAGCCACTAAGTAAAAGGTAAGTCAGTAGCACTTTACAATAAGTGTCCCTTTATTAATGTTCGAAAGAAAGAAAGAAAGAAAGAAAGAAAGAAAGAAAGAAAGAAAGAAAGAAAGAAAGAAAGAAAGAAAGAAAGAAAGAAAGAAAGAAAGAAAGAAAGAGAATGATCTTTTATGTAGTGCCTCTCAAGATAAAAATCATGAGGAGCTTCACAAGAACAAAAAACGAATTAAAAACATGGTTAAAAAAACTAGTAAATAAAGTATAAACAACCTTATGTAATGCATTACTAAGCAGACACCCCCAGCCCTTAACCTTACTGACACTTAATAGTTAACAACTGTACTGACACTTAATAGTTAACAACTGTAACGTTAATAAAGGGACCCTTATTGTAAAGTGTTACCTGATAATCATGTATTACCTAACAGCAGATAAACATTGCAGATTATTTAATGTGAAAAAGAACACATTTTAAGCATCTTTTTGTTGAAACTAAAAATGTCCCAAATCATCAAATTATAAAATCTCTAGACTTTTTCTGCATTATTATAATTTTTCTATCTATCTATCTATCTATCTATCTATCTATCTATCTATCTATCTATCTATCTATCTATCTATCTATCTATCTATCTATCTATCTATCTATCTATCTATCTATCTATCTATCTATCTCTCTCTCTCTCTCTCGCTCTCTCTCTCTCTATCTCTCTCTCTCTCTCTCTATCTATCTATCTATCTATCTATCTATCTATCTATCTCTCTATCTCTCTCTCTCTCTATCTATCTATCTCTCTATCTCTCTATCTATCTATCTATCTATCTATCTCCTCTCTATCTATCTATCTATCTATCTATCTATCTATCTATCTATCTATCTATCTATCTATCTATCTATCTATCTATCTATCTATCTCTCTATCTATCTATCTATCTATCTATCTATCTATCTATCTATCTATCTATCTATCTATCTATCTATCTATCTATCTATCTATCTATCTATCTATCTATCTATCTCTCTCTCTCTCTCTCTCTCTCTCTCTCTCTCTCTCTCTCTCTCTCTCTCTCTCTCTCTCTCTCTCTCTCTATCTCTCTCTCTCTCTCTCTCTCTCTCTCTCTCTCTCTCTCTCTCTCTCTCTCTATCTATCTATCTATCTATCTATCTATCTATCTATCTAACTATCTATCTATCTATCTATCTATCTATCTATCTATCTATCTATCTATCTATCTATCTATCTATCTATCTATCTATCTATCTATCTATCTATCTATCTATCTAACTTGTCATTTACATATTAAAGCTATGAAATTAACATAATGAGAATGGTTTGTTTTTTGTTTAAACTGAGATTATGTCTATGCTTCTGTATTGTGAGCACTTACATTTTAGTTACATCAGTAATCTTTGATCAGAGTAACTAATGTTCCTCATTTAAATCAAGCTACACATGGACGTCTGTCCTTCAGCTCTCTTTCTTTGTCCCATTATTGGGTTCATCATGTTAGGATGCCTCTCATTTGTCTGTTTAAATGCCCTTCACACATATTTATTATTCTGAGGTAAATAATTAAAATTAACATTTGGACTAGAACATAGATCCTACAACTTCAAGTGAGTTAAATTGTCATAGCTTTACAAAATAAGGATTTCCATTATCTTTATGAAAGAGATTAAATCTTTTCACGTCAGACCAGTTTCTAAAGCCACCCCAGTCTGTGAGCTATGAACCATTCCACATTTCCACTCTCGAAGAGCCCCCAGCCCAGTCAGGCGCACCTCATCACAGGCACAGCACCGGGGTTTCAGCCTCTCGGAGTGGTGCCGACCACAGTAGACCTTGCCGTCCTGGTGGAAGTATATAAGATCCACCAGCAGTTCCTCACATGTGCTGCAGACGAAGCATCGAGGATGCCAGCATTTTCCAGGCCCCGCCCTGGCAGCAAAAACTACAATTTCACCTCCGTTTAACTGACCGCTGCACTGTAATCAAGGAAAGAAAGGACAGTGGAAGGAAGGAAAAAGTGAAGAGATAAAAGATGAAGGAAGTCAAGTTGTTGAATGCAAACTGCAAGATGGCAGACAAAGAAGGTAAAAAGGTTTTCATCAAAGAGAGACTAGGCAGTTTTGGCTTACTTTTAGCACCCCCTAGTTTTTGTTTAGTACAACAGAAAGCAAAACTTTTGTCTTCAGCCTTCATTAGTGCCTACAGGAGTGGTTCATCACTACATGAAACAAATCAGCTGTGTTCATGATCTATAACATGCAGGAAGCAGACTGCAGTGCCAGGTAAGTCGGCTCCATTTTTGTCAACGTCTAACAGACCAGACCGGCACTCTGAAGTTGCAAATGCAGTATTCTGGCCACAGTTGGCAGTGGGGGTATGAGTGACATTTCATTAACCCTGTAAATGGTCATTTTAGCACAGACTGGCTCAAGAAAATGTTGCAAAGTATCCCTTTAAAAACAATTTTTTAAAATGCGTTTAAAATAAGAATCCTCTAAATGAGGAAAATGTGGGTGTTACCTTTTCACACGCCACTCCGCTGATGGTAAGAGGGAAAGGCCGGACGCTGCCTCTCCCTAAGTTATCCTTTTTCCTCTGGTTGCTGAAGATCTTAAGCTCTCGTTTCTCCTCCTCATCCAACGCATTACAGTAACGCACCTGAAACAGCGGTTCATCATCAGCATGCATCGACAGCAGAACGCAAACAGAAATTCTTAGTTTTCACATGCAGAAGAGGAATCTGTGCAGTATTTCACCTCATTGTCATGTGGTGGCAACTGGTGAAGCAGCTGCTTGATGCGATACTTCTCCCCTGGGCTGTTGATGTAAGGAACCTTCTCTTCTGGTAAGATGTTATAATACTGATGCACCTGAAAATAAAATAAACATGTTTATGTTTGATTTGTTGCAACAGCAATAACATTTAGACACGTCACAGAGACACAATGGGGCAGATTATACATTGACTCTCTATTTATTGCTGTGAATGCTTTTCTGTACACTTGACAGAAAGATCTGGTTTTAAAGCCTTAGAAGGCTCCATTACAGCATGATGCAAAGCTGCAGGACAGAGAAAGAAACAGAAGTGAAGGGATCCTTCTCTAAGGGTTTATTGTTGCAAGAAACGCTGCTGGCATACAAATTATGCTTCCCATTGTAAAATAAAATATTAATTACAGCAACTTTGAGTAAAATCTGAAGCTGGTGGTATCAGAATCTGTAAATTGCACTGAGTTTAATGCAGGATAGGTTACATACCAGGGCTTATTTCATTAATTCATGTAACAAACCCAATCAAATGAGTCTTAAACTACTTTTAAATTCGTTCAGCATGCTCTTCATGCCAATAGATGTTGTTTATGCCCTCTGTCTTTGTCGCCCTTGGAAGTCAGTGCCACGATGGGAAACTGAGCGGCACAATGAGCTGCTGCTGCTGCCGACTTCACCTTGAACAGAATGAGGTTCTTTAAAATTTTAACAGCCAATATTCTCATTGCTTTAAGAGAGAAAGAGAGACAAAATGATCTCAGTTTTCCGAACCCTCGCTGCAGTTAGGATTCATGATGCAGCAGGTTGCGGTGTCCTCTCCGTCTCCTTGTATTTACATGCTAGTCGGTGAAATAAATCAAACCCTGATTGGCAAACAAGAGGGAGACACTCAAAGGATGGAAAGCAATCTTGTTGCTTGTCTGATTTTCAGCGAGGTAATCTTTAATGCAAAATTCTCTATGTTCAGTCAAGTTTTTTCCAATTCATTTTACATAATGAGTCAGGTGGAAAATGGAAAAAAGGGCGTGCCTCTCCGCCCCTCGTGCTCTGTTCCACGTAGATTGGCTTGGTGAGAAACATCTCTTCTCTTTGAATGAGCCATAGGTGAGCTTGTGCACACAACTCCTCTTTTTTCCCTCAGTGATTTATCTGCAGATGGTTTTCATGGCCAATAATTAGCTGAAGTACAAACAAGCTTCATTTACTGTCTTTCAAGCAGTTCTGCTCTTCTTAAAAGGTCAGAAGCAACTAATATTCTGTTGTCGATAGATCTTTGAATGACCTTAGTTTGGAGAAACAGATCAGTTCTGATCAGACTGAAATGCTAACAGCTAGACACCTTGATTTTTTTACCATTATAAAACAACTCCAACCTTAAAGGTGCATTATGTAAGAAAGAAGTAAGAACGACATCCCGTGGTGAAATTTGTTTTCTGATGCCCATTTTTCAAGCAAAGAGTGACTTTCTCACTCTCCACCAGCAGAAGCTTGTTGACGAGCAAAGTCGAGTCATACACAGTAAGCTGATGAATAGATAAATGCATTTCACTGTAATATCAAGTTGACACTCATTGAAAAAGTAGCTTGAGACTTTTTTAGGGCTGATGTCATTTGTTCATCGCGGGGGTAGAAGCTCAAGTAGGGCATCCCAAACAGCCCTCTCCTCAGCCACTTCCACCAGCTCCTCCGGCAGGACCCCAAGGCATTCCCAGGCCAGATTCCTACTGGCAGGACATGCCCAAAACACCACCCCAAGAAGGTGTCTAGGCAGATTCCTGACAAGATGCCCAAACCACCTCAGCTGACTCCTTTTGATATGGAAGAGCAGCGACTCTACTCTGAGTCCCTCCTGAATGTCCGAGCTCCTCACCCTATCTATAAGGCTGAGCCAGGCCACCCTCTGGGGGTAACTCATTTCGACCACCCTTATGTGGAATGCTATTCTTTCAGTCATTACCCAAAGCTCATGACCATAGGTGAGAGTCTGGACGTAGATCGACCGGTAAATCACAAGCCTTGCCTTCTTTCTGACTCAGCTCCTTCTTCGCCACGACAGACCAGTTCAGGGTCCGCACCAACGCAGATGCTGCCCCAAGCCACCTGTCGTTCTACCGCTCCCTTCTCCCCTCACTTATGACCAAGTCCAAAATTCTTCTTTGAACATCTTAGGTGTGTTCTTGCTGTGTCGTATCTCTAATTCCATGCTGTACTTCTTTTTAAAAACACAGAGCAGTTTTGTTTACCTGTTTTCCCGCTATGTTTCGTTTGCGGCTGCAAACTTCCTCAGGTTGACGCTACCTGAGGAAGTTTGCAGCCGCAAATGAAACGTAGCAGGAAAACAGGTAAATAAAACGGCTCTGTGTTTTAAAAAAGAACTACAGCATGGAGCAAGTCCCAAAGATACTTAAACTCCTCCACTTGAGACAGAACCTCCCTCCTGATCCAGAATTGACGAGATGCCCTTTTCCGGTCGAGAATTATGGTCTTGGATTTGGAGGTGCTGATCATCCCAGCCGCTTAACACTTGGCCGTGAACCCACCCTCCATCACCCTAACAAGGGTAAAGAGCTGGTCCACAGTTCCACTGCCAGAATGAAAACCACGCTGCTACTCTTCTATCCGATTTCAACCATTGATTGGACCCTCCTCTCCAGGACCTTGGAGTGGACCTTTCTGGAGAGGCTGAGGAGTGTGATCCCCCTATAGTTGGACCACACCCTTTGGTCTCTTCTTCATAAAGATAGGGACCACCACCCCAGTCTGCCACTAGAGCCGATTATTTTTTTTAAATTTCCCTTTAGCATTGTTAGCTCAACGTTAGCCTCTAGCTTTCTTTATCCACTATTTTCAAAAAGACGCAGTGGCTTCTTAACAATACAAGAAATAACTTCTGGGTCGCTCCTGTATCTTGCTTAGGATTTTCACAAAACACTGCTGCATTGCGCAGGCCCATGTCAAATTACAAATGGCGACACTGCAGAAGACTTAGCAACCCCTCAGGCTGACATATTGTGAACAAAGACTACTTTGCTCTTTGGTCATTTTGAAAGGAGAAAAAACTGACAACCCCTTTGTCGACTGAGAAGTAAATCTGTCTCAATGTGACCTTCATTTCAACTTGATTGAGACACATAAAATATTAATAAATACTAATGTTTTTATCACTTTTAAAGTTTTTACACTTTACAATATCAAATTAGATTATTGGTGAACGGTTATTGGTTATTGTAACAGATAAATGAAAATGACAACTAAAAGTATAACAGCTAGCTAGCTCCTTAGCTTATAAAAAACAGTGTAACACAATTAATGGTGGCTTTAAGGTTTTAAAATACCAGTAGACTGTAGTGTGATTTTGAAGATAATTGGTAGGACAGAGTTTGTGATGGACCCTCAGAAAAAGGCTTTATCTTCAGTAATATGATGCTCTGGTGTGTTGTAGTGAAGAAGGATCTGAGACAAAAGGCTGAACTCTTGTCGAACTGGTATGCCTAAGTTCCAACATGATCAGGATATTTTGATCCCCGACCAAAAGAACAACATCTGGAGTGAGCTTCCACTGTAAGGTGTCCAGGATCAGCCTTAGAGAAGGTGAGGAGCTTCACCATCTGGAGGAAGCTCAGAGTAAAGCCCCACATCAAAATAAGTCCGTTTTTATCATCGTAGTTCTGAGGTTTTCTGTGCATGTTTTTTTAGAAGGAGTAAATGAGGCTGACCCAGAACCCGATGGAGGGAATAAATGCTCTTTCTAGTCTGGGAAAACCCAGGGATGCTTCTTTAGTAGCTTTAGAGTTTCACTGGGAATGGAATGTCTGGATGTCCCTTTTGAACCTGTAACTTCCTCCATGGATCAGTGAAGGAAATTATGGATAAATAAACTGCTATGAAAGTTTTAGACCTTAAAGATGTTCTAAAACTGTAAAAATTGTTTGAATCTGGTCCTCATGTGACTAGCTGTTAGCCCATCAATCTTCCAAACTGAGGTTGTGATATTTTCTGTCTGAAGTTAATTAAATCAATAATAGGATGAATTAGTTCAGCTCTCGCCCAATTGCAGTCCAAGTAGCCAGTCCTTGTAGGCATGACATGAAAAGTTTCTTTTTATGTGTTAAAGCAAATAATTTTAGAAATTTCAACAAAAGTCTGGCATTGCTGTTTGTTTTTCTGTTTCTCAGATTGTGACATTCTGTGCTTGAGTTGGGTTAGGGTGCTAAGGAGGAGTGAACGTAGAATATTGACACAGATGTTTATCCTAGAAGGCAAAACATTTGAAAAAAAAAAAACAGTCTTAATGAATGTTGTCAAATGATTGGAAATGTGACAGCTCAATGAGCAGTTCTTCACAAATGGGATTACCCCACCCCCACCCCCCCCACCCCCACCGATTTACAGAAAGACATGAGAATTGACAGGCTTAAACATCATTACATTCAAGTGCATTAAAAATGAAAAAGGCCACTACAATTGGCTGCACCTTCTGCCGGATAACAGAGGCTGCAGTCTCTTTCAACATCCTGTCAAGATGGCTGACTAGAGAAAATGACAGTTATCAGCTCTTCCTGTCATCTGAGCCCTGGGAGGCCTGATGCATTATTGTGTTTCTCTCACTGAATAAAGACAAAAGTGTTTAGAGCTCATACAGCTGAACATAAAATTTAGATGCTATCTCAGAAAATGCAAAGATAAAAAGTAAACACACACACACACACACACACACACACACACACACACACACAAAGGACAAAGCGTTGATTCATTAGGCTTAGATGTGCATGAAGTTAAATGCATTAAACTGCAAATGTTCCAAACTGGGAATAGTAAAATCTGCAAGCTCATATAAACTGCATCACATTTCCAATTAGGCTTCACTGACTCTAATTACTTCTCCTCCACAGGGTTTAAATCTGCAAGAATGTGTTAAAATATAAAACAAACAGAGTTCCAGTGAACTAAAAGCATCACTGTGCCTGAAAAATTAAAATATGCACTGTTGTGCAAGCGATGGTGATCAGGGAAACAATTATCTTTAAACGTGAAATTTTAATTTCAACATTCAAACGTGCAAACGATTGTTAAATGATCCGATACTAGACTTGAAACACAAACCAAACAGTTTACCTATGTTTTTACCTGGTTTCTGCTGACTGTACCATCAGCTTTGTGCCTGGTGGTCTGTTGGACTCTGAATTAGGTTCCTGGATATCAGTTTAAACTCTGACAGCTGAAAAATGTCCCTACAATTATTCTCCTGTGACAGCCAAGTCTCTGTGATTTGTCGTGGATGTCAGCCCTGCCCTCTCATTTCCTTCAATCCAAACACAGATATCGTACTGTGGGTTTACAGTGACCACAGACTATTCATTTCTTTTTCTTTAGAATTCCAAATTTTAAGTGACAGCTGGTGGTGATATTTGTAGGAAGATCTAACAGATATGTTACAAAACAGCTGCAGATTAGATCCCAGCAGCAGCAGCAGCATCCCATCTGAAATAAAGAAAACCTGCTTCAAAACAACAAAATGCCCAGTAGGTATAACAGCACGTAAAACACATACTGTAAACCTTACACACAGTCTCTGCAACAAATGTCTCAAAAGCTCTAATAAGAGTTTTAACTGTCATTTATGTTCATTCTTCCATATTTAACGGCTTTGCAAAACGCAACTTCAAACGGCTCGACACTATTACTAATCACTTTGATCAAACTGAACTCAACATGAATAAACATACCTTACCCTAAAGAGAAGCACACTTCAACCCCCAAACACAGCATAGGGCGTGGTCAGATTGTGGGCGGAGTCAGACATCTTGTTTACTCATCTAGAAACCATGAAACACCTCCACCGTTTGGAAAAACTACTAACTACTACTTACTACTACTACTAACATTTACATTTGGATGATGGGAGAACAATCCAATCAAAACTGAGTGGAGTCAGGCGACTGACCTTGCCCAGCCAGTATCAGGCCCCTCCCCTTTCTGCAACCAAGACCCTCTCACCCAGTCTACGCCAAACCACACCCACAAACACCTTAAAGATATGCATTATTGTATGTCCACCCTCAATGATTGACACCTGTCGCCTTGGGCTGACCCGTGGTTAATTGAGCAGCAAGTTGAAGGGGCGTAGAAAGACACCTGTCTATCACCCAATGCACTAAAGACGTACTAAATCCGACAGGATTGTTTGAGCAGTAAAAAGGTGGCACTTTTGGAAATATTGTGTGGTTTTATCCAGTGTTACAAGGCTTAAATTTGCAAAATGTGCATGTGTAAATAAAAAGACAATTCAACAGAACATGCGATTTAATGTATTTAAATTGGAATGGCTTAGCTCTATTATCCAACTTGTGCCAGCTGTGCCTGAAAAATATCCCTCTAAAGTGTTGAAAATGGCCAGCATGATAGAGTTTTGAATCAATCAAACAGTTTGGTTCTGCTGCTGAAACATAAGAGTTGAACTGTGAGTTGTTTGTTTGTTTACCTGCTCGGGGCTGAGACCGGGGGGAACCCAGGCATACTCCTCCAGAGCACAACCAGAGTCGTCATCAGATGTAGAGTTCCTCTGGAAGTCGTACATCAGCTTGGTGATGGTCTTTTCCATCTCCAGAGACATGGCGTCACAACATGCTCCTCTACACAAACCCCTTCAGTGGACACAGGTATTCCTGGTAAACAAAGGTGCAGGAGAGTCAACAGAAGGCAAAAACGTACTTAAAGTAGTTCATCCTGTTTGTGATCTGAATTTTGAATATTTTAAAGGAAGTCTCTTTTGCTTGATGTAGAGAATCAGTGTCTGCTTGTATGATGCATTCTTTTGTAAAACACACATTTTATTTTCAACTAAATGAAACAAGAATTGTCCCGTTCCCTCCTGTCTGTCATTAACAGAGGTGACGATGTGCAGCTTTAGAAAAGAATAAAGGATTACGTCTCAAATCTGAGTTTTATTTTGATTCCTTCTTTTACTTGACATCTTTATCCTCTTGTGATTTTCAGTTCTCAGTTTTTCATTTCACCACCTATCACACCTGCTCCCTGTTATCTGATCACCTCCAGCGGCGTGTAACCCTCCAGCTTCTCTCTGTGCCTTTGTTCCATCACAGGCCCGTTTTCCTAAACTCTATATGTTCTTTTTAAGTTATTTTGGAGCGTTTGTTTAGGTTCAGCTCCGCAGGAACATTACCTGGCTAGGCTTCTACGCTGCGTGCACAAGGCAATCTACTGAAAGTAGAAACAACGGCAAGCAAAAGTTAAGAAAACTGGATTCACCCAGTGCATTTTCTGCATCACGCCCTGAATGCACACAGTCCATGTTCCTGTAGTGACTGGAGACAATGCAATTTGTGTTACCTGCTTTTTCTGTTAGGTGGTATCACTAACCTGCTTACATAAAGTCTTCTACAAGAATATATCCATGTTATGTGAGTAAAACAATAATCTGTATAAGGCTGCATTTCTTTGAACCCAAACCTCCACTGGAGCAAATTAGGAGTTTATCACAAGTTACCATGGCGATGTTTGAGAGAAAGCCACCTTCATGGCTGACACACCAACATACCTCACGGAACCCTTCATCACGCTCCAAAACAAAACTATTCAGACCTGTAAGAAGTATTCAGAGTACTATAAAAGCAAGACAAACTTCTAATTCAAACACTATAATTTACATTTGCACAACTCAGATTCAGGTATCATATTCATTCTTCTCAAATTTGCTCCTCCTGCAGTGTGAAGTGCTTTCACACATATTTTGTATGAAAAAGGAACATAATAACACACCAGTGTTTTCAATTACAACGCATCAGCAGCACCAGATACCATTTTATCTGCAACTGATCAATTGGATCTTCTCCTCCTCCTTTTTTTCTGTCTGCGAGGAGAACAGATGCACACATTACTGGCACATGAATAATTAACAACAGTAGGTATCGCCTCCACCAATTTATGGAAATGACATGCAACCTGTTTTGCAGGCAGCTTGAATATTTCGCTAGCCAGCAAAGAGATTGAGTCTTGTTTGCATCTCATTGCTTGCTATATTTAAAACTGCTGATTAGAAAGATGCTAAAATTAGTTGATGTACACTAAATGTATATTTTGTACACTTGTTTAATTTAAAGTAATCATATCAGACAGCGATAAACGTGCTTGTACAGAAATCACAGCAGCAGATGAGGTGCTTGTTTTGTGCGTGCAGGTCCTGTTTCAAGGTCTTTGCAGCTCACTGACTAAAACAACACCAGCTGATGGAAGGTGAGAAAGTGTGAACAGGTCCTGACATCTGTGAATCAAAAGGCCAAACCACAAGGCAGCTTTTGCCAGATTAGAAATTGCAGAAGAACAGAGCTTTAGCCAAGGAACAGCCGGCATTGCAGCAGAGTGAGCCAGTGAGTCAGCCTCCATCCAAGCAGAGATATGGTTTGGCTTTATTCCCCTAAGATGAGAGCTGCTGATTTCTTTGTGAAGAAAGACCGCAGGCATGTAACCTTGAGCGTCTAGCTTGGCCCGAGGCTCATCGTCATTAGTGCACTGAGGCTAAGTGAGCTCGCCTGCTGGGTGACTTATGACCTGCAGATCAGTGATTCAAGGCTGACAACAGTTTTAACCACAACTACGTCACAAGGAAGTTGGCGCTTGTTTAACTTTATGTGGAGCCAAATATAGGATCTTTAGCATTCAAGAAACACTCAGAAATATTTGATTATGCTTTCTGAGATACTAACGAGACCACAGATTGAAACTTACCAGGTTTCATTCAAAAGTCAGAACGTTCAGAGTTGAAAACGGCAGCGTATTAAAACAGTTGTACTAAAGCTTCTTGCGTTCTCCTGTTGCCTGTTTAAGATGACTCCTCAGACTTCATCACACAAGAACAGTTGTCACAGAATACACATTTAAAACACAAACGTTGACTCCTTACTCTGTTTACAAGCGCTAGTCATAAATTAGAAAAGCATGTCAAAGTTTATTTATTTCAGTAATTCTTTTCAAAAAGTGAAACTTGTAAATTAGATTCATTCTACAAACAAACATTTTGAATGTTTACTTCTTTATTTTGATGTGGTAGAAAAAAGTGTACAAGCAATAGGGATGACCGCACCCTGGAGAGGATTGTGAAACAAAACTTATTCAGAAATGTGGGGGGGATTCACAAAGAGTGGACTGCAGCTAGAGTCAGTGCTTCAACGACCACTACACACAGACGTGTGCAAGACTTGGTTTCAGCTGTCGCATTCCTTGTGTCAAGCCACTCTTGGAGAAGAGACAGCATCAGAAGCATCTCACCTGGGCTAAAGACAAAAAGGACTGGACTGCTGCTGAGTGGTCCAAAGTTATGTTCTTTGATGAAAGTAAATTTAGCATTTCCTTTGGAAACTAAGGTCCCAGAGTCTAGAAGATGAGAGGAGAGGCACAGAATCACGTTGCTTGTGGTCCAGTGTAAAATTTCCACAGCCAGTGATGGTTTGGGATGGCATGTCATCTGCTGGTGTTTGTCCATTTTGAAGCACCTGGATCAGCAGCAGAGAGTGACAGCTCCTGATATTTGGACATCTTGCCTCTGATTGGATAACAGCAACATGACTATACCACTGACTCTATTTGCTCTGCAGTGTGAATAATTTATCTTCTCAACTCACACCAACCTGGAGGAGCTTCTGCCGTGTGGTGGCGTTACTAATGCTAACGGTTAGCTTTTACTAGTCATTCAATGCTGTTTCATGGATGCTAAAACAACAACAGGCTTCTGTTTGTCATTTTGTTTGATCTAAATCTCTGACATATGTTTGAACGCCAAGAAACACTGCTAGCATGAATTGCTCACATCACCCATTTACAGCCCCTAATCATTATTTGAAGTTCAGTGTAAAAGCATTTTTAGATCAGTACAGCTGTTGCTCGTAAAGAAACAGATGTGCAAACAGAGTTACGGGGTCTTGTGTTTGTGTGTTTTCCAGAGTTAAAGTCATTAGACAGCTGGGATCCAAAATTGTAACGATCTCAACCTCTAGCTGAAACTAATAAAATAATGCTCATTATGTCAGACTCTTTTTTAATGGACAAACAAAAAAAGACAAAGTGACAGTTTGTAGTGTGTGTTCAATCTCAGTCTTCTAGGGCAATTAGTTCATTTTAAATAAGGCAAATGAGTGTCTTTACTTTGTTGAAAACATTTTGTTTCTCATTGAAGGAACTTCCCAAGTTAAAGGAACATTTGGAGTTTTACATTTAGCTCACAATGAAGAATTCACTTTAGATTTGAGTTCAGGTGATAAAAAAATTCTGTTGAGTTAGGAACCAAACTCATATTTACAATTGCAACCAATGAAAGTTAAATAACACCTCTGTCACCTTTTTTAGAGTGTTGTGATTTATTGTGAAAGATTCTCAGCTACTACTACAGCAATGCCAACCTAAAATGATCAAATAGTAGCATTTTTTTGCTTGTTAATTGCAATTTGGGTGTGGCAGTCATCCCAATATGGGTCGACTCTAGAAGGTAATCAGCCGAGGAAGAACACCGATACAATTAATGATTACTTCCTAAGAGAGTTGGTGCTTCATGAGCTGCTTTCCTCATAGCGGTGCCCCCAGATGATTTTCATAGGGGTGGCCAGATGGGGCCAGAGAAAATTTTGGGGGTGGCACATTGGACCGTGTCGTAGCTCTAGGAGAGTTTAGCTTGTGGTGATGCATTACATGCTCCTTTATTCTTTTTCAGCAAAACACAATATGCATCCAACACGCTTACCTCAAATTTCAACAATTTTTTCCAGAAAAAGACATTTCTAACAGATATTTGGAATGGTATTTAAAAATTAATTGTATAATTTTTTAAAAACACTTTAATAGCTGTCTTCACAAAATACATAGAGATTTAAACTTTTGTTTTAAAAATGGTGAGCAGGAGAAACATAAATACTTTAAAAAATCTGATTAATTATATACTCTTTAATTTCAGATTTGGTTTTACATTATTTTTGTCTGTTTAAAGAATTTGTATGAACAATAATATGATTAATTAAAACATGCTGGTCTCCTCTGGTGTGACCAGTAGAGTGGCTAGAAACTTTCCAGGGGTGGCCCTGGCCACCCCAGGCCACCCCTTGGGGGCGCCACTGGTTGACTCCTTTGGCTAAGTTTTAACCAAAAACTGTGAAGCGGAAGATGTGGTCCTGGCTATTGAGCTTCAGTGCTCAATTGGGAAATGCTCAGAGAGCCTGTTTACTCCTTCTAACCAAAAATGTTGAATCTGGTCATTCAGGATGACGCTTGGCCACGGCCACAAAAGTTTGTAGCTCATTATCATCAAAATTGACCAAGTTGTACCAGATTCTGTGTTTGAACTCTGCGTACGTAAATGGAGCCCTCACACCGCTCATCGAGATGTGCTGTAAGTCTCTGCTCTGCATTGTTAAACACACACAGCTTCACCAACAGTTTCAAAGCTATGTGTCATCTTTACACCCAAACTTTTGACTGAACGCACAGTCACATTGTACAGAAGGCTGCTGATGAGTGTGACTTTTTGACGTAATACACACTCGCCAGGCCGACTCACAACACACTCTTCTGTCCTTACCCAGCAACACACTGAGAGAGGGACAACGTATGAAGTTCAGCTTCCTGGAGGAGTTTGGGCTTTTCTTTCTTTCTTTTTTTAATT